GGAGTGCGCAATTTGCTGACGCCAGCTCGATTTTATCTTGTATGAGTTGGTTTTCTGCATCTTAGTGTAACCTGGTTGCATGTCTTCCTTTCTATCCATTCTGTCGCTAAATGTTAACCTTCAGCTTCTTTCTTATTGCTCTCGCGTGTAACTCGACAACACGAAGATAGTTTGTCTCCAGTGACCAGTCAGTGTGCCCAGTCCGCCCCTACGGGGGGTCAAACGCGGATCAAATAGCCAAGCGGTAACGCCTTTGACCCTCCCACTGGGTGACGCCGGTTCGAATCTAAGATGAAACGTGCGTTCCATAGATTTCGCAGATACGCCTTGCTGATGTGTGACAGAAGACGCAAAACTAGGTCCAGAGCTTCCTGCTGCTGACCTCCATCCAAATAACATTCATCAAAGTGTGCCGCGGTGGCGGGATGCCTGGCATAGTGGCCATATTGCAAGGTGATCAACAGAGGTTGATCAGTTCATAGTTCTGGACGCCATGAGGCTGGTTACTCCCAAGTGGCCAGTCAGTGTACTGACCTATGTACATCATGGGCGGTGTGTTTGTATGCGGTATTTTCGGGTTTCTGTTTTGAGTTTGACCTTGTGCCCGTCTTTGTTGTCCATTTTTCATGTCGAACTGATCGTTTCTTCATTCGTGTGGGATCCTAGTAGTCCTAACTGTCAGCATATGCCATGCCACCAAGACTTTACTCAAAACGGATAGGATTCAGGGTCAAAGCTGTGCCAACCACCCCATCTTCTAGGATGTTTGATGGTTCAAACAATGGTTGGATAAGTACTGGTTACATACTAGACTTGCTTTAACCCACTAAGCGGCTATTTTATTCTTTTTTGTCTGCTAAACAGTAACTTTCCACTTTTAAACTCATGTTTATATGTCTTGTTTGAGGATTTCTAATGTATTGCATACTAATGACTGAAACAACCAATTCATACTAACGAAGTGATCGTAGTTTTAACCTGGTTTGTTTTCATGTAACCTGTGTCGCAAGAGGAATATGTATTATCATGTTGTCTGTACTCTTGTCGGTGGTGCGAATTTTCACATAAAACTATTCGCAACTTCCTAGCATCCAGTGAATTTTTGGACTCCACTAGAAAGGTTTCGAGGGATGACCCACGAGCGTTACTAATCTCTTTACAGTTGCAGTTAGGCAAACTAGCTTCAACGATTTCCGGGTGGAGTAGACGCATCATGCCCCAAGTTTTTCAGGGCCTTTGATCTTGTCATCCGTAGCTATCTCATCTAAAATGTTGAGGTTAACAGGAACCAGTCAACTAGTGACTAATTGGTTGTCACAGTATTCAAGCGGCTACATCCTCAAAGTTTTGATAAGCTCTCCAATGTCTGAAAAAATGAGAGGCTTCAGTGAATTTCCTCGAGCATCGGTTTACGGACTCCCTCGTTCCTAATTCACACTTATTGTTTGCCTGAACAGATCTCTCCTGGGATCCTTTTCGTTACTGGTCATTCCCGGCTGTGGAAAGATTTCAATGGAAAAAAACAGACTCGTATAACGTAATAATTAGCCCTAACTTCGCTGGTATCAGATTGCAACAGGCTGGCAGAAACGACCAAAATAAAAAATTGCAGTGCGGATACAGAAAACCGTCTGAGTAAGGTCTCAACCTCATTGACCAGACGACTGCGCTGGTTTGCATAGTATCGGGCCCAAAAGGACTGGTTGCACAGATATCGTAGCAAAAAATCTTCGAAAACCAACACTTCAGAGAAGAACGACGGAGTTATATGGTAATGATAGATAGTTGCCAACAACGGAATGCATGGCGTGCGTTTCGTCTCATCCGGAAAACGTCGGTTGGGTGTGTTTGCCTCCCAGTGAGCAATGCTGTTCCCAACAGGATACTAACTAAAGGCATATCGCTTCAAACACCAGAGCCTTAACTGCTAGATCACCCGGTCACGACAGTCACTAATTGTGGGACGAGCGTAGTGATGGGTCTCTATTAGCATATATGGTTCTTCATTGGGCACCAAGAACTTTTGAGGCAGGTAGGAAGAAGCGCGAGCGGCGAATTCAACCGCCAGCTACAATCCGTCATCAATATATCGTGTAAACACAGGCAATGTCGGGGCATGCATGCAGAAGTCCGCATGACTTAGAAACTGACCATTTCGGTTCACTCAAACATGGGATGATGCAAGCAGCAACACCGAGTAGGGGGCTCTCCAACATACCATGCAACGCAGTGCCCCAGTTCCTCTCCTCACTGCCCCCAACTGTGCTCGAAGTATCCTAATAAGTATTCAGTCATTGGTCCGCACACCAGATTGGGGGATGAGGGATATACAACAATGAGCCTACATCTCTTCCACTACCCCTGTGAATGTCCTCCCTCAACACTTTCTTCAAACGCATCGTCGATAGTTTCACAACGCCATTTTCACGTCCCTTGATTGCCCCGAATTATCCCGCGGATAAGGGGTGATGGCAAGCAGAAAGAATCAAGTGCACTACAAGTCAACCCGAGTGTTTGAAAAGTCAGCGAAGGCTAACAGACTGGCGCCTAACCTGGGTAAATGCTGAAACATGCTTTCTACAATGACATTTCGCAGAAAGCATCCTAATCTTTATGGTTCGCACCTTTCTCAAGTGACGACGGATGAGGATCTAGGACAGATATCAACTGACAAACAAGACACTAGTTCCAATCATCCAACAGATGCCACTACAGCCTACGCAGCAAAACAAGTCATATGCAGCAACTGGGTGCTCTCAGCCCAGCACTCTCTCCGGAGCCTAACAGCCTGCACATGGCCTTACACATAGATTCAAAACATCATTGTACCGCCGCAGCTAAAAATTGATGCGTAGCCGAATCGAACTCGAACTTCAAACTTCGTGTTGTAGAATTAGTGAACAATGGTTCCTTGACTTCTGTGTCTCGTTGGAGCACCTTCTTAGTTTGGAGTGGTGAGAACTCTCTTCCTGGTTCCGTGAAACCTGGGGGGATGGAGATAGTCGGTTATAATTTAATATGTTCTCTGAAGTGACCGAGTACAGAAGGACGTGGCCAATAGCGATACTGAACGCAATGGTACAATGGAACTGAATGCCAATGTGATTATCACCCCTCAACACCTTATTCCTCACTGAGTCCCCCAATTTCAAAAGACGAAGAGTGACCGCTTGATGCATGGATGACGGCTTTATTTGATAAACTATAGCATGTGTATAAAATTCTCACGCACACAAAAATGTTCTATAATGAAGGGGGAACTGCACAATCTTATTGGCTACCGAATAGTCCATGAAAGCCATTTTTTCCATATAAAGACGTAAATCAAACTCTGAAACAAAAACATTACTCCAGTGGCTGATGACCTTAAAAGTTGGTCACTACGTTTGACCATCTTCCACATGTAGTGTTTCCTCTCCTGATCTGTAGATGAAGAAAAGCTCTAGAAAGGTCTATTGGTATCGCAGGGCTAAAAGTGCGCACGTAACCTCCTCTAGAAAGCTTCAGGGGAGGCTGTAACAACCATTGTAAGAAGGTGTTTTGAAAGTTTACATACCCTGACTGCAAACGAACCAGCACAATTCTTTGTGTGTGCTCTCTCATATTCCGTTCTAAACGAGTGGCTTCCGAGGTGGCGTTTCCGACTAAACCTTAAGAGGAATGAGTCAGAATGAAGGGAATTTCGGGAACTGTGATACATCATAATCATACCCCCCCGCGATCCTCCATTCTTGTATTATTGCAGCTTAAGTACAGCCAAGTGATCCAGGTAGGGTTTGTATCGTAACTCAATCATTTTCCCACAGATTTCCCTCGACCCCTTCTGGGGTGGCTGTGTCCTCCTTCAAGCGTATGGACATCACAAGAGAGTGACTTTCAAGATGAGGATGAATATAGGGCTCGTGCACTGTAGTACAAGGGGCCGGAGCTAGACTGTACAAAGTTTGTAGGAGAAACCCCAGGATTTCAAAATCCCCTTTGACTGGAAGACGACAGTGGACCGAAGCCCCCAGTGTGTTACCCAAAAGCAAATCACAGACTGGTTTTAATGCCTGAGTTACAGGTATTTATTTTACGCAGCAAGTAAGAACCGGAATGGTTTCCGCATGTCAGCAACACTTATTTAACACTTCTCTATGTTGAAGATGCAGGTTTTCGGTAGCCGAATTGGGGATCTTGGGAAGGCTCACCCGAAATCTTCAGATCATCAGCATGCAACAATGAACGAGGATTCAGGAATCCTAGTAGGCTACTGACAAGAGCAAGTGACAGCTTCAGGGGAAGTTGATACTGCTGCGCAACAACACGTGGCTTATGGTCCCCAATTTAGGATAGAGATTATGCTAAAAAACTAACTGATCCCGCACCACTCCCACCCAGTTATCTCCACACCAATTCTCCTTTATTGTCATAGTCAGCTTCCCTATCGGAAGTCTTACCCTTATCGTCACCACATCACCACTTATGGGGATACTGTTTTTGTAACCACCACCCCTACTATGATCTTCCCTGTTTACTTCCCTCCTCGCAACTCTTTATAGCGTCATCTTATTCACGAAGGCTCCTGAATGAATTTTTTCCCCTCCGTCCTCTCCGAATTCTCCTAGATTTCTCCTTTCCTTTCTTTTCAACTACTCTTTTCCTCTCCCTTTTTTCCCGGCTACCTTTTAATTTTTATTGTCGCCTTCATACAACAAGTCCAAACGACTGTCTGACGACATGACGTTTGAGGAACCGATATGCACCACAGTCCTACAAACCATACACCTTACTCTAAATTTAACCAACACCCAACCACTTATCGAGTTTGCCAGAGATAAGGCAGGCGAATGAATGAACCTATTGGATCTATCTCTAACAAAGATCTGGAGCCGGTCATAAAGACTGAGACCCAAACACAGGTGCGTCAACCTGTTCGTTGAAGCTCGTAATAAGACATTGGATATTGGATAGACAGCGCGATTTCCACTGTAGTTCGTTACTTTGGGTTTAATCATTTGATGTACGGTTTGCGGTTATATGGATATGATGTGTATTTGGTAGGTGAATTGATAAAATTAAGGTCTTAATTTCAATTTTAGAAATGCTTAATGTGAATATTTGAAAATAATCTTAAAAATAAATGCGAGTTGTAACACTTCTGCAGATGTAGATTTTCGCATGCGTTGGTCGTACATATAACGCTAGGATGCTTTGATGATGTACTTAGGATCTTTCGCGCCACTTAATTGAGGCATTATCTTGGTCACAGTGTTTGGATATCAATTTTGGGTTTCGAAAAGTAGGCTGATATAGTACTGTATCCCATTCTACGTACAACGGGTCCGGACGGTGACCACTGAATTAGCGACTGGTCTTGATCACCTTTTCTGTAAAGAGTGACTATTAAGGCTGATCCTCTTTCATTGTTTTACCACGAGGGGACTAGCGATCTAGTCCGCGTTTTGACATGGTTTCACGGTCTTCATGTCTTTACTTTCTCTTGTATTATTCACCTTGGTGGCCATAAGGTAAAGATTCAAAAGCTGAGTTCGAACCATCTTCAAGTAGAGTATCGGTTATGCTGTTGACCGACCAACAACTGGAATCCGTTACCCGAAAAAGCAATAGTAATAATAACTACTTTATGCCAAACAACATATGTGATACAGTATGGAATCCTCAGCATGTAATAGTTCAACAAATTCTTTCCCTGTACAACATCTCAAAGTGAAATAGTCTATGCATCTGAATAATGTTAATAATAACATTGATAGAAGCCCCAATGTGAAACAGGCACCTTAGGTTACATTAGTATCTGATTTAGACTGGTGAATGAATAGAAAATCGTGTGTGATTTTGGTGGTGTCAGTTTGTTCAGCCGGTGTCAAAACCTGCAATTTGACATAGTTTTCCAAGGGCTAGTAATGCACTGTATTTCTGTGCATTTAGAAGACCATCTCTTACCGGTGTAACTTTATTTCCTGGTTTTGCTATCTTGAAAAATGACAGTTTAAAGCCATTTTAAAAATGTGTAAGAGTACATGATGCGTTTCAAAGACATGCTTAAAAGAATAAAACAAATTGAAAGGGAGGAGTGTGACGAAATATATTTGGTGGGAAAGCTTTGCTAACCCAAGGTTTAAACAGACCGCAGGTAGCAGCTCCTTAGTTGAACACGTTAATAAAACAACCATAATAGACATGACTAATAAAAGATTAAGATAAGCTAATAAAATTTTTTCATTTCCACTAAAAATTAGCGTTTACAAAGAAGGATATACAAACCACAGCAACATTAGAGAAAGCAGAGTTCTTCATAAACCTTGATTCTACTATAGAGACTTGAGGGACTTCGTAACCTTTGGCTTTTTGGAAGGAGAAGTTGCACATCCCTAAGTGGGTTTTACTTCTCTTCATATAACTTTCGCCAAAATTTAGCACAGTGCATCCAAAGTCTTTGCTAGCTGTGTGCGTCAAGTTTCTCATCTTGGTAATGCAAACATTAAAAATTAGTGTATCTGTCTTAACCAAATAGTTTCAGTTTACGGAAGCAGTAACATTGTGGAAAGATGATTTTGCAAATAGGTCACAGTTACTCTATTTCCACGATTTGGATGAGCATAATACTGGTGGTTATTGTATTCAGAGACTTATATGACAATGTTGTTTTACCATTAAAAGCTCTATTGTTTGGTCGGTACTTAGTATTTAAAAAAAAATCGATAAAGCAACTAAAGTAGGGCGACTTTAGTGCGAAATTTTGTCAGTACCAACTTTTAAAAGGATACTGATTTTTCTGAGAATAACTTTACTTTGATTTTACTGCACTCAGCATTTTCGCGGGTAAAAATACGAATATGTTTCGCCTACACGCATGCTTCGGGCATCAATCTCAATGATATGTATCTAATACAATTAAACTATGTTGAATAGAGAGTATTAGTCCACTCTGACTTCCACATCACAAACTTTGTTCCTAAAGCTGGGGGATAAGATGCATTTAGAGAGCACACTGAGTCTTCAACGCTCACTGCCAGAGAACATTAACTACCATTTTTTATCATGAAAATATATCATTTCACTGATTCCATTCGGATGGCAGTTCATGTTATTCACCCTTAAGTTTTTTCGAATAGAAAAGACAATACTACTAACCATAATTGTGTGACATTTTTTTCTTCCTTCGACGATATTACACTATCAGTCTAGGTTTGATAGAGAGACATTAACAGAAGGTAAGGGCTAGTAGTTCTTTTGCCTCTTTGGGGTTAGTTAATCTGACAAAATTCTTATCTAACTTTTCAAATAGATGTAAACCTAGTTTTGATTAGTTTTTATAGGTGACAAGTGTAAATAAACTATGCAGGATTTGATATTATTATCTACCAGTTTGATTTACCGCAGTTATCACAGCAAGTCTGGGCGTAAGTGAACAAGAAGAAGGATAGGTAATAATATATTGTTGGTTGTCTTTAAGGAAATCAGGTAAAAGAGAATGAACGTAAAGCGAAGCAAGTGCTACTGAATCGACTTATTCCCCATATTGCCGTGTACTTTTGTCGGGCGAAACATTGGAACCGCTTCTTATTGAACATACTGATAGTTGTGCGACAGTGCTCCATTCCTTTTTATTTGGTACACAATGTATGTACCACTATTTTATCAAGCCTTTAACAAATTCTTCATAACTCGCTTTCGTTCTTGTTTGTTTTCCTATTTCTAACGTTTCAGATATTTGGTGTATTTGATGTACTATGGGGTCGTTGTCACTAGGTTATTATCCCTCATGTGATGTGACAGTGGTAGCAGCAGTAGCAGCCACGTCGGCATCAGCAGGAGATGACAAACCACAAACTCTAATCCATCCATGCGTTAAAATGTAAGTTAATGTTTTTATCGAATAGTGATAGTAATAATCAATCAGAATGAATATCACTGGTTTTGATACTGAACGGTATAAGACAGTCAAGGGTGAATATACACCACTCGGTTGCTATGGTGAATTGCGCATCAATTATTGTATCACACGAGATATTCCCTTCTTATCAAATTCATTCATTACAAACTGGTCTCAAACACAAATCAATCTTGATAGAAAGTTGTAAGTTATATTTACTTTTATGGATATCCATATTGACATGTTGTTTCCTTTTTTGGTTTTTGTAGATTTAATGAAGCCTTTGAGTTACCTCTACCTTACAGTGCATTATATGATTATAATGGGATTTGTTTTGTTCTGTCATCTACATATACAGATAAAAAAGGTATGCATGAACAATTGATAGCTGGGGCAAATATGAAACTGTATAATTCTAAAAAGTAAGTCTATAGGGACTTGTCATTGGGTGATATTTTCATCACCATTATTAGTATAGTCATTGAAATAAGTAGTTGAACTAAGTTTACATTGAGGGGTTGTCAGTTTGTAACTGAGGTGACGTTATATATTTGGCACTGACTATGGCAAATTGAATCTATGCAGTTTAATGAGAAGACGAAAATTATCTTGGTCTTCTCATTACGCTGTTTAAATTTACCAAAGGGACCAGCTGCTTTGAATCTATGCACTTATGAGCAGGATTTTACGTTTTCCTATGTATCATCTGTGCTTAGTTAACTTTTGCAAATCGCGTAGTGGCTTCAAGTTCCACTTCATCTACTGAGGTTTGCAAAATCAGGATGTATGATTATGATTGATAGCCTCTTGTCGTTGGTTAGGATTTACTACCTATTGTAAGAGTTTACTTGTTCGTACTTATTATTATTCATATTTATTAACTAGCTACGTATTACTGACGGGATTCACACTACTTATGAGTTCCCCTAACTACTTCTGGATAGTTTTTGCAACAGGTTTATTTTCAAGCATCGTAATATGCAAAAACTCAGATCTGAAAAATCTTAGTACCGACGATACCAAGTGTCGTGATTAAGCATGGCTTTAAGATCATAATTAAATTATGCTATTACTTTCAATGCTATCAAGTGATAGTGCAATGGCAGAGGTAGGCATATTTCGTGGTGATGGAGATGAATCAATCTTTGTGCTGGTCAGCATCTGTATACGCTTTATCCACTGTCGTAGCAATCACTCTTCTTTTTTTGGGATCATGGTAACCACCAAACTTGTCGGCAGTTGGTATGTCGTTTGATAGTGCAAGAGCACCGATACTAAGCAATGAACATTCAGCTCTTTCTAGTTTCAGGTAGTTCAGTAAACATCCACGGGACAGATTAGCGTAATACTCAGTCGTAGATATTTAAAACGAAATCACAGCTCTCCCATTTTATGTCTTTTTATAAACCATATGAATAGAAATCTTAAGAAATACAAATGTCTGTATTCTACATATGTAGATAGACAGATGTCATGTGGAGCTCTACATAATTTCTGTTAGTTTCAAATCCATTTCGTATACTTTAGACAGATAGGTAGTAGCCTAATGCATTGATGAAATACGCAGTCTAATAACATATTGATTCTTCCCATTTTATTTTCTGAAGTCTTATTCTTCCTGCTTTGACGGAAGTAATAATGAGGTATAAAATGTTTTTATTATAGACAGATTACTGGCTTCCTTAGGATGTTAAAAAAGCATCTACAGGCAGCTAACAGGTATTTTTTAGACATTTTATTTCGTTGTTTATTTACTCTTACTTGTTTCACTTGTTGACTCTGTTTATTAATTTTCAAATTAGAAGCAATGCAGCTTAAAAATTCTTTATCTAACCACCTTACTCGGTTGTACATGGTTTTATAAAGACCTTTCCAGTGTGTACATTCAGATAACAGCAAATGGAATCCAAGAATCGTACTGTTTGGCACATTTCCAGGTCCAAACGAGAAAAAGTGCGAATCGGAGTTGTCGAACATAATTCAAGACCGTGGTGGAAAGCGAATTGAAATGACCGCATAAGAAGCCGGATGATTCATTTGTATAAACAGATATTTCGCTTTAAAGTAAACGTGATTAACGTTGTAGTCAGTAAATGATTGGTTGAGCTCATGAACACAATAATCGTCATCATACAATTTTTACACTAAGCTTGTTACCGAAAATTGAAATGTAGTCTTCTTCAAGCTTGGTGTTACGTCGATAACACGAGAAAACTAGTTGGTATACCTAGTAGCTACTTTCAGAGTGTAAGTTTATCAGAATGCAAAACCTAAGTTCGGTTCCCTGTTCCTCCTGTTAATGTTAACAGTTAAGTTAATAAAAACTGAAAAACATTTCATATATTTTCTGAATTTAGAGTATTTAGACAAGGAATATATGAAATTGAACTGCATCCTCTGGAACCATTGCATGTTTATCGATTGGAAGATGTTGAAAAGTTAGTAAGAGATCCCACTTTCGATGCAAAACCTTCAAATATGGATAGCATGAATCAACTTCTTAAGGTTAGTGGAATGATGGCAGCTAATTCTCACTAATTCTTCCACCTTTATTTTGTTTCAACACTGTTGAAAAAACACAGTTATTACACTAGATAACCAAAAAACCGCAATCAGTCGTTTTTCTAATGTCTTGGCATATTGAAGTGTGCGAGATAAGGTTAATAATTACTACTGGACTGCTGGGTCCTCGTTCGTTTTCTTGCAGGGTCATGGGTACACACTGCTAAGGAGTTCCATACTAGAACGAAACAGCTGTCCATTGCTCCAAGGTCGTCAGTGGTTTCCCTGTTGATACCAGTCTGGGATAAATGCAAAACTGAAATTAATTCTTACTGACTAAAACAGTGTTATTCATTAGATTATTGAGTTAAAATAGTTACTAACATACAACGTTCACCATTTGACTGTGAGGGTTACGTGTGCTGTTTATTGCTTCTATAAAGTTACGTTCACTTTTTACACCTTTTGGTTGAACGGAAAATGGGCTTCAGTCTCTGTCACGCTTACACTGACTGTTATTGATAGTGTTAATAACGAATCTGGAAAGGTGAACTTAAAAGTTTAATAAGTCCCTTTTAAGGGATTACTGAATAATATTCTCCATAGCATTATTTTTAAATTTGGGGTTACTATAACTTTGATAAAACTATTAGCATTAAATAGCAAAATGTTAGTTAAAACAAACGTGCTTTGTCTTACATTCATTAGGAAATACAAATACCAAAATAATGAATATCATTTATGTAGTGTCCAGATTTTTTCAAATCATCAAATTGCAACTTATTTTGAATGTCTATAAATTCTCCGAAACAGTTTTTCATACAAATGTTTTATAGACATGTTTAAAAAATTACTTCGATTAGTTATTTTTCCAGATTTTTCTGTTACAAAGTAACATTTGTTTTTCCTCAAACCTGCTACTTGCCCTTCTAACCTGATTCGGTTGAGTATTTACAACTGATTGTATGTTATCGTCTTACTATTCAATTGTGTGCACTCATGAGTTGTCCTGCCGAATATTATTCAGCTATAGGATTGATATTAGCCTTTTTCACTTATTTTTAGCTAGAGGTTTATCGGAGAAACTAATAATTATATGAACGTTTTACTTCAGTCAATTAGCATTACTTTCAACACGATTTTCTTCATGATTGTTTCAGTAAATTTGAAATGCTGTATATATATATATATATATATATATATATATATATATATATATATATATATATATATATAATGCTTTTCAGACAAATCGTAAACATCTTCGCAATGAATTACTGGAGACACCGTTGGATCGACATTGTATGCCAGATGTGGAACATGCAGTTGATGAAGCTAAACGTGCAAGTGGACGTTTATTTCTAAGTGTGAAATTTGAATTCTCACGAAATTATCCAAATATCTGCATGCCTGTGATATTTCAACGCCCAGTAAGTTTTCCTAGTCTTGGGTTTCGCGTAATATGCATGTATACACACATGACTTCATGTATATATATATATATATATATATATATATTCGGCATTTGAATGTTTTATTGTTATCTTCTTTATGCATCTTCAACAGGCTACTCCAGCACTGCATATGAATCACAACACTGACACATCTCACCGATCTGTGAAGTCTGTAACTGTGGACTGAGTTTAGTAGGACAGTGTAAGTTTTAATGTCTGGGACCTAGGAGGTAACCGAGGCATTTGCGTGAAGGCCTTATGCAATGTCGCTCATAATCGGGCTAGATGCGACTGTTCTCTTTCTTACTGCAACTGGTAAATATTTTATTTTTGCCCTGTATCTTTTCGCTGCTGATAAAATCTCATCAGTTATGAAAGGACTGTTTGGTATTTACCGATTTATGCCATCTCTGGAGCTGGAGAGGTATCCTAATACGTATCAAAGAATTAGTATACTATGAAACAGTTCACTTTGTCCTATTATATGGATATGAGAAATAGCCACTGAAATTTAGGAATCTGAAGAAATTACAGGTGTTTGACCGCAGATGTCCTCGCAGCATAGCAAATATAAGGCAAAGTCACTATATGAGTAATGCGGAGTTTGAACAAAAGGTACTAGGCAAGACAGACGAGTCAGATGACGAGGCTGTGGATCTTCATCGACTAAGGCGGTTCGGATGTGTATTGCGTATGCGGGGGCACGATCTATTTCAATGTGAAATGTTAAGCGTAGTTGGTAGGTGATCAGACCAAGACGTGGCATAAGTTCATGAAGTCCTTGACTCTTAATCTGAGCCATATAGAAAGATGTAGACAGCCTGATTGGGGGCGTATAGATGACGGGATATGACTGAAAATCAACCTCATTGATACAGATGTATTTGATTTTCAAGGTCTTCGGAAGCTTAAACATTTTCACTGACCTTCACTTTTTAATTTCATCTCCTCCTGTGCACCTTTATCTTATTTGACACCAACTTTTCTGTCCGCTTGTTCTTTGCATGTCGCTGTGATGTTTGTCCTTCTATGTAGTTCTTTGTGAATACGAGTATCACCATCTTCATCGGTTTCTATTTGTGGGAGCTCTAAGTTCCTCATTGCGCTCACGTGGACCGTGGTAACCAAGAGCAATGCGTAGCTATGCCGGGTTGTATGGCTGTTTTTTATCCATCTGTTTTTCTGACATTTTTCTCGATGCTGACTTGTTAAAATGATAACACCAAACTTTTGAGCACTAGTAGAATATGAAAGAAGAACAAGTATTTCAGCGAAGTCTCTTTTCGGCGGTTTCATTTTTAAAACTATACAATCGCAAATTTATACATTTTTCTAGTGTAGGGATTGTATAGCTAAAAACGGTTTGTCAAGCATGGCAACACAAATAGTGTCAACAAATGAGCTGTCATTAGGATCAAAAAACCAAAAACTGATGAGTAATGAATATTGATCAAAATAAGTTTGGACAAGAAGTTTCGTAACATGATGATATAATTTGAAACTGAATTGTGATCAGATAGAGCATAGCAACAAGAATGAGTAGCAAATTACTTAAGGGGTGAATAATGTTGAAACAGAAAAATGAAAAGAAAAGCTGGGGGGGGGAGACGAGATTTTAAAGACTAAAAACTATGACCATGAAAGGAGAACAGTCTTCATTTGCGTAGACAGTTCAGGTTTCTCCATACGGATGGCGAGGGATTTGGCGATGCAGAGAATACGAAGACATACAGCCTTTAGGAGGTTTCTTTTTACTTGTTAGATGACTGAACGAGGAGGTTCTTGAGATAAGGTGATTAATGTTCACGATATGTTCGATTATGGCGCTACTTATCGCTCCATTGTTACCTCTTTGTAAACACGCGGGATAGTGCTCCTAAACCCTTTTGGATAACAGTCGCATCGAACGATCTGTATACCTGGCTCCACAGAGCAGGTGAACTGATATATGCACATAGAAGTGGTGAGATGCGAAGGTTTCTCCCTTGAGATGTTAGAAAGCGCTGGCGACAAGAGTATACCAATCTCAGCGTTGATGCAAAGAATGTTCTCTTTAGAACGTTTGACATCCCCCTTTTTAGAGTCTCAGCTACATAATCACCTTTGGAGTCAAGATTTATATAGTGTCTTTTTTGGCACGGTGGTAAGGTCTTCATTGCGAGGTTTAGGCTTAATGTTTTTGTCTACGAAGCGTGGTGGGAATCCGTTTTCAATCAGATGTTCTTTAGAACAGAAATTTCCTCTCCTAACACATCGGGACTGCAGATTCGTCTAATGTGCGTGGCAAGAGATATGATCAGGTTTCGGTTACAACTCATAGGGACCCAGCTATTAAAGTTCGTCAGTTGTCCATTCCACATTGGTTTTCTGTGAACTGATCTACTTACCGTTCCATCAGCTGTTCTTGTCAACTCTACATCAAGAAAGTGAATTTCCGATCGATTTTCGACATCAAGAGTGAATCTAATTGCTGAATGGCAGCTATTGAATATTTGTAAAACATGATTCAAATCATATTGGTGATTAAAGATTATAAAATAATAGTGTATTGAATGAAGTTTCTGTATCGGGCAACACGAAACAAAAAAAGGAAACTAGTGGCTTACCATCTACGACGCAGCTGAAGCTAGTAGTTCATATCTTTATTAATTAATGTTATTTTTTGGTTCTGATCACTTTTAAATTTCCTACACTTTGTACTCATTCATCTGACTTTCGTCAATTTATGCCATCAACGGCATAAACGGGATTATCCTAATACCTATCATGTTTGAGACGAGAGAGAATTTATAAGTGTAAGTCGGTGAAAATATTCAAAATTTCGATGACAGAAAGTGTATAAATCCACATCATTTTAACCTATTTTTGGCAATCCCACCTAAAGTTTCCAGTCATTTATTCTTACTATCTCGAAGAGTCTAGGTAGGCAGCCTACTCCTCCCTACACGGCTCAGATTCATAGTCAAAGACTTCATCGACTGTTGTCATTTTATCAGGTCACCCTTAGCCTTCTATAAACCTACTTCTACTTCAACACGTATGGTAAAAAAAACTTTATTTAGGTCTGTCACTTTTAACGAATATATGTGACAGCCGTTTTGTTGGATGCAGTCGCCTGTTGCACAGAATACTCGTCCTTTGATATGTGGTTGGATATTTCACCGAAACCAGTGATGACGTAAATTAGCAAATGCTAAACCAACGTTTTTGTATCCTATATGAGATTATGTCAGCAAGCAATATATTCCCAATCGGCAACTTCCCAAGTGGAGTGATAGACATATTTTATCACTCCACCTTTTATGACGACTAGGAGTTGGTGTATCATCTTTCACTTTATAGGGGCGTGTGCATCCTAAATACTTCTTATTGTTAAGCTGGTTGCCAATTTGGATAAGTTTCGGTAGATCATCTTCCACTCGGGAGACTTAGGACTTATGTGATTCTTTATCAAGACATCGAGGGGATTGATTATTCTCAGCGGTTTTATTTAAAGCGGTTGTGTTATCTTACTATTCTGGGTTCATAAGAAAAATATTGCAACTTCTGGAAAACTGTGTTTTCTACTTTTACCAAAATGTGTCCTTTCTTGATATATTCTCATTTTCCTATTTGTTTCTACGTTATCTCACTTGTAGATTATCCCGGAGCAGTTAGAATTACGAATTGATCGAGTGAGTCCTTATTCATTTGTTCACATAAAATACATTATTGACTGTTTTCAGCTGTGTAATATGACTGTTATTCATTTGTATGTGAATGACGTGCTTCACGGACTAATGCAAGAATCTTCATGTTGTCAGTCAGTTGAACTAACAGGTATTTGTCTGTACATAAAGTTATGGAATAATGAATCTTTCTTATATAATTAACTAATTAAGGATTGACAGTTGAGGAATCAAATTTCTAACGATTAAATTGGTTGTTTGTCGGTACTGATTGATATCGAAGTGGTTTACATTAGGCATTGACATAACTTAGAGAAACGTTGAAAATCTGCTTGCACTGAACACCTGTTTGATCCTAGTTTAGGACTCCTCAGCAATGCGCACCCACATCCCCGCGAGGGATCAAGCCTATGACTATAAGGTCTCGCGATGAGCACTTCACCATGTTGCAACTGGGTTGGAACACAATGGTCCACTTTTTTCGAATCGCACACTCTTGAACAGTTTAAGGAAGCTGATATTGTCTGTGACCAGTGATTGTTATCTAGTTTTATTAGCCAAATCACTTCTATCTGCATCTATTTCATTCCATAATATACTTGTTTATTTTGTGACACTTTTCTGTTTCAGAATTCACATGAAATTGATCAAATAAGTTTACAATGGAGATCCTATTTCAGTAAAATACACGAATGGTATGACTGATTACTCAAAGAACAGCATAGCACAAACTAGTTTATGTTCCACTAAGCTGTAAACGGTATCTTCTTGTATCAGCAAGGATAAGACTAACTGGTTATTCAGACCTCCACAGATGGAGTGAGTCAATAACACTGAATCGTATCTCCGCATAGCTTTGAGAAATGTCAGTGTAGACTGGTGGTTCCCGAATATTTTGGAAATTGTTCCCATGCACTATGTGAACAGAATTTTAATTCTTTTACCAGAGGATGCGTAGACTCTATTTTTGTCTTATGAAGCTCATATGCAGTGAATAGTTGGTTTATACGAAATCCAAAGAATTTCTGACAAACGGAACCAATATAATACCACATTTGAGTACTGTACAAAAACGCAAGTGATACTATACAGGAGTAAATAAAAGTGAAAGAAAGTGTACTTACATTTTATACTTCGCCAGAAATCTAACCAATCCAAGTAAAATATCACTTATGGATGGCAAGAGCTTCAATAAATTTAAGCACTCGACTCTGACCACTTTTATGTAGTACTTTAAAAGCTGTTTTTATGTCTACCTTTTAACTTTTAAAGTACTGCATAAAAGTGTTCAGGGCCGGGTGCTTAAATTTATTGAAGCTTTTGCCATCCGTAAATTCCAAACACCCTCTATGTATACAAAAATATCATTTGCTTTCTCATCTGTTTATGAGTTGGTAAATTCAGTTAAAGGCAATGAGCTCCAGAAGTGCCTACTTTATGTTGCATGATTCAGTATGCAGTTTTTCGACACGAAAACCAACTTAGGAATAGAATTAGTTTGACCCATCGTATTCTTCATTCTTTAGTTGATTTTCTCAACAATATCGTTCCCTTTAAAGGTAAGGCCTAAACAATATTACACTTGTTTTTTCCAGTACTGTATTACTCTTTTTCCTCTCGATATTCAATATATTTCTGAATAAACTTCAGTGGCTATATGCTTGAATGCAGATAGTTTTCTTTAACCAACGTAAGTTTGGCATTTATCTGGTCAGATTACTGCAGTTACGTTTTGTACTTGAAATTACTTAAATCGGTGAGATTTATCTGTGACCTAAGATTTCCTGGTCCATATCAATGAACATTCCGTCACTAGGCTAGTCAAGGTGGTGTAGGCTACTGGATACTTTTTGATTGATAACCAAAAAGTATAAAATCTAGACTTAGATATAGAGTCGTTTGCCTTCGACTACGTAACATCGAGTATAGGGTAGTAGTACATTATATTGTTGAGTTTTTTAACTGAATAAACATGTTGAAAAAAATGAATATAACTCAGTCGGTACCTGAACACTAGAAAACATGGAATTGTTTACCCTTCGATGATCGATTGTTGTACACATTTGATCTGTGATAACCGTTGTACTGGAGTATCAACTTTTATTAGCATCTTGACATATAAATGCTCATGAGGTAGTTAAATCAAAATAGAAGGGGGCCCACAAGTGCGCTAGTTCAAGTTGCCATACCTCACAACCTCACACAAAGTGAGAAGCGAACATAAATATATTTAGCAAAGAATGTTTGAAAAGAGGAGAGGGGATAGATAAATACAAGTTAGTAAAAATGAAATTGGCTTGATGATAGCTAATGGTGGGATGCAGGACGTGCGTTTCGTCCTGTCTACGACTCGTCAACTGGCCGCACCTATATTCCGGTTGACGATGGTGTTCCCATTGAAACTCAAACCCAGTACCCATCACCTCAGACGTCAGAGCAACTGAGGTATGAAAGCCACCTCTTGTTCATGGATATGAATTATTATCATTTTTTGATACTTGTGATTTCCGATTTCTTTACAAGGACAATTTCACTATAAAAAATCCTCAAGCAATATCGGGGCGTCCGCATAGGCGCCCTTATGCCCACAGAGATCGATAAATTCAGTGCTCTAAAACAACGGGAAATCACAAGTGTCAATAAATGAAAACATTTCATATCTGTTGACCAAGAGGTGGCTCGTGCCTCAGGAGCCTAATGGATAACGCTCTGGTGTTTGGAGCGAAGGGTGCTTGTGTCGATTCTCAGTGGAAAAAACGTCACTCACTGAGATGCAGACACGTCCAACTGATGAGTCCTAAACAGAACCAAACGCAGGTTCTGGATTCCACTGCTAGCCACGATCGAGCCAATTTCGTCATAATGAATCTTCAGGTAATGTTGAGGCATCCGCGTAGTAACCGGTCAATTCGTCCTGGTAAAACAACAAGAAATCGTAAGTATCATCTAAATGATAATTAGCGCAAATATTAAACATTTTTGATGGTTCTAAAGAGTAAACAAATATTAAATTAAAATTAAAATCCCCATTAACCTCAAATTAAATATACGTTGTTGTGACCGATTTTGAGCCATATCACATTTATAAATTAGTTTACTGTGAATTATTTCACCTTCCAATAGGTTCAACTATTCAGCCCCATAAACCAACCAAAATGATACATATCCGCTGTATATGCTCTATTACATTTATAATATTACCATGCGACTATAATATCACCAGTGGTCTTTTTGTTTTATATTTACAATCAAGGGAAATATGAATGGTAACACACATCCACACACTCGCTAGCCATACAACAAGAGGTATATAATTTCACACTGAATGATTAGTTATCATATTTTCGAAAGACATTGATTATACAAAGATGATTGGACAAAGAGATTAAGTACATGTCTTTGGACTCCTTTATATATCATCACGGGTTGACATTACTTGGCGAACCATGAACCGTGGCCTCTGGGGTCAACCAGGCGGAACGGAAGCGGATGCCAACTGAAGACCTTGAGTAATAGTCGTGCTGTTCATTGCTTCCAGGTTCCCAATGTTTCTCCAACTGATGTCAGTTCGTGGTGAATAATACCTTCAAAACAAATCCCCATTAACATGAAAATACATCTTTTATATATCCTTGATATTTATTTTTGATTATCTCCCGAAGAAGCTCAGACCAGACTTCTGTGCATGACTTAGGAATTATTTCATTTCAATACTCTGTGACTTGGACAAATATAAACTATATCTAATAGGTTAGTATTTCACAAAAATCCACAAGTAATTACGGTAACCTCAGAAGCTATTTAAATGCAATTATCAACATCTTAATGTCTCTTAATGCACACATACATTTTGAATCCTAGGGGTTGACGTTGTTTTGGAGAATAGCAGAAGTAGTAGTAATCTTGTTTTTTTCCTCTAGTGGAATCCAGTAGATGAAAAATACTTTAAAATGACTCGTAATGCTCGAACAGCTGATGTGGATCGTGCTCGTAAACCTAATAAGGACACATTGGATAGACTGAAAGTAAGTTTACTTTGTTATTATATATATGCTTATGATGGGTATTATGTATTTAGTTTGAAATATTTTGGATTGGTGCTACATTTTGGTTCCACTACTGTCATGGCATATTACTCATAATCCAGTTTTAAATTACGTGGTTGCTGGATATTCACAAAGCATATTCGAACCATCTAAGTGGATGACAAGTTGACAGCTTCACTACTTCACAAATTCTACTTTTAACCCTCTCACCACACACGGGTTGTACTTGACGAAAGCGATCCACCGAAGACGTAGATTAGCAGATACTTGAGACATTTCAATGTTTCACAACTGCAACAGCGATATCTCAAAGTTGTATTTCGAGAAAAAGTATTGTATTACATAAACACTTGAATATCTCAAAGACAAGGAAGATGGCGTAATATGTCAAAAACCAAATTAAATTTTTGTATTGGCGCTGATATATTTCATCAGCCGTGAGTTTATCAGGATTCATGTTTCTCTACCCAGCCGTTTAATTAGACAGACTTAGGAATTGAACACACTTTATGTTTGATAAACTCATTGTTGCGCTGTTAAAACACAGTTCACTTTTTAACTATATTTATATACAAAAAGGTTGATCAAATGAAGGTAATCAACAAAGAATGTTCTATTGGCTTTAAACGACTACTTTTGCTTTCTCTTTTGTTTGTGGAACGTACATTACAAGCATTTTGGTTTGTCTCTACCTTGACCATAAAATCCCTTTGTTCTTCATCTTTTCTCTTTTGTTCGATTATTCTTGTAATCCTATTATGATTGGGTGTTTTTTATACCAGTTTCAGGTGTTATTTCATTCAATCTGATTAATAATAACTTCAATTTGAGTGGAAACATATTCATTTTGCGTAGTTTTATATTAAGTAATGGCTCGCTTGTTTATTAGTTGGTTCTACCATCTGATCATTTGTTTGTAAATTATAGACGTCTTATGAACGATTCGAAATATCACACAAACCCATTGTACGATATTCTTCAATGTTTACGCCTCTAATAATAAGTCTATTGTATAACTTTCAGTGAATAATTCATTTCTTTCTTATCGATAAAGGTTATCCTTGACTTACCACCAGGATTAAATATATCTGAGTCAGACGGCGATCTTATCTGGAAGTATCGATTTTATTTAGCAGATAAATTTCCGGAAGTAAGATTCATTATTTTTGTTATAATGATATTATTAGTAACCTTTCATACATATTCATAGTGTAAATTAAAAACAAGAGATGACCATTTATGCTCGAAAAAATAGACAGACTGACGCCAGTTACAAAGTTGGATCATGGATGTATTCAACCAGATTTTGCACCAAAGGCAGACAGAAAATCACTGCATCTGATGACAATAGTATTGTTTTTATTTGTAAGATAAGATTATTTTCTGGATTTGTTTTGTTGAAGTAAAGTGTCTGTACATGTATACTTCAATCAGGACTAAGGATAGACAGTGACCTTTTTTAATAAAGGATTTCAACCAGTCAGTCTATATATTCTCATACTACTTTGTTGTAACATCAAAAGTCTTCTCGACAAAGTTTTTGCTACAAAGTAAAGATTATTTTTGTCTATTCAGTGCCAAGCGTTAAGATATTGTGTTTGAGTAAGGTAGTCTCATAGCACGGTTGGTGGATCACCGGATAGGAAATCCGGAGGTTGCTAGTTCGAGCCCCACCACGGTCCAGATTTTCACTTCACCTTCAATCATCACCCAATATAAAGTAGTCTTGTTATTTGAAGATCAGAGGAAATTAAAAGCTTTTTGGATGCCTTGCGTACTAATTTTATCACCACGTTTCACTACCATACCTTCATAATGTGAAGGATCATACGTCGATTCTTATAATTATAATGGGTAATAATGTAGATCCTTTGGCTTGTTGAGATTGACAACAATTCGTATAGCATATTTGCTCAGCTTTTAAAAAAAATAAAATGTTCTTCTATTCGTTTCTACGTGATACCTGAAACCAATGGTTGGAGACTCTAGGTGATATATCTAATTGAGTGACTGACAAAATCAACGTAGAACCTCCCACACAAGTGCATCGACTCAAGTTGCCACACTTCACAGTCATATACAAAACACAAGTAGATAGATTAAGAGTGATATCAAAGTAGATAAAGTTGTATGAGAGAATAAAAAATCTGTCTTTTCTAGTACCCTTCACTTGACCTCAACATTGCTTACAGGATGATCCCACCACACACGAGCAATGTCATTTATAGTCAAAACCCTGCAACCGCTTTATATTGTCTACTTTTAATAGCCGTGTCTCACAGTCGTATAATAGGACAGAACGCACTGGAGCGCAGTATACTCTTCCTCTGATAGACAGTTGGGAATCTCTTGAGTCGACCCCACAGATGGCGCATGTTGGCGAATGCCAAACTGACTTTCTGTATCCTAGCTGAGATTTCTTGAGCGACCAACGCGTTTGGGCTGATGCAACTCCCCTAAGTAAGTTAAGTGATCGACACACTCGCCACCTCACTGCCTATCATCAAACCAGTCCTGAAGCATCCTCTTACATTTGACAGGTGTGAAGCGCATGCCAAACATACAGAGATTTCTGCTCAACGGGAGCCGATCTCAGTGACTCAGATGTATCCACACATTATCTTCATCTTAATCGTAGTACTGAATTTCAGTTTTTATTTCATTCTTCCTTGCTTTTTTGACGACGTCCAGCCACTTGGGTTGTAGCTGTTGGTTTAAGGAGCTGACTATCGACCATTGGGTCACGGGTTCGAGTCCCGCTCCGCCTACCGAGGTTTGGGCAGCCAGATAGTATCATTAACCCTTACAAAATAGGTGTGGCTAGGTGCCTACTGCACTAATATGCACAAGGTTGCTGAGTGCATTCCGATTCCGGCTCTTGATTGCTTTATTCCTTATTTATTTATCTTTTTTCTTAGTACAGTGTCGCTTGATGTGCTGATGTGAGTTATAGCAACTTAAACTGTTACTCAGTAATACCAGGTCCTACGTTGGTCTTTGTTTACCTAACCTCTGTCAGTAGTATGATTTTCTAGTATTATCCTTTCTTTTGTTTTCTTTATGTCTGTCTCTACAATTGATTCGAATGTGTAGCTTATTTTACTAGTTTTAGGTTTTCCTTTCACCATTTCTGTTGATGTCTTATCCCTTTTTCTAAAGACTTCTCTTGCCAAATTCATTCTATCTGTACGTTGGGAATATTCAGAGCAGGTGAATCAAGCTGTTGAATTGTTAAAACAATGGCCTACAATAGCTCCTGGACATGTTCTAGAGTTGTTTACTCGTCAATTTCTTCATCCAGCTGGTAGAAGATTTGCTGTATTTCGTTTAGAAGCTGCCAGTGATGAGGTATGTGTAAATTTTCAATTTGTTATGTAACGAAAAAGTTTTTTTCTTTAATTTATTTTTCTTCACCATCATTCTCTTGAACTTTCGTTAAAAGCAGATTCTGTGGTGTGAATTAGAATGAGTAATGTAGTTGTAGTTTGTAATGAAATCGAGAAATTCTGTTTCTTTTATACTGAGAACGCCTTGACTGAATCTCTGTTCGTTTCGGTTAATAGTTACATTTCGTCTTTGACTTGGGGATTAAATACTCACTTTCGCATAGTTAAAATTGCTACTTTATTTCTAATAGAACTAATCGGTAAATTGGAATACTCGTTTATTAGAGAAAACGAGAAGTTCGGTGAACATACCTTTGTCAACGATTTTATTCTCCATAGCTGTACAATCACAATTTATACATTTTTGTCTACCTATATTAGCTTATTACAAGAATTATATAATCAAACCTAGTAACGAAGATCAAGTTGAATGAAGATTAAAAGTTCACAGTTGTGATGCAAAGTGAAAATTAATCACAAAAGAGCATAGAAACCAATATAATTAACTGCTTAGAATATAAAGTTGCATAATATGTGAAAATAATTTTCAAGATAAAGCATGATCAAGGGAAATATGAAAACAAAATGAAGATGATATTGAATTATTAAATATACCATAAATATGCCATAGAATACAAGAAATTTGTGAATGATGAGATAGAGGTCGATGTATTATTAGCAATTTATTAAGTCCAAGGTAGCAAGTTTCTTTTGTACACATAATTCCGGTTTCCTCATGCATATAACAAGAGCTTCTACAGGAAAGAGAAGACGGAAACTCATCATTTTGGTAAATTTTTTTGCCACCTTGTCAATCACTTTGAACGCTGAATCCGTTGTGATGGTGTGACCAGTAATGACACGGTGTTCAGTTATTGCACTTCTGGTTGATTCACCCGCATCTCTTTGCAGCTAGGCGGGGTAATGTTCTCTAACCTGTTTGAAAGAACGCTCATCAAAAGATCTACATACCTGGCTCCACAAAAGTATATGAATTGATAAATACACACGGAAGTGGTCAGATGTAGGAGCTTATCCTTCGGGTTACCAGGACTTAATAGACGACTGGAGAATACTAACCTCAACGTTGAAGCGAAGAAAGTTTGCTTTAGCGAGTTCGAAATTCTCCTTTTCAAGATATCAGTAACAAGGTCACCTTTGACGTCAAGATTCCTGCATAATATCTTCTTTGGAATTGAAATAGCCATCTCTCTTTGTGGTTTGGGTCTTATGTTTTTGTCCACAAATCGTGCTGGATATCTGTTTTCAGCCATAACTTGTTTACGTCAGCATTTGATATGTTTCAGAGACTAACAATGCATAATTTTTAATTTGAATCGTCAATGTTTGCGTTAAATTCTCATGACACTGATATCTGCTATTCCCTAACCAACCTCTAACACTGTCATTAATTTTGATTGTACCGCGTTCTCTGAGCTGTGTGGTTAAGTCATGAAGCCTTCATTGTCTGTCTAGACAACATCATCAGCATTAACTTCAGTATGAAGTGAGCTGTCAGTTAATTAGTTAGTTTAAAAAAGTGATGAAAGATGAGACTCCAAGGAATCTATTTGAACTACATCTGATAACGATTATAAGTGGAGATGTTTTAGTTAAAGACCTCTCATGAATTACCTGGAGGATGGATTTTTGGGAATAGGAGTTTCGTTAAACCAAATTCAGATTTCGATATGGAGTTTTAAGGTTCGAAAATCGTCATCAAAAAACAGTCCAAGTTTTGATAGTTTTAGACTGGATCTTTGAGAAACGCTAGTATTTTGTTCAGCGATTCTCTGTAGTTTCATGAAAATATGGAAATAGTCAAAATCGCGTTCAATTATGCCCAACTGGGTCACCATTCGATAGTTAATTCCGTTACGTAGTACTTAGTGCCTAATATTGACAGAGACCTACTGATCTAGTCCTCAATATAGCAGCTTAGCTAAGTGTGTAGTTGTGGCTCATTAGTCTAGGGAGTTGTCTCTCAGTCGGTGGGTCACGGGTTCGAACACTACTGCACCTCTCTCTCTCTCTCTCTCTCTCTCTATATATATATATATATATATATATATATATATATATATATATATATATATATCTTGTTAGTAGGTGGTAACAAGAACCGTATTTAGTTACTTCAAGCTAGTGAGTTAATTTTCAAAGTTCACTTCTGATTGAATGAAATATTCAATTGGTTTTAGGACTGGTTTCAAATTATTTGCCTGATAAAAAAGGATGGTATAAAGTTAGTTTTCCAGTTGTACACTTCCGTTGGCTTCAGACTTCATATCAGAATACTGTACTGTTGAATAAAGAGTTTATTAGCCAAGTTTAATTTATTTCCATTCTTCTAACTAAATATAGACATTTCACTATAAAAAATAATTCATAGTTTTTATACCCCAAGTCGATGTTGGTTAAGTTGCTTTCATTATGAGATAAATCATTCAAAGTCTTTTGTTTTGGTCGGCTTGAAATGGTTGAAATGCTTATTTTGTGTTCTCTTAGTTACAACCTACTTTGATATGTTATGTTTGCTAGGACAGCCAGTTTTGATAGGTATATATTAAGCATGCCTTTCTAGTAAATTGCAGTCTAAGAAGTATTGAATATCTTATGGCATATATTACCAAAAGATGTAATCAATAAGGTCAGATAATTAGTTACAGTTTGCTTGGTAGTTGCTAGCAGTTGCATCCAGGATGCAACTTTTATCCCATTTGGGATTCATCATTTCGATGTACCTAAATCCTCTGTATCACCGGAGGTCGACCAATACAGTCCTGTGTAATAACGGAATATTAAAAGTATCAATAAATAAGGTTAGATAGTGTTCGCTAATCAGGGTATTCCGCCAGCTTTTTAGCTCATAATAAATAGTATTGCTTCGCACAGTAGTCTGACATTAGCCATCAAGCACATCTTTTATGACGAATGAATAAGACATTTTTGGGAATAAACTGCTACTCACTTGGCTTTATGCATTCTATCTATCCAAAATATCTATATTTTTCTTTAGTTATCAAGGTTTTGACCTTTATACTTACATTTTTATCCAGGTCTTGTGGATGCTTACTTAAATTACTGAGATCAACCAATATATCACCAGTATTTACTAACCAATATACAAGATAAGTCAGATAAGAGTAAAATTTAATTGAATTTCAAACAAGCACTAAAGAAGGTGGAATATCTGCATCTTCGTCAAATGTTCTCATTGTTATCTATTTGAGTCTGTTTGTGTAGGTGCTAGGGTAGTGGTTGTGATTGACAAAGGTAGGGCTTTAATTAGCTTCAGTATTTAGCAGTGATCAGGAATGGTTTTTTTTACGTAGAATAGTTTCCACTCTTCAATCCGCTACCGAAAAAATATGACTTTTGATCATCCAATTTTCTCTTCTATTCATTTTTATTCACACTTAACATCATAGTGGGATGTATTAAACAGAACATTTGACATCTGGTTGGTTTCACCTACCAGAAATGTGGGTGTAGATAACGAAAACATGTGTGCCTTGCCAGTTATTTTCTGAAATTAGTGGTAGCACCGAAGTTACTCCTGATAACGATTAAATCATTTGGCTTTACTACGACATATGGTATGCTTATTTATTGACCTATCCTAACAATTTCGGTTGTTTATATTACAGATGAGCTTCCATGAAACACATTCGTTGCATCGATAGATCAACAATCTTTTTTAAATACTAAGTTCAGATTTGATTGAGTTGTTGAGGTAAAACACACCTTGTGGCATGGCTGTTTAACAAATCTCACTGGTAACTAATTCATGTACACAACCCCGGTAATACAGGAGGTCAGTCATTACCTGAAAATCTTAGTAGCTAAACCTCCGCTTCCGCAGTGACAGATGCAACTTTGAATCATCAATGGAATGCGAGTTTCAACAAGGTTGCAGATACCAGTTGCCGAAAAGTGCCAACAAGCACTATCAAGTGAGCTGTGTATATCGGGTGGTGTCCGTCAAGGATGTCCATTCTATCCATTCCTTTCTCGACCTGAAGGCGGTGCTCGACTCTGTCGATCGAGAGGCCTCATACCAGTGTCCCTCAGTGGAAGAGGTATCGAATGAGTACATCACTCTTTTGAAGGCTCTGTACTTGAACGCCCTTGCGCATGTCAGAGCCCAAAGTGAGTTGTAACGTGAGTTGTGTACACCGAATGGTGTCCGTGAACCATACCCACCCTCTCCATTATTACTCAACTTTATCATAGACGTTCTTATGGAGGCCTTCCTCTGGTCATCTGATATAGCAGGGATTGGTCTAGTTACAGGAGACTCTTTGGTAGGTTTAGAGGACGAAGATCACATTCCTGTTAGGTGAACAATATGGCAAGATACTGAGCATTCTCGACACCCTGAGTGGCAATTTGAGAATGTCTGGGATGCGTTTCTCGCTACCCAAATGCAAACTGTTACTCTAAGTCTGGTCTTCCACTTTGTCCCAGCTAACAATACACAGTGAAGTTGGTTGAGTGCGTTGAACACTTCACGTACCTGAGAAGTCGGATCATTGACCGACGAAATCTTTGTAGGTATAAAAAAGGCTTGACTGGCTTTCGCCAACTTGCGCCATTTGTGGCTGCGTGACATTCGATTGTTTATTAAGGGTTGAGTGTATTGTGTGCACTTTGCTCTGTTCTACTACATAACTGTGAAACATGGTAATTAAAGGTAGAGGACATCAGATGGTTTCAGGTGCTTGACCAACCTTTCCTTCGTAGCATAAGCCATGTGTCGTGATATCAGCACATGAGTAACGCAGAAGTCAGGCAGAGTTTTAGGCAGAAGGACAAACGTCAGTTGATGAGGTCGTGAACATTCATTGACTCAGGTGGCCGAAATATGGCTTACGCAAGCCTATAAAATTTTCTACTGGGCATATCATATCAAATTCTTCTCATTCCATTTCTTTTAATCTTTTAAATATGTCCACTAAGTGTAACGCATTCTTACGGATTTTTAAAATGTTCTGAACCAGCCATTTTTAGAATTAACAACAAAATGAAACAAAATGTCACTTTAGACGGAAATAGACTTTTGAGTGCACAATAATACATTATAATTCTATTTCTTGTATACCTATCTCGAATAGCAGCACATTCTTCTACTGGCTGAGTGGACTACCACCACTAAACATCTAACACTGATCCAACAGCAACCAGCTGCTTCACATTACTGACTTTAATAACGCTATTACGTGATAATAATAATGATGATAATTTCGTTTGGAAATATTGTTTTGGGAGTGAATTTGTTAGAATACTACACGTTGAGAACCCCATGTTGCACCTAGCACATAGTTTGCAATAAAGGTCTTACTATTGTTATTGTTATTGTAGTCACCATCTGCCTCGTCGCACGTTAGCTGAAGTAGGTTCAGGCTGGAAAAGGGCTCAGGACAGCCAAACTAAGACATGACACCATTGCATGGAAACCTTGACCGTTGGCCTGAGTCATATAGCGAGATGCCGACTAACCAGTTGGGATTCACGTGACACCAAAGACCAGTGGTTGGAGGTTCTAGGTGATATGAATCAGATATATCTATATATAACCTTAATCGCTATACTGAATTCAGCATTTCCTCATTCTTCCTACCTCTCTTCTACTAATTTCTGCTGTTTTTGACTGACTGTTCTTTATTTCTTCACCTTTCATCTTATTGCTTTATTACTTAATGTGTTGACATGAGGTTAAGCAAGTTGGGCCGTTATGCAGTAATACCTGGTCCTATGCTGATATTGACTGAACGAGCACTAAACCTCAATCGAACAGGGCTTCATATCTATCGACTTCTGAAATTCAACACCACCAATAATATTTCCAACGCTTTTACACAACAATCAGATTTGTTAAACAGCCATGCCACAAGGTGTGTTTTACCTCAACAACTCAATCAAATCTGAACTTAGTATTTAAAAAAGATTGTTGATCTATCGATGCAACGAATGTGTTTCATGGAAGCTCATCTGTGATATAAACAACCGAAATTGTTAGGATAGGTCAATAAATAAGCATACCATATGTCGTAGTAAAGCCAAATGATTTAATCGTTATCAGGAGTAACTTCGGTGCTACCACTAATTTCAGAAAATAACTGGCAAGGCACACATGTTTTCGTTATCTACACCCACATTTCTGGTAGGTGAAACCAACCAGATGTCAAATGTTCTGTTTAATACATCCCACTATGATGTTAAGTGTGATCGACAGAGTCGAGCACCGCCTTCAGGTCGAGAAAGGAATGGATAGAATGGACATCCTTGACGGACACCACCCGATATACACAGCTCACTTGATAGTGCTTGTTGGCACTTTTCGGCAACTGGTATCTGCAACCTTGTTGAAACTCGCATTCCATTGATGATTCAAAGTTGCATCTGTCACTGCGGAAGCGGAGGTTTAGCTACTAAGATTTTCAGGTAATGACTGACCTCCTGTATTACCGGGGTTGTGTACATGAATTAGTTACCAGTGAGTAACTCATATGGGTATCAAGTCCTTAGTGGTCAGCAATGACTAGTTTTATGACTCATAATTCTATTAAGCTTAACTGACTAATATTTAATATCAATTAAGTTTATTACCATTATATATATTTCTTTCTATATTTTACGTTAGGAGCTTATTCTTTACCTATATCAACTTGTACAAGCACTGCGTTACGAGAATTGGCATGATATATTCTCGGTACAACCTGAAGGTAATGCGCAGTCGACAAAGCCTACTAATTCAATTATTGTAAAAGATGAGAATTCTGAGGAAACGAACCTATCAAGTGTAAAATCTAGTCGTAAAAAATCCACTTCTTTTCGTGGTGGACAAGGTGGTAGATCATCATCAACAACAGCACCAACATCAATAACGTCAACATCAGCATCGCAAAATTTTGAAAGAAATCGTGAAGATCTGTCCGGATGGCATTCAGACTTGAAACGTGAATGGAAAGTAAGTTGTAACTGTTCAATCACTTTTTTATGACTCGAATTTTTACAGTCTTTGTGACCGTAGCTGATCGAATGTTGCTATTTAGTAGTCTGTGGTATTTGTCTTGTCACATAACACATAGGTTTGATAACTGTAGACTGCAATTAATTTTTAGATGTTTACAATCTGGTAAATAAATAGAAGAAACATTCGAATAAACTCAGCTTAGTATGTGTACGTGATCGGTCATATCAGTATGAGTTGGATTACTTGAAATATACAGTATAGGAATACTTAACCTTTGATTCAATGCTTGACAATTGCTTGCCTCATCTACCGATCGACAGGTTTACTAATTAGATTTGAGATAAAGTATTCATTTCTATATTCTTTAGATCTGTAATAAAATCGCAAATCGCCTAGTCATAAATGCATAGAAAATAACCAACAATAATGAAATGATACAACTCAGCCCATAAGTTTATGTACTAGGCTATGAGCCACACCTGTTGTATACGGTTGCAGTCGGGCAAAGTATTTGTAATAAAGATTGAACTTGATATCCTTTACTTGTAAGTCAAATACTTCAGTCAGTCAATCATATATCTACTCATCTGTGGGATGGACCGAGGAGATTGGCAAATGTATTTATGACATGGAATTGTATTGTTACGAAGCTCCTTATGCGTTGACATATCCAAACCATCCAATTTGGTGGAAGTTCACAACTTCTTTGATTGATTTATCCAACTGGTCCAGTAATCTACCTCTAAACTCGAAATTCCTAACTCTGCGGTTTCGTCACACGCAAGTTATGCTACGAAGACACATTTGGTTCAAGTTCTGTGACCTCTTCTTTGATTTTCAATGGTTATATATGACAACCATACATTAGGACATAGTGGATTGCTGCGTCTTTTGATATTTAGTTGGATGTTGCACTGATGCCTTAAGTGACATCAGTTCGCAAGTGCCAAACGGTCTTTTGTTATTATTTATGAGACTTCATCAGCAATAACCCATTTAAACTTATGCAACTCACCAAGTAAGTGGAATAGTCAACGAATTTCACTACCTCATTCATTATAACTAGACTTGGAGTTGGTACAGACCAATTTAAAAGCATTTTCTGCACTTGACAAGTACAAAATTCTTGCTAAAGACTTAGATTTTTGCTTCAAGCACTCCTCTGTTTCATGGAAAAAAAATGCACTAGCTAACCGGTGACTAAAGTCCTAACCGGTATTCTAAAAAGGAGTGACAATCGTCCACTTGTTTTCTCCAACGATGGCTTATGCTGATATTTTCAGCCTTAGTTTGGCGAACATCACATAAGACGATGTCTGTTCTTATATTTGAAGTCAGTGACTGTCTGTTATTGACCCAACGGTTCATGTATTCTATTTATTGATTGAGACCCGAGATAAATACTTTGTGGATCCTCTTCTACCGTATGGGGATTTTAAAAGTATACTTTTTTTATACGTGTTACCTAATGACTTATTTCACTGGAATACTGACTGTATATATGAAACTGCATATTATAAGACAAAGCAACCGATCAACTTATTACGTGCATCTACATGGGATTACTTATTAGCAAAACTGTCGGGTATGCTCAAGCAAAGAATCAAGATAGCATAGTTGTAAATTACTCTTCAAATGACTTTCAATCAATCATTAGTAGCACCAAGGTCACTAAGGGGTCAATAAGATCTTCCAACGAGCATAACACACTGAATTTCTGTCATTTGTTGTTAATTCGGTAGCGCATAAGTCTTAGTCAGTGGTATTATTCATTGTTGAAATCTGGTTGTTACCTCAGATTTCTTCACAAATTCGTTCATCATTCTTTTCATAGAAATACATATATAATAGCTGTAGTGGTTTAATTTTTTTTTGAAATTCTGTTTAACTTACGTTCTTTGTTTGTATATTTTGTCAATACAATTACCTAAGTTTATTGTTGATCATTATTATATTGTTTTATACTATTTATTTTAAAATACATACTTAGTACAACATATTTACCAAAAAATTTGCCATGCAAAATAATATACAAACATTAAAAAGGTATAAAAGAGATATTTATGTCATAAAAAGGAAACAACAGAAACGAAAGTATTGGTGAGAGATTAAAGAACCTGTCTCAAAGATACATTCAGTGGAGCAGTTACTAATTCTTTCTTATTTTTTTATGACCGAAGAAACAAAAAAACTATCGTGTTATTGTTACTGGTCTGGGTTCTGAGGGATTTAGGCTATCCGTTTTAAGCCACTGAGTTGTATGATCTCTCAAACCCTTCCTAGGAAGTGGCGAGACACCAGAAAGTGTTAAACCAACACAACTATCCTTCTCATGACGCCATGTCATACGCTGACCACTTCTTCGTCTCTTCCAATCAATACTTGTGCTAGCAAGCACTGAACGGAATGGGAACTATTGGTACTACAGATGTAGAGTAGAACTGATCGTATCAGCTAGCCTTACACCTACGTTTCATGGTAAGGTTAACGTCAAAAAGGAACCTAAGGTGACCTGGGTTGGCTCTGTGCCACTCTCGCTTTCTTCATGCAGTTGAAAATCTCATCACTTCCAATTCCACCATTACTTACGCGAAGGCCTACATACTGAAACTTTACAGCTACCTTCAACGGTTGGCCTCCAAGGATGAGTACAGTTATAGGCTCCCGACAATCTTGCAGGAGTATTTCGCATGTCAGCAGTCCAGGCCACATACCATACTTAGGGACACTGACCAAGTGAAATTTGAGTAGGTTGTATGTTGTTTCTCATTATAAGTTCTAGATCGAAAACTTTCTCACCTGGCAGTAGAACTACACCGTTATCAAGTACCTTCTTTAGAGCTGTTTTGAGAGTATCATTGTTAGCAAAGTAAAAGAGGAGTGGCGAAATCTGGCAACCTTGTTTAATCCTATTGTTGAGTTGCAGTAAAAGAGAGGTTGTTTTGTACCATTATTCTACTGGTTTTTTTAATGCCTTCATAATGTTAACAAACTTCACAAAGGCATCCTTCTCCAACAGATAATTTCAGAGCACAGCCCTATCCAACGATTGTTTACGATTGTGATTGTTTTTCTGTTAAAACGAAGAAAATGCTGCCTGGGTAACTCAATGGACGACTGACAAAATCAATCTAGACCATAACGCACAGGTGCATCAGCTCAAGTTGCCAAACTACATGGTAGTACACAAAGAACGGGATCTGTGAGTTGGAGATCTCACCCATTTGTATGCAGATTAGTAGAGGTTGAACAGCGAATAAACATGTAACTCACTAGTTGAAAGTTCCCATCCTTGAGCCATGCTACTCTACTGAGTTCAATGTATGTCTTTACACCTTAGAACTGGGATTTATGAAGCCTTTATTTGAGTATTTCGTGAAGCCAAAAAGTCACACCCTTTTATCATAACAAAAATCTCTAATGTGAACAAAGATCGATTTCTAAATTTCATGACGGGTTGATATGACTTAAAGAAGCATTGAAAACCTAGCAGCAGTAAACACCAGTTTCTTTTTTAGTTTGCGATTCTCCATCAACACATTTGCATGATTCCACGAGGGATCTAGTTTTGAGGTTGTCAGATCCAGCGGTAAGCGCATTACAAATTCGGCCACTAAGCTGGAATGCAATAGTCTAACTTCTACGTTTGTCGGTTTACAGTGTAGCGTCATTGTCATCTAAAGGCGTTGGTGGACATCCATTGCATTTCCGAATTGGTTGACTCCACTGATCACAAAATCTCGTTAGGACTTCAAGAAATCGGCTTGGAAATAAGTAATTAATAAACATTGGAACTTTGTTTGACGCCTATAACACCTAGTTTCGGAAATAATTTTCAATAATTTTAATTTGTCTATTTTCTAAAATTCTTATATGTAAATGTGCGTGTGTATCTTATTTTTTTTGTTAGGAAGATTTAGCCACTTTTCTCATAAGACGTGCTCAATTGAATTTTCGTATTGCGAATTATCTTTATTGGTATTTACGTTTGGAAACGAATAGCAATCATGGGGATGGCGATGAAGGTGGGACAATGAATTCACCAGATACTCAAAAAATGTATAAACATGTATTGAATAAGCTTCTGCACGCTTTTGATGCTGTAAGCTCTTATTATTATTACTATAATAATAGTGGTTATTATTATTATTATTATCAATACGTGATCATTTGGAACTTATTGTTACAGTTTAAACAAGTCGATCCGTTTTGAATTTATCCATATATTTCATGTAGACATGATGACCCCGTTAGTCACTCTTCATTGTAAGATGTGGTCCGACAAAAGTAGAGCTATGGGTCATTGTGGTCAATTGATGAATACCAACTTGAAAAGTCTTTAAATCCCTACAAACCCCCAAATTTGATTGAACTAGTGCTCATTGGTGACTAGCTTCGAGAGTTGATTCCTGTAGTTCCAATGAGAAGTCGTAACCGGTCGGGCAAACCTGGTGGCCGTGAGGACAAATACTCATCGACAACATTGGATAATGGTCGTGCTATGTCGTAAACTGACAGAAGTTGGAAATATGGACCATTTGATTCCGATTCAGTAGCTCGATGGTAACGTGCTGACCACGGAACTTGAAGGTCCTGGGTTCGTTCCCTGGTGGGGTCATGGATGCGCACTGCTGAGGAGTTACATGCAGGGACGAAATAGCTGCCCAATGCTCCAAGGGTTCTAGTGTTCCTGCAACTGATGTCAGTCCATGATGAATACCAACTTGAAAAATTGACTTTCAACCAATGGTTCATGCGTCCGAACCCAACTTCACCTATTGAGTGTACAGTAAAGTAGTATCATTAGTCGTCATGTAATAGGTGTGGTTCTTTGTCTACTACATGAAAATGTACGTGCTCGCTAGGGTGCATTTCTGTTTGTTCAATCCAATGAAGTATGCCTAAAAGTGAGCTAATGAAAAAGCAATATTATGAAATTACTCTTATGCTGAAAATAATGCCTCGAGTAAAATTTGAAAGTTCCTTATGATATAAAGGTATTTACTATAAGCTTATATGATGTACAACTTTATTCAAAGTGAATAATTTAAGTATCTTGAGAAAGTATATAAAGGTTTCAGCCCAATACTTCCATGATGAATGTTTAGCAAGTGTAGGAAATCAACTAACATTTACTATTTAGTCGAATCAAGAAACTAGGTAATATATTATTTCCATTGTATACAACCTAACTAGCTTGCCTGTTCTTCCAGTTGTTCATCTTCAAGTAGAAAGTTTTTTCCCTCATTTTCAAGATGTTTGCAAATTCAACTGATGTATGATAATTTTGTCTAGTTCTGTGTGCTTTTATTTGTTTATTCGTTGACTACTGGAGGGTGGTTAGAGTGTAAGTGGGTTCGAAACCGAATCAATCATTCTTATTGGTTGTCATTTGCTTCATCGAAGTAAAGGGAGAAGATTATTCACGGAAATCATCATTCTGAGTAGAAGAGTTTTAAATCAGTCAAGGAAAACATTTGTGTAAAGAATAGTATAAACAAGTCTTGTGAGAAGTATGTATTAACAAGTAAATTTTGAATAAAAATTAAAATATCATCTGGAAGTTTAAGCTTCCGATACGTTCCGATGCTTTCAGTTCAGTTATCACATAAACATCGACGATCTACGCCGGTATCAGCACACTATGCGTAAGCTGTACTTGATGCATCCTATTTCGGATCTATTTCCTATAAAGAATGATGTATTGCTCAAATGTATGTACTGTAGTTACCGTGAACTGAACTTTATCCTTTTCTTCTTCTTTCTCTTATCGATTTTATAGGGTGGTCCTACAGGTCAAAAATGGAATATAGAGCTATTGCAACAGACTCAGTTCATTCACGATTTATGCCAACTACTGAAATCAGTTACCAGTGATATGGGTAATCGTTCACGTAAAGTAATTCAACAATTTGATAAATATGTATATTAATTTATGAATAACATGTTATATTTTTGTAAATCCTGTTTGAAAATTTTTTCTTCGTAGTATGTTGATGCTCTGTGAGCTTGATTTGTCATGGATTTACGTTATAATGTGTCTCGAGACGTTATATGTTCAGACAAGACTCAGACTATACAAACCAGTAAATCGTACATTACTAAACTAGGAAGATGCTTTCTATTCCATTGGATTTGATAAGGATTTATTCATTGAAAAGATGATAAAACCGTTTCTGTGTTCTCCTTCAGAAGAATCTGATCGATGCATTTCGACTGTGTTGATACTAGTACATTATCATCTTGTTTGTATATTTTCATTTTTCGACACTCCAGAATACGCTTTGCATAAAACTGGTCGTCTTGAGTTTTTTTTGTTTGTTAATATTAGAGAAATGAAAAAGGCATTTGTTCTCTTTGTTTTTCTGTGCTTTGTACATCGTGTCCCCTTGATCATTTTTACTTTTAGCAAGAACTAGATTTGCAAAATAAAAACGAGCTTGTGTTTATTTTAAGACTTATTCATTTGAAAAACATAAATCTAGGAATGATTTTAGTACGGATGAAAATGACTACTTCCAAATCGTGACTTATTGAAATTAACTTCCAGTCTTACCTTTCAAACCCCAACTTATCATCTAAAACCAACTATAGGGTTGTATGACTTGTGATTGATCGCTTCAAGGATGATGCAGTTTCACTTTGGTATCGAATTTGTAACATGACTATATTTTGAACTAGTGGTCTAAATATTATTGTCCCCTCTATCCATCCATCCGAATCAACATAGGACCAAGCATTACTGAGTAACCGTTCGAGTTGCCACAGCTCATGATCAGTACATTAAGTAAAAAAGCAGTGAAATGGAAGATGAAGAAAAGAAAACTCAGTCAAAGAAATATGAAGTACGAGAAGAGAGAAAAGAAAAGTGACAAATGGTGAGATTCAGTATAGCGTTGTTAAGATGAGGATAATGTGTATATACATCTGCGCCACTGACTTCGGTTCTGAGCTATATCACCCAGAGTCTCCAACCACTGGTTCCTCTTGTCCCGTGGACCCCAACCACCTAGTCTCCATCGCCCCACATGGCTCAAACCAGTCAAAGACTTCATGCATTGGTGCCATGTTTTAGTCTGGCCACCTCGGGCCTTCTGCAGCCTGAACCTACTTCGATCAACACTGTGGTGATGAGGCAATCAGCGACTAGGCATACATAACATGTGTCCCAACCATCTTAGCCGATCAAGGTTCACAACCTCGTCAACCGACTTACCTCTCCTACCTAAAACTCTACTCCTGACTTGTGCGTTACCCACGTGGTGACACCACAGAACACGGCCTATACTACGAAGGCAACGGTGGTCAAACACCTGAAACCTTCTCATGTCTTCCACCTTCAATGGCCACGTTTCACAGCCACACAGTAGAACAGACCGGGCTGCTGTGCAGTATATGCGACCCTTAGTAGACAGTCGGATATCACGGCGGTGCCATAAGTGGCGTAAGATGGCGAAAGCCAATCGAGCCTTTCGTATTCGTGCCGAGATTTGACCGGCCACTGAGCCACCAGGGCAGGGTTGATCCTACTTCCCAGGTAAGTGAAGTGGTCAACACACTGTTATATCTTCGTACACCAACGGCTATATATATATATATATATATATATATATATATATATATATATATATTCCGAAAAATAGAATACGCACGCTTAGCTGACAGCCAACTTAGTACGCAAGAGGCACTGACTGCAACCCCGGGGCGAATAGAGAGTAGACCGAAGCTGGCAGGTGGAAGAGTTAATTACTCCGAGAGTATAATAATCAATCAATCCAAAACACGTGGATAAGTATACACATAAAATATGACCTTGTCCTCAATTGGAGAAATTCGCATAGTAAGAGTAAAAGTTAACCAATCAGCGAATTACATTACAATGGGGGCAGAAATTAAACTACTAGTTATACTGTAAAATGGTGTGAGAATGCCAGGTTAAAAATGTTCAGATTGTTAACCATGTTTTATACAAACTAGTGCCTTACAACACACACTCAACCACTTCACTCTCTATTGTTAGCCGGGGCATCGTTGGAGACCAATCCTGGAGCAACAATTTGCATTTGGATGATGAGAAACACATCTGGAACATTCTCAAATTGCCACTCAAAGTGTCCAGAAGACTATCTTTTCAACATCTTCATCTAGCAGGACAATGTCATCTGCGTACTCTAGGTCTAACGAAAATTCTCCCTCGACTAGATCAACGTCTGTGTATTCAGGTGATGAGAGGGAGACCTCCATAACAATGTCTATGATAATTATTGTCCCTTACATCAATCAGTTTGATGATGAAGGAATTCCGCTAACTGACTGGAGTGTAAATCTACTTCAAATATAACTGAATTCATTGTATTTATATATAGCATGAACGTTATACCTATTTAGATTTTATTGTACGAACTCGACAGTCAAAGTTTATCGACATTGCGGAAATCGGTAATTTGATAATTAGACTGTGGTTCATGGGTTTATTTAGCTAACTTTCAATAAGTGGGCCACAACTTCGTACGTTAACTTCACCTATCTGGTTTCACGAAGCCAAATCGTATTATAAACCATCCTACACTAGGTTTCGGCTCATTGTCTACTGCATGTGCTTGTTGAGCCGTATCAGGATTAATCCGTTATGTAATTTAACTGTCTGGGAAATATGTTTGAATCGTTTGATGTTTACGCTTTCTGTGCCTGTCTGATAAAACTTTAGATCGTTAACTGAGACACGATTGGTTAGATTCTGATTTTGACTATCAATCAATCTTTCAAAACTATATCAAACCTTGAGAGTAATAATAATAGTAATAATACTACTACTAATAACAAAATCCGTTGATTCAATTTCATCTCCCTTATTTTTACTTGTATAGATTGAATTATTAAGATCAAAATTAGAAAGCGCAGAATATGCACATCTTAGACATATTGAAAAACCATTTCCATTCCCGTTAAATCCTGATATTATTATATGTGGTGTACAATCTTCTACAGCTACACTTTTCAAGGTTAGTTAATGTTGTTTTAATTACTACATATCTAAATATATTTTGGATAGTGCAGTGTGGTATGACCTAATGCTTGGCAATATATATCGAATATTTAGGCAGTATTGGGGCATCTGCATAGGAGCCCATATGACAACAGTGATCATTAAGTTCAATCTAGTATAATAACGGGAAATTACAGGCATCAGCAACTGATCACTAGTAATAGGTAGTCGAAATTTTTGTCCTGATCCTTAGGTCTCAGTTCTGACGAAAGTTTATCGATCAAGTCTAAATGTGGTTACTAAGCTTAGTGACGCTATACTGATGCGCACTGTATTTTTTGTTAGATGTTGGGAGTCAACTGTCAGGAAGCCATGAAGGCTAGGTTTCGTACTTTTCGGCACTTGTCAGCAGTGCGTATCTGCGACTATAGAGAAACTGGTGTTTTGTTGTTGATTCGAATCTACATCATCTAGTTCTGACTGAAGTCAGAAATCTAATTAGTTAGCTGTTCATACCACGAGTGAATGGTTATTACATTACATTATGGACGACCAATATGACTATATATTTCTTATTACTGAGTACTAATTGAAGTGTATCCATCGTTATTTTGCATCCAGTGACATTTTGCTACACAACGATCACTCGACACATACTTTGACATTGAAAAAATTCATTGGAAAATTCGATTTCTCTGCATTTATATGTCAGTTTATTTCCGAAAATTGAATGTCTACTCACATCGATACAAAATCGTCTAATATAACATTTAATAAATTAAAATTAACTACTGAAAAATGTTGTACAATAAACAATCCATCCTCAGACTTTGAAAGGCATTTTGGTAAATTTTGGTATCAATTTACATCATAGTGTGAGATAAATTAGCTAACCATTAACATGTAGGCAGCACTGGCCTAGCTGTTATTTTCGAAAACCTTTTGAACACATCTAACACCAATGCTTGACAAAGCAGATAGACATTTTCATCACTATAATCCTTAGGCCCTAGACGTTTTGATAGTTTCGGTTTCTTGACAGGTACTAGGTAATCTGATGCAAAACCCAAGTATCTATTCAAGTGTGGTAATTTCATGTAAACATTGGTATTTAAACCAATATATTATCTTTGTTTGATTTTGCACTCCAAAATAGACAGTTGTCCTTCTGTATATTTTCTGATTCATTACTGATTGATGTGCATCTACTCCTCCTCCTCCCCCTCCTATTATCGAGTTTATATATATGAGAAGAGAAATTGTTGGGTTATTGAAATTGTGTTCTATGTTGTGTAAATTTTCTTAAAAAAACAACAAATGTATGGATTTCAGTTATCATTGTTTAGTGAATATATATTATTATTTGGTTGCTTTTTTCCGTAGAGTTTTCAAAAACCTGCACTACTTACCTTCATTCACCGAATGGAGATACATATAGAGCTATTTTAAAGCATGGTGATGATCTACGCCAGGATCAGTTAGTTCTACAGATGATTGAATTGATGGACGTGGTGAGTAAATTTAGATTTTATTTAGTTGAAATTATTGTACATATCCATTTATCTGTAAGACCCTAGTCGATTAGTGTACTTACCAGTTGCTGACACTTTCCATATTCCTTGACCTGAAGGCGGCATTTGACTCTGTCGACCTTTCGGTGTTGTGGCAGTGTCTAACTATGAAGGCAGTACTCAGAAGGTATATAACGCTAATCAAAGCTCTCTACTCGAACTCACGTAGCAATGTAAGGGCTTATGGAGAGATGCTATTTGAGTTGAGGACAACTAGTGGTGTCCTCTAAGGTTGCCCACTGTCAACGTTCCTATTTAACTTCGTCATTAATGTACTAATGGACATTATCTTAGATATGTTAGACTTCACAGGGATTGGCCTACCTACATCCAGGAGGTCATCTGGTTGACTTGGAGTATCCAGGCGATATTCTCCTGCTCAGTGAAGACACTAACAAAACGTAGGGTCTTCTGGACACGTTGAGCAGAAAACTGAGTATGTTTGGCATACGTCTCGCTGTCAAATGTAAGATGCTCCAGGACTGGTCTGCAAACAATTTTAGATTGAGGATAGCAAGTGAAGTGGCCAGTGTATCAACCACTTCACTTGGAGAGATGTATGAGCTTGGACGGGCTGGTTGCTGACGCAATCTCAGCTCAGACACAGGTTTGTCATTTGCCAACTTGGGTCATCTGTGACACCAGTTGGGGAGATATCCGACTATCTTTCGGAGGACAAGTATACTGCGCTGCAGTTTGTTCGGTCCTGTTATACGACTGTAAGACATGGTCATTCAAAATAGATGACATAAAGCGGTTGCAGTGTTTTGATCACAGATGTCTGCGTAGGGTTGCTCGCGTGTGGTGGAATCACCGTATGAGCAATGTTGAGGTCAGGCAAAGGGTTCTAGGAAAGACAGGAGCGTCGATTGAAGAGGTCGACTGAGATGGTTTGGACGTGTATTGCGCATTCCGAGTCACTACCTTCCTCGATGTGTTGTATTGGATTATGTTGGAAGAGGGTTGTGGGTGGTCAGAATAAGACGTGGCACCAGTCAGTGACGTCTGTGAGTGTTACTCTGAGCCGTAAGGTGAGATTTACACTACCTGGTTGGGATTCTCAAGACGGAAGTAATCATTGGTAAACGATTCTTGGTGATATGGCTGGAAATCAGTCACAATGGTGCAGATGTATTCATTTTTCGGGGTCTTCTGAAGCTTGATTATTTGCACTAACCTTTATCTTGAAATTATTGATTCTCTCACAACTTTTTCTACTTTGATATCACTCTTAATCTATCCACTTGTGTTTTGTATACTACTATGAAGTGTGTCAACTTGAACTGATGCACTTGTGTGAGAGGTTCTACATTGATTTGTCTTTCTGTTTGTTATCGAGTAGTTTATATTTCTCTACGTAGCTTAGACCAATGGATTGGGTTGCAAGAAAACTAAGCGTGATTGAATCCAAACATCACCTATTCATGAAGTCTTCGGCTATTGACCTGAGCCATGTGAGGAGATGTACGCTGTCTGGGTGAGGTCCTCAAGATAAGAGGAATCTATACTTAAGAAGCTTTCGTGAAGTGACTCATAATGGATTTCATTGGGACAGATATATACACTCTTTGTTACATTTGAAGATTTTGACACTTTTAATAACATACATCTATTCATTCTTTGTTCTCTCGTCCACTTTCGTCTACTTTAAAGTCAATCTTTTTGCATCTACCTCTTGTTTGTCTACTACTGCGAAGTGTGATAACTTGAATTGTTAGATTTTCGTCCTAGATTCGACGTTGTAATCGAAATGCACCCAGCAACTGAGCGCTCGTTTATGCGGTGTTCAATGAGCTCTACATCAATTCTGTGACGGTTGATAATACTACCAACTGCCTAATCCTCAGTTGACGTAGCAGGATTCTAACTCTTGACCCACTGCTTGGAAGTGAAATGCTTAGACCAATGGACCATAGCTCTATAACGTTGATTTGTTTGTGTATTTGATGGCCTGTGTTTTTATGAACTTTTAATGCACTAGTTTCACCACACTTTAACTTTTTGTAACCTTTCCTTAATTCAGATATTATTGCACATTCACGTGGGTTATGAGTAACATATTTTCCAAACTATATCAGTTGGGTAGGATGGATTCAGAATATAACTGAGGTAAAAAGTATGGATTCACTTACTAGATGAGTAACCACATATTGTATGAGGGCTACCGACACAGACTAGGTAACTGAACCTGAGTAGATGGACAGTAATTCGAAATCTCAGTTAATATTCAAATGCTTGATCCAATTAACCTTAGGTCCATTACCTCTTCATTATAACTGATGGTGATATAAAAGGTCTAGGTCATAGCCATCTAACACAAGAACAAAACGTGACTGAAGGAGTTTTGTTTTCTATTAATGAAAACCTCTTTTCATTTCTTTATATCCGTATACTCTGTAGTATTCCTGTCTATGATAATTTACTGGGTTGTGGCTAGCAGAGGAGCCCAAGACACGAGTTTCGTCCTATTTGGGGCTCCTCAGCTGGATCTACCTGTACCCCAGTGAGTAGTGTTGTTCCCACTGAGACCCATCGCTTGAAATGCCAAGGCTTTATCCACTAGACCACTGAGGCACGATAGCGAACGGGTATTAGTTATTAGTATTTGTTGATATATGTGTAATTCTCCGTTGTTATGCTAGATAGAATGGTTCGACCTTTGTTGGCATTTGGGCTCCTATGCGGATGCCTTGATATTGCCTAGATATTTATTATGATAATTTACTTGGTTATAACTAGCAGGGAATATCAAAACATCCACATAAGTGCTCATATGCTAATACAGGTCGAACAATTCGATCCACTATAATAACGGAGAATTACAAGTATATTAACAAATAGCGATTCCTATTTATTGTTTGTTAATTGTAGATCCTTCGAAAAGAGAATTTCGACCTAAGACTTACACCGTATAAAGTTCTGGCTACAAGTACTCGTCATGGTAAGCTCGTACTATCTATTTTTTCGTTTTGACCAATTTTTCTGATCATGTTCATTTGTATCAGAGATTTCATTCTTCAATCTAAGTATGATAATTAAGTATAGTTCATAATAGTCTTTGGGTTGAGGTTTAATTTCATACGATCAATTATGTTTCTACATGTAGCTCAATTGACGAACTAATTCTTGTGACTACCATAAAGTCTTCGTAGCTGTGATATCCGTTTTAATGAATTTCCCTTTGTTTCTCTTTTTCTCAATGCATATGTGCTGTTTTCTAGCAAATTGATTCAGTTTACCCATGAAAATATCATGAGTTATTTTCGAACTTGAGTTCACTTTTACTCACAATGTGTGGTGTGTTCTTCAAAGTAGGTTTGCCTGTCTATTAACTTCTGTCTTTAACCCTGTATGAGGAAATTTCGGTAAATTTACTGCTTAGTATAAACTACTTGGGGATATAAGTAGTTTGAAATCACTTTCACTGTTCACTAGTCGTCACTAGTGAAATCAGGATGATCGAGCGACAGACTTACAAGAAAAGTAGTTAAATATCGGGATAGTTTTAAAATCATTTTCTGTCTGATGTCTGACACCTACGGAAATCGATTGCATAATGGTTTCTTGAACCCAAAACAATTTGGAATATGTAGAAGGTGTTTTGTTAATTATTCAGTCATTTAAATGTTAATTGTGCGTAAAACCATACAAAACAAAGCTCATACTGCTCACTTCTGAATAATGTACTGTAATCACCTCTTAATATATCTGCTTGAAATGTAAATTGCTAAGACTGATCTGTTCAGTGTAAATTTACCGATTTACTCGCTCTTGTCAAGTATGTAAACTCTTAGTTATGGACTATACTTCGATGCATTCGGTAGCATCTTTCAGCATGACTTATCAAAGGACACTAGAGGCAAATCGCATCATCTTTTCTTACAACATAGTACAGATTGTGACCGCTTAGCCTCGCATTTTTCATTCAAAGTTATTCACACGATCCAACCAATTAATCTTTAAGCTTCCATCCTTAAACTTAATATAAATTACTGAAGCCATTGCAGTTTACATTTCAAAGTCAGAGTTGCGTAATGGTTAACCAGTTAAGGTGAGGTGAGTACCTTTAACATTAATTCTTTTCATAAAACAAAGCAGCATTGTGAAGATACAATAAACAGAAGAGAGAATGGAAACGAAGAAACATTCGCTACTTTGTTCTTAATTTTTGGTGATAGAAGAAATGAGGAAACTGCAACATTATCGCCACTGGTTTCGATTGTGAGACATCTCTGCAATTGTTTCAAACCACTTAGTTACGTAGCCTCTCGTAAGGCACCTACATTTACTGGCTCAACACAGCTATCTTTCATCCTACGGCACCACCTCTCCGCTCCTTCCAATTGGTCCCAGGGAAGGAAAACAGTGAGTAGTGTCTGAACTTCTTGGATGACAATCGTAACAAATATCACAGCTACTGAAGCTAGTTTTTCAAGATAAACACATCCAATGAGTAACAATCTCCATCACGCTCAAACACACACCACCTCACCCAAGAACTAATTGCACGGTGCTTTCAGCAGAAGCGAGCAGTCTTGTAGAGACAACAGTACTCGAAAACGCAGTTCTAGGACATGCTTAGGTTGGAAAGGCCAGGTTTTATTGGCGTAGAACTGAACTGCTCATATCGATGTGTTGAATACCCGATTTTTTACAGCAACGTTAGTATCACGACTGGTTCAAAGGTGATGGAGATGCACGTATGCCGCTCTGGCTTTTGATACATAGTTGTAAGTCTCATCAGCCACCAGAAGCACTTTGCATTTCGATGGTACATAGCACATGTCGTACTTACGGACACATTGTCAACTGACTGTGTGTGGTCTGAGTAGCCTGTATGTTATCGTATAGCGAAACGATATTCTCTGCATACCCGAGTTCGAAAGATTTTCACCTGGTAAAAGGTCTACACCTCTTGTGGACCAAATGCTAGTGCCTTCGAAGTGTGAAAGCAGCCGACACTTAAGACTACTGGAAGCAGATTGATTCCCTGATGATTATCATGTACATTAGGTGGAATGTTTTCAAAGATGCGTACGACAGCGGTTTCATTACAGTGTGATAAAATATTCAGTCCTCCATAAATTTTCGAACAATATGGTTAGTTCCACGACAGCGATTTGATCTCTCTATCCTTACTAAGAGCCAGGAGTAGGTTGTTTGTGTTGGATGAGTTATGGCATTGGGGAACTTGGAGTTCCTTACAGACGTTCGCTTCGTTAGATGGGTTGGTGTTAATCTATCATGGAGCACAACACTAGAGTAGGTATCTGTAGAAATTGGTAACTGGCGCACTACCTACTTCACAGGATGTCTCATTGGCACCAGGATTTTTGTGGCTGGTTGCTTGGACTAACTAGAACACCCTCAGACCATTGTCAGATACACATAGTGTTTCCATCGTAATCGCGCCTTCTGATTACCAGGCTTCGCGGTTATTACTTAAGTGTTTTTTTGCTCTAAGACGGACTGGCACTCACCAGTGTACTCACTGCTTGCAGGAATACATAAACAAACGTCAAGAAGTAGCAAGGAGCTCGAGGAGACCTAGTGTTTATTCATAGAAAGTTCTTCAAAACGTTTATTATCTTTACTCACTGTTTTCGTTGAGTCTCGTGAGTCCAGCCAGTGCTCCTCTATGCTTTCTGGCGGTTTGACAGCTTACCTTGAACCTAAGTGGGTTCGGTATTTAGTTGCAGTAATAAGTGCAACCTTTTTCTTACATCGACCCGTTTCGGCTGGCTCTTTTGATGATCACTAAAACACTAGATGAGCTTTGGACACATTAAAGTGTGGTCAGAGTTCAGAAAGGTGCTCCAAAATAAGTAACATTATTAGGTGCACCCTTGACAACGATAGCTGATGGCAGAATGATCTATCTGAGTCCATGCTTGAATTGCAGAGATAAGACGCCAGGTAGGACAACGGCAATGACTGTACCAAAAGTTGGTGCTGAATAGTAACGTATTGTGATTTGCGCGAAGTTCAGAAGACTTTCCCCATTATCTGACTTGCAATAGACTAATCTCCATTGGCCACCTAAATGAAATGACCCTCCTCTGGGTCTAGACTCCCGACTTGTGCATTCAAGCCTCCTGCTAGCGCCAATAAATGTTTCGAACGCACATGGTGCTGAAGATCTTTAATCGCATCCGATGCATAGACAGAGATGATGAACAGACATCATTTCCTTTGCCAATTTATTCTCACTACGATGAAACATCGGGTCTAGCAACACACAAATAACTGTTGGTTTAGATCCAGTCGACTGGTGTATCTTCGGTTCTGGCAATCAGTGCGACCAGCTGATAATGCCACATGCTCCATGGATAATCACATTGTGAACAAGTCTTTTGGACTGACAGATAGGGAACTTATTCGAAACACTTTACTGGGATCTTGTATGTGAGCCTCTGAGATATGGCATAAATAAAGAGAGGCTTTCTGTTCTTTGATCTGCATTAAAAACCGAATGCTGATAGTGTATAGCTTAAGCGATACGAGCTACTTCAGGTAATGGTTGTATGAGATGTCACATTTAATGACAGCTTTATGGAAACAACTGTTTAACGACTGAAAATGATACAAACAGGCCACAATTTTAGTCAGTGACAAGTTGAGTGAAGCAAAAATAAATATAAAGATAAATTTGGAAATGATAACGAAATGACTATATATATAAATAAAATAGTGATTAAGATGTTCACCCGACAAAGTACGATGACTGTATTATGGATATATATTAAAGGAAGATAAAGGGGAGGGAAAGAGTCAAATAACGTTTCCTTCACAAGTTTTCATTGTGTCTGTACTTATTTTAGCAGTGTCGACTTTTAACCTTACCAGATCACTCTCAAAGTTACTGATTCACAGGTTGTTAAATATTTTATGTAGGGTAATAGGATGCATTAAACAGGTGCTGAAGGCTGAAGTCTCATGATTAAACTTTGATAATCACTTAATATTGTACAAACAACTACCATTATTCCAATGTTGAATATCTCTCATTTAAACCAACTGAAAACTGGATTTTGATGCTCAGATTTCATTTCTTTTAATTCATCCATTAACCTTAAGGGTTGTGAGTTTTTATCCCATACTATAGTTTGTCAGAAAGATGGAATAAATTGTCTCATGAATGTTTTTCGTTAAAAAGTTTTGAAACAAGTTTAAGACTAATTAGCACCAACCATTTGTAATACTAGAAAGCCGGCAGTTATAAGGCTCTTGTTTTGCCCTATTTTGAGAATCCTCTATTCATCATATGACAGATCAAATCTAAGAAAGTTAGCTATCGTTACCACCAGTCCGCTATTTTTAGCTTAATTTAGTTTGAAGTGCAGTGAAATTGGCTTTTTAGCTTAGTGATCCTTGCATCAACTCAAGGTTTTGGATTGGATTCAATGCGACGCTGTTTAGGATAAGCACTTTTTACTATTTAACAAGTCAGGATGAATTAACGGCTTCTCAGTTTCTGTTTTTTTAGTAGTTCTATAAGAAAATGTCAGTGTGTTGCGAAAACCTTCAAGTTGATCACTTTTCTCGTTAGATTGATAATATAGAAACCATGCATGCACACATAGGGAATTCACACTGATACAGTATGCACTTTCCAAAAAAAGCTGTTGACCATCCAGTACTTTTGTGTCTTTTCTTAATAGGATTAGTTCAATTTGTAGAATCAGTTTCATTGGCTGATATTCTTCATCGATCAACCTTACTAGCCTATTTACAGTTAAAAGCGCCTAGTCCAACTGGTCCTATGGGTGTTCAAAAAGAAGTTATGGAAACGTATATTCGTTCTTGTGGTAAGTTTCTCGTTGTTCACTGTTTAAAAATGATTTGGTTTTCGAGTAATAATTACCTCTATTGCTTGAGTCATCATCGTTTTTTTCCTAATCAGCAGTGTTATCGGTCTGCAGCAATTTAACTAAGGCATTCAACTAGTTTAAATACCTATGTATTGTATACCATCGATCCTTACAAAATAGTTTTGTTTTTATTACCTTGTACAGAAAATGTCATGGTTATTGAGTTGTATCATCCAGCTAGTATATCTACAATTTTTACTGTTTGGCCTTTCAAATAAGCATAGTTATGCAATCGATGGTAGGAAAAAAGCCTTTATCCACTAGCAAAAACATGATTCTTTATTCTCAGGCGGCTAAAAATATTTCATCAAATGTGTATATTTCGTCAGATTTCTCCTTTTATTTCTTTCAACTATTAAAATGTCAACTAATCTTCAAGAATGCATATATATATATATATATATATATATATATATATATATATATATATATAAAAATTAGTTCTTTGGGTTCCTAGTGGAGCATATGGTTTTAGTAGCACGTCTCCATTGCACTCTCTCATCTGCAGTCTTCTCAACCTGGAGCCACGACTGCCCAGAAGCTTCCATTTCTTCCTCACATCATCTCCATGTCCCCCCTCGCTTAGGACGCCCAACTCGTCGTTTACCCTTTGGATTCCACTCGACGACCTGGCCTGGCGCGTGATGTCCCCAATCGGCCTTCTCAGTGTATGTTCAATCAAATCCATCTCCACTTTCTTCTGCATATTTGTTGGGCGATGGGTTCTTGGTTGGTTCGTTGCCAGCCAGCCAGAGTGAGTTCGTTGTTGCTTATTCTTATTATTCTGGCCATCTTACCTTCAGTGTCACTATCGAGTGAGTGTAGGCAGTAGCCGTTGATATGATGTAAGTCTGTAGTTTGTTGGAAATGCTTTTTGTGACGTGTCAAGTTCCTGAACCCTATAGAAGCACTGACTTACTTGACGTTATTGTTGAAAATCCGGATGTTGTTCATGCTTAATGCTGAGTGCGGTAGATCTCTACACTGGTTTCAGAATAATGAAGGTGTGTCTATCTGTCTTTCCGATGCTGGCTTTGACGTGCTGACCTGTGGTTGTGTGACCTGTAGTTGAAACGATGCTGCCTTGCCTGGGTAGGTGAAAGAGACAAGTTCCTTTAGATTTCTGCCGTTGATAGTGCTTGGTTGTTGTTGTTGATGCTGTTGTTGGATGGGCATCTTAATCATCTCTGTCTTCTCTATGTTCACTTGAAGTCCTGTTTTCACTGCCTCGCCTCTTCTGTCAACTTGTTGGTTTCTGCCTGTAGATCTTCTAGTTTGTGCGACAAAACATAAGACATAAATTATCATTGGTGGAATTGAAATCTTCTTCTGGGGTCTTTTCATCGGTCTAGTCAGTGTATGCCCATGTTGTCGCTCCTCACGGTTTGTTACATGATCCAGTCAACGCCAGTGAGGAAGATGATCGATGATGGTAGGTGGCAGCATTGTCTTGCTTCTTCCTGTCTTCACTTCAAAGGCGTCACTGAGCTGTTTTCCATTGTGAATCACTTGGCGTGTGGGGTAGTCATATAGTTGTTGAATGAGGTTTATATTGGTTTGTGGTAGTAAGACTGTAGTGTTGAAGCAGCAGCTGCCGAATTACTTTTCGTTCGAGGCTGTCGAAGACCTTTTGAAAATCGATGAGGTTGAGGTATAGAGTTGACTAGCATTCTACACTCTGTTCTCTATGATGATGGGTGGTGTAGCGTTGGAATTTGATCCGCACATGATTTGTTCTTCCTGAGGCCAGCCACCAGCCAGGCTGTTCTGGTGGTAATTTCGAATCCAGAGGATCCTTTATTCTCTCCAGGATGATGCGGCATAATATTTTGCTTGGGGTGGACAGGAGCATGATTCCTCACCAGTTCTTGTAAATACTTAGCTTAGGTGTCGCTTCTTTAGGAGTTTGACAAGGTGGCCCTTCTTCGAATCAACTGTTAGGTACCTTTCCTTCTTTCCAAACCTTCTGCCGTAGTGATGTGAGGATGTCCTGTGTTGTTTCTGGGTTTTTTTTCAGTGCTTCTGTTGGAATTCCATCTGGTCTTGCTGCTTTCCTGGCTTTCAGCAGTTTTATGGCATTCAGGACTTCACTTGTGCTTTTGTCGGAGGGTTTGTGTTCACTGATATAGGTGTGTGGCTGAGTTGCTGGTGGTATTTGTGGACGATTTGTAGGTGGTGGTGGTGATGGTGGTCGATTCAAGAGATTTTCTAAGTGGTCAGCCCATTGTTTCCTTTTTTCTGCTCTCTGGTATCTCATCATCATCATCATTATCAACATAGGACCAGGCATTACTGCGTAACGGTCCGAGTTGCCACACCTCATATCAGCACATCAAGTAAAAAGGTAGTGAGGTGAAGGATGAAGATAAGTGAATGCAGTCAAAAGAAATATAAAGTACGAGAAGAAAGGAAAGAGGAGTGACAAAATAGTGAGATTCGGTATAGCGTTGTTAAGATGAGGATAATGTGTGTATACATCTGCGCCACTGACTTCGGTTCTGAGCCATATCACCTAGGGTCTCCAACCACTGGTTCCTCTTGTCCCGTGGACCCCAACCACCTAGTCTGCATCGTCCTACATGGCTTAAACCAACAGTCAGAGACTTCATACATTGGTGCCATGTTTTAGTCTGGCCACCTCGGGCCTTTTTCCAGCCTGAACCCACCTCAGCCAACATTGTGTGACGAGGCAATCGGTGACTAGGCATACGTAGTACGTGTCCCAACCATCTCAGTCGATGAAGGTTCACAACCTCGTCGACTGACTTACCTCTTCTCCCCAAAACTCTACACCTAACTTCTGCATTACTCACATGGTGACACCACGGAATACGTCCTATACTACGAAGGCAACGGTGGTCAAACACCTGAACCTTTTTGTGTCTTCCACTTTCAATGGCCATGTTTCACAGCCATACAGTAGAACAGAGCGGACTGCTGTGCAGTACACGCGACCCTTAATAGACAAACGAATATCACGGCGGCGCCATAGGTGGCGCAAATTGGCAAAAGCCAATCGAGCCTTTTGTATCCGTGCAGAAATCTCATCGGCAACTAACCCACCGGGTTGATCCTACTTCCCAGGTAAGTGAAGTGGTCAACACACTCAACCACTTCACTCTCTATTGTTAACCGCGGTACCGCTGAAGACCAGTCCTGGAGCAAAAATTTGCATTTGGGTGGTGAAAATCGCATCCCAAACATTCTCAAATTCCCACTCAAAGTGTTCAGAAGACTCTGCATCTTGTCAGCGTCTTCACCTAACAGGACTATGTCATCTGCATATTCTAGATCTAAGGAAAATTCACCTGTGATCGGTCAACGTCTTTGTAATTAGGTGACGAGAGGGAAACCTCCATAAGAATATCTATGATAAAATTAAATAAGAATGGGGATAGTGGGCATCCTTGACGGACACCACTTGATGAGTATAGCTCCCTGGACAACTCACCATAGGCTCTAACATGCCCACAAGTGTTCGAGTAGAGAGCTTTCAATAAGGTGATGTACTTACTAGGCACGCCTTTCAGTGACAGACACTGCCATAAGACTTCTCGATCAACGGAGTCAAATGCCGCCTTCAGGTCGAGAAATACAGCTATTGTCGGGCGTCTGTAAGCATGCCTATGTTCCAGGACCTGGCGCAGTGTGAATATTTGGTCGATACATCCACGGCCAGGTCTAAAGCCTGCCTGGTTTTCTCGGGCTTGCTGTTCCCGAGCTCCACTCAGGCGTCGGAGAATTATAGAACTTAGGATCTTAGACACTATGTTTGTCAGGCTGATTCCTCTGTGGTTATCACAAGAGGACTTCTCGCCTTTCTTGAAGACTGGGATGATGAGTGACTTAGACCAGTCGGAGGGGATCGTATTTGATTCCCATATACTGGCTAACACTTCCGTTAGCCTGACTAAGAGAACTCTACCACCATTCTTGTATACCTCAGCAGGTAGTCCGTCTGGTCCTGCTGCCCTTCCCCGTTTCAGGCTACCTACCGCTTTCTCAACTTCTTCTAGTGTTGGGGGACCTGTCTCTATGTCCCATTCAGGGTCCGACTGGATAGCGGGCAGCGCAATGGTGGCTGGAGGCCAGTTAAACTGTTCCTCAAAGTGTTCTGCCCATCGTCCCAGTCGCCTTCCCTGCGAGTGAATCGCCGATCCGTCCTTCTCCGCTATAACCTCACTAACTGTTGTTGACCATTTCCCCCCAGTCTCCTTAATAAGTCTAAATAACTGTCTACTGTTACCGATCGCCGCTGCCTTTTCCATCTCTTTAGCCTTTGCTGCCCACCACTGTTCACGATCGTTGCGCAGACTTTTCGTCAGTTATTTTTAAGTTGCGCTCGCTCTTCATTGTACTCAGAGCCTGCAGGGATGCATTCACGTGCATCCATTAGTTTGGAAGAAGCTGCTGATATCCACTGGCTCTTTTTAGCCATTATCTTGGAGTCGGCTACAGTCTCCAGTGCTGCTTTTACAGTAGACTGAAGATGGCACCAAGCTTCTTCTGGATGAGTGACAGTCTTTTGTTCCGATAACTGCCTAGCCAACTTCTCACTGAACACGGCTTTGGTGTTTTCGTTGTCCAGCAGAACTCGTAGTGGTTTTGTTGCCAAATTTTTTCTACGTCCATTGAGACGCAGGCATATACGTGCTCGGACCAACGCATGATCGCTGTCCAAACACGTACTCCAGAAGGAGCGGCAGTCTTCCACCGATCCTCTCCAGCGATGACTAATAGCAATGTGGTCTATCTGTGTCCATCGCTGAGTCGAGCTCGGTGGACGCCAGGTCAGACAGTGCCTTTCTTTATGTCTGAAATTTGTGCTGGCTAAAAATAGGCGGTTATCTGAGCATAGTTGTAATAGGCGATCACCGTTATCTGTACGTTCAGCTGGGATTCCGAAAGTGCCACCTAAGTGCCTTTCTGCCTCACTCAGTCTACCCACCTGTGCGTTGAGGTCACCTGCAACAACCACTACGTCCGAACGTTTGGCTTTCGAGAGGAGGTTAGACAGTTTATGGTAGAACTCGTCCTTCACTTCATCCGAACTACAGTCAGTGGGTGCGTAAGCAGAGATTACAAAGAGACAACGGCGAGTCTCACTATTCCTTTTAGTTCTCACTGTGCCGTTCAGCCTCATAGCGCAGAGGCGACTATCAACTGGGATCCAGTCTAGTAGTGAGTTTTCTGCCCTGGTGCTTAATGCTATACCTACACCTGCAAGACCACGAGAGCTAGCTATCGAATCTCCAGAAACTCGAAGGGTGAATTTTGCGGATTCACCAGATTGGTCAGGAGAGGTCAGGTGAATAACCACACTTGGGTCCTGTATGCGTGTCTCACAAACACAGCACACATCCATGCCCGAGTTGCTAGAGTCTTTGCCAACGAAGCCTGTTGGCCAATTTGACGGAGGGTGCGGACATTGAAGGCTCCAATATGTAATTTGGAGCGTGGTTTAAGGAGACCAGGGATGCTGTTCTGTGGACTCAGATCGTTGTCGAAGGCTGCAGAGGTAGGAGAAATTGAAGATGATGCAGCATCATTAATTAAGAGACGTGAAGGAAGATTAGAAGGTAATGATGGAGGAGGAGGATAGCAGTCAGAAGAAACTTGGGTGCTGACAGAGTTGTGAGGGCGGTTGACACTTCCCGGCTGCCCACACCGTGGAAGGCTATTTCTTCTTAAGGTACCTGAAAGAGATTTGTGTGACCGCAGAGCCCATCGGACATCTGCTTGAGGCCTGTCACACCCAGCCTTTTGAGTATGATTATTTTGAAATTTTGTATTTTTGGGGCCGGATGGTCGAAAGGAAACGACAAGTGAACCAACACCGCCGGCCCGGCAGACCGTGGGGCGTGGTGGAGTGTGTTATTTTTGGGGCCGACCTTTTCTAACCCCCCCTTCCACTGAGAAGGCAGCATCAGCTTGGCACTGCTGGTCATCCAAGGGAAACACCTTACTGCTGTCACACCCCATCCAGCTAGCAGCAGTACGACTTCGCCCTCAGACCCCCATCATAGTGTAGCAATTTACACTATAACGGTAACTGCTTTTCGTCTAACCACTACCCAACAGACCTTTCTGGTATGGTAGGACCTCGAGGGAACAAGCGTTCCACCAGCATAGCTCGTTGGGTCATTGTGATATGCAAGCCCGACCACCACGTCAAGGTAGCAGCTATCGGTCGGGTGGTAGCAGAGCGTGGTAACTAGGTTTCCTTCACTACCTTGCATTGGTTTCATCTGTGTTGATCTCTTCCTTCCTATATGGTAAGCTGGTTATTTGATATAGTGTGACCAGGTCTCTTCTACCTGCAGCCTGTTGTGTTTTACTTGCAAGTGTGTCGAAGAAGTATGTTTTGTCTTTGCACGCACTCTTCTTCACTTGTTTTTCCAGTGTGGTGTTTTGTAGGTTGTGTTCAGTTCTTCTTTTTGTTGTTCATCCTTGCACTGGACTGTACTAGTTTATCTTCTGCTTCACGATGTTTGTCTCACTCCTGTATCCGCTTCTGTGTCTTTGGAGAGCCATCCCTTGTTTGCCGTGTTTCTTCTTCCTTCCTAACACGCATATATATATATATATATATATATATATATATATATATATATATATATATATATAACTGTTTTGGATAAACGTTATGAGAAAATTTCGCTCGGAGTGTTTCTTTTGGATTGAAACCGGTTAGATGCAGGTTTCTTTTGTATTCCTTTTAGTTCATGTATAGGAGTACTATGAATGGTATCTGCTTGAATATACGTTTCAGAATATCACTTTTCTCTTAAGATATCTTGAATGATTTGTAATTCTTTTTTTACTTACTCCTCAGAGCACTTGATCCTTCTGTGAATGCTAAACCTCCTACCACATTTTGTTCTTATTTCTTGAATATATTACTTGCCAAATGGTTATTGGAAGAGATATTTTTGTTAGTGATCAGTGATGTGAGATCCAACCTTTCTCGGAGTAGTTAGAATACTGTTATGTTTGTATTCACATTGGTATTTTTGAGTTGGGTTCGGAAGATGAATTATATTTTATTCTGTGCTATATGACTTTCAGAGTATCCCGTAGACTATCCTAAAATGGAATGTTTGTATTATTGTTGACACTCTAGGGGGGGGGGGGGTATGCTTTCGATGAATTTATCTTTCATTATCTAGTCCTTTTGACGAGTATATCTTATAACAGTTGTGTACAGGTTTTTGTCATATATTTGGTCACATTTTACTATGTAACTAACTGACATGACAGATATTCCATCCACTGACTTTTTTGACAGCTGGTTATTGTGTAATTACCTACCTTCTTGGTGTTGGCGACCGTCATATGGAGAATTTGTTACTCACGGCTGATGGTCATTTATTTCACATTGACTTTAGTTTCATCCTTGGCTCTGATCCGAAACCAATGGCTCCAGAAGTCAGATTAACACGTGCTATGATCGATGCTATGGGTGGTCCTAATTCAAGTCAATTTAACGAATTTTGGAAGATCACTTTTACTGCTTTCCTAATTTTACGACGGTAAGATGTTGGTGATAATATATACAGATAAAAAAGTAGCACGATATTTTGCCTGCATTATTTTCTAAATATTTTTTTACCTTAAATGAGGTGACCATTACTTCTGCAGTATTTTGATAAGAACTCTACATAGCAAGTTTTATTCATTGTTAAGCTTTCTTATCGTTGAATTGTTTACCTATGATCTCTTGTTATATGTGTATAAAATGACTAGAAATGTAAAGGAAACTGACAAACTACAAAAACATTACTTAATAACTAGATATGTGTAAGTGGATTGTTTGTTTTATTTTGCCGTTTTTACTGTTGACTGTATAGAACATGAAGTCGTATTCGATTAACAGTTATCTTAAAGGATTACGTGTACGCTGACATAGTTGAGTGAGGAGTATCTAGACTGACTGATTACTTTAAATCATAAAAACTTCCCATTTTCGATAACTTTTTCAGATCTTACATGTCGAGGAATTATGCGTCCACAATATCAGGGTTTAGCTTAGCAGTTTATCGATAATATTATATAGTTGGGAAAGTCAATTCAGAAAAGTCTTGTGTGAACGTTAATGATAAAATTATCAGAATTCTATTCACATTATTGGTCTTATTGTTTGAATTCTGCTCATTGTATTGTTGTAGCTAGTGTTGGAATCCTCTCAGGCTTTTCCCCCTACTTTATGTAACACCCTTCTCATTATCTTGAGCATATTTGTTTTGTTTCGTGTGTGACTTTTTCTCTTGTTTCTAGAACATTCGTCAGATCTTTATTATTATAAGTTCTTTTAACTTTCACACACTTCTCGTTATTGTAATTGCGTAACATCATTGTTGCTGTTTCTTCAAACTGATAATTTTCTATCGAATTAATTTAAATGCAGAGATTTTCCTGTATGTTTTGATTATGAAACTCTGTAATTACTGCTTGTTGTAATTCTCCGGTGCGGGTACATCTAGCTGACTAGTCGTAAGTGAGACGAAACGTGCGTCCTGGATTCCTTTGCTAGCCATAATCAAGTAAATCACCATAATAGAAACTGTCAGTTAAGAATTTCATCGGTCTCCAATGGGGCATAACATCAATGCTAAATATTAAGATAGTTCATACGTTAAAGTACTTCTGAAGTCGACTATCAGTTTAACAGGATAACGTGCTTTGGAATGTAATGGCACTGCATTAAACCACTTTGACTCACCCAGCGAGATGGCTTCAGTTGACATATTAGATCGTGTGCGGATTTCCGAATCTTATGACAATGTCTGTATGTTTCTTGATTTTTTTCATATGCTGCTTAAACCTTAGGGTACCAAAAATGTTCTAACTGATATATTTTAGCAAATTCTTGATTTTCAGTTTGTTATAGTCTTCTAAATGCATCATGTACTCTCCCACCCTTTTAAAATGTTTCTGAACTGTCGTTTCTCAAGCTAAAGAACAAGCCGATAAAAAAACGTTACGCCGAATGTAAATGAGCTTATAAATGCTCAAAAATACAATACAGTATTATTCCTAGGATAACCATATCGAAATGCAGATTTTTGTACTGGCTGATTGAACTACTATCACAAAAATTAGACTGGAGTATGTATTCATTTTCGAATCCAAACCAGATGGTTATTTATCGACAGCTTTCCGTTTCTCATTAGTACCACTAAAACCGTTATGTTTAAAACCGTTTCGATGCAATAGTTATTTCGTTTAAAAATATCGTTCAGAGAGCAAACTTGTTGAAATATTGCATGCTGAAAATTTCATACTGTATCAAACATGTTACTTTAAATTATACTCTGAAAAGGTATTGAAAACTACAGATTATTGAGCATGTTTTTTGTTTCCATGCCAAAATTTCTCAGTGTTTTGCATTTTTGAACCACTCCATGTATATATGCACTTGAGAATTTCAAGTAATGTTACAAGCACATTAAGAATAAATAGTTCATCCTACTACGAAGACTATATTTTTAAAATGCGGTGTTTCAGCGTAGCTTCTCTACAGTTCATAAAAAAAGTATTTTTTCGGTCAGATTTCAACTGTTGTAATCATTAGTCATGAATTTCCTTCAGCTTCTTTATTTGTCACTGATACAAGTTAAGTGTGCTAAATTGAATATATGTATTTTAAAATTGTTTGAATATTCCCGTTCTTATTTAAAACAGTTTAGTCAGTAAAACTATATTCTTTTCGATAACTTCTTTTTCAAGTTCTACATCTTTTATACCCATATATAAGAATAAATGTATTTTAATAACACTGAGATGTTTGATTACTTTGAATCGTAGTATTATTAAATATTCCGAGTATTGTTAGGAAAAAAAGTATGTGTGAATGATTTTGTCAGAATCAAACTTTACTGGAATTCACTTCAAAATAGTTATGTAACAGCGGCTGATGAATATCATGTAGTACCAAAATATAGTATATTACAGTACTGTATCATTTACCATCTTGTAGATTTGATCGATACATCGATCAGCACTCAGTCCATGGAACTTGATGGTTTATCATGTAATGACCAATTTTTGTACAATCAAATATCTCAAGGGATTCTCTCATTCTAAATGTATCATGGGACAGTTGAATTTGACTATCCTATATTACATAAAATGTATTATCTATATAATTTTAAATGAATTCCCGTAACTTTTGATATTATGATCCACGTGTATATCTTCCCTAGCGAAGTCTCAGATTAATTGATGCTAATCATTTGCTGTTATGAAAATCTCACTTTTGTCCAGAGATATATATACTCTTCGATTGACTGATATGAAAGTGTAAAGCTGTAGAGTCCGAAAAAGGAAGTGATAAGAAAGAATATTCTTTGTTCAATAAGCTTGCTGTTTTCTCTTACTATTGAGGCATCTAAATGTTTACTACAACCTATTTTTCGCCGTTTTATTTGACTTTATAATGTCAACATTTATTTGTATAGATTGTATTTCTTTTCTGTTTCCTACTATTTATTATCTAGTCATGCCAACTTGTTTTTGACTCTATTTTCCTTGGTATCGAATACTGGGATACAGAGTATTGCTAGTGGACAGAATAATGCTTCTGAATTTTTAAAAGAACACTTTTGTGTACACCAATCAGAAGAGAGAGCTGTTAGTCGACTAGCCAATCGTATGACAGAATCAATCAAAGCTATTGTACCCGATATTATGGAACGGATACACACTATTGTACAGGTGAATAACCTCTTTTTATGAATAGCTTAATATTACGTTAAATGAGATAAAGCGAATTATTCACTACAAATGAAATGCATTTGTTGTTGAAAATATTTTTTGCAGTTAAATTCTTATTTGAAAAGACAAAAAACTTGTTGATTATCTATCTGTGAATCTTCCTATGATACCCGAAATCGATGACTGGAGATCCTAGTTGATATGGTTCAATATGGATCACTTCACCTTATCTCTATCCTGATCATCATATCACAGACACCTTTATTTGCTTTAGCCCGTCTTCCTGTTTTCTCATGACTTTCCTTCATCGTACTGGTTTGCATCACGAAACTCGGTTTCACAACTCGTCAGGTTCCATGTCAATATTGACTGACTGACCGATCTGGTTGTATGTCAACTCTGCAGATAGAATTTCGAATCCATATGAATCTACTACAGTTTAGACAACTGCATAGATTATTGTTATCTAACAAATCTATTCACCTTGTACTTATAATAGTAATGACCAGGCGAAAATGGACACATTATTATACTACTGCAAAATCATAGTTATTGTTTTGAATCATCTAATCTAAGGAACCGAAGGGAGAATCTTCATGTCTACCGTTTCTGCTTTTCTAGATTGTTGTAAACTATTGCTTCTATTCTACAGTGAGAAACACACCTACCGAACTGTCAAGAAATCATTGATGTTTCATCACTTTTTAGTCATTTAGTATTGCGTCGTATGTCTTAAGGAAAATGGCTGGTATTTATTTATATGTAGAGCAAACACAAATTGGTACCAACTGTATTGGTCATGTGGTTGGCTGTTCTATTAGCTATGATCATTTTTCTGTCCATTTTAATAAATATAACGTTATTATCACACCACTTGTAAACAGTCCCACTGTTAGTTGACTGGAAGTGATCGACAGGAAGCCCTCGGCCTAGGTTCCGTACTTATTGGCATTCATCAGCAAGTCATATCTGCAACCTTGAGAGAACTGATTTTCTTTTGAGATATTCAGACCCGTGTCACCCAATGCTGCAGTCAAAGGCGTTATCCATGAGCTATTTGAAACGTGGTTGACCTCCTGCAGGACTGGATAAGATACATTGGTTAGTCACTTGGGACCAACCATATATATATGTATATATATATATATATATATATATATATATATATATATATATATATATATGTTAATGTAGGTCATTATTTCCTTGAAGAAGCTCGGAACAGACTTCTATGTGAAAACGTTGGAATTTTTATTTCAAACACGCTGAGGTTTACCCAAATATAACTTACATAAAATATCAACTTTCCATTTGGCGCCCAATATATCCTATCAAATCTTGACCAGAATTCATTGAAATAAAAGGAATCTGATTATGTAGCTTATTGGTGCAGGAATTTAACTACAACTAGGGGTTCGAAGACAACTTCGCTTGTTTCGATATAGAAAATCAGTTAGTATTATAGTTTTTTGCCTACCCAGTATTACGGCGTAGGACAAGGATTATATCGGGTATTGTTATTTGTCCCTTGGGTTCCTAGTAGAGCATAAGGCTTTAGTAGCACTCCTCCATTGCACTCTCTCATCTACAGTCTTCTCAACCTGGAGCCACGACTGCCCAGAAGCTTCCATTTCTTCCTCACATCATCTCCATGTCCCCCCTCGCTTAGGACGCCCAACTCGTCGTTTACCCTTTGGATTCCACTCGACGACCTGGCCTGGCGCGTGATGTCCCCAATCGGCCTTCTCAGTGTATGTTCAATCAAATCCATCTCCACTTTCTTCTGCATATTTGTTGGGCGATGGGTTCTTGGTTGGTTCGTTGCCAGCCAGCCAGAGTGAGTTCGTTGTTGCTTATTCTTATTATTCTGGCCATCTTACCTTCAGTGTCACTATCGAGTGAGTGTAGGCAGTAGCCGTTGATATGATGTAAGTCTGTAGTTTGTTGGAAATGCTTTTTGTGACGTGTCAAGTTCCTGAACCCTATAGAAGCACTGACTTACTTGACGTTATTGTTGAAAATCCGGATGTTGTTCATGCTTAATGCTGAGTGCGGTAGATCTCTACACTGGTTTCAGAATAATGAAGGTGTGTCTATCTGTCTTTCCGATGCTGGCTTTGACGTGCTGACCTGTGGTTGTGTGACCTGTAGTTGAAACGATGCTGCCTTGCCTGGGTAGGTGAAAGAGACAAGTTCCTTTAGATTTCTGCCGTTGATAGTGCTTGGTTGTTGTTGTTGATGCTGTTGTTGGATGGGCATCTTAATCATCTCTGTCTTCTCTATGTTCACTTGAAGTCCTGTTTTCACTGCCTCGCCTCTTCTGTCAACTTGTTGGTTTCTGCCTGTAGATCTTCTAGTTTGTGCGACAAAACATAAGACATAAATTATCATTGGTGGAATTGAAATCTTCTTCTGGGGTCTTTTCATCGGTCTAGTCAGTGTATGCCCATGTTGTCGCTCCTCACGGTTTGTTACATGATCCAGTCAACGCCAGTGAGGAAGATGATCGATGATGGTAGGTGGCAGCATTGTCTTGCTTCTTCCTGTCTTCACTTCAAAGGCGTCACTGAGCTGTTTTCCATTGTGAATCACTTGGCGTGTGGGGTAGTCATATAGTTGTTGAATGAGGTTTATATTGGTTTGTGGTAGTAAGACTGTAGTGTTGAAGCAGCAGCTGCCGAATTACTTTTCGTTCGAGGCTGTCGAAGACCTTTTGAAAATCGATGAGGTTGAGGTATAGAGTTGACTAGCATTCTACACTCTGTTCTCTATGATGATGGGTGGTGTAGCGTTGGAATTTGATCCGCACATGATTTGTTCTTCCTGAGGCCAGCCACCAGCCAGGCTGTTCTGGTGGTAATTTCGAATCCAGAGGATCCTTTATTCTCTCCAGGATGATGCGGCATAATATTTTGCTTGGGGTGGACAGGAGCATGATTCCTCACCAGTTCTTGTAAATACTTAGCTTAGGTGTCGCTTCTTTAGGAGTTTGACAAGGTGGCCCTTCTTCGAATCAACTGTTAGGTACCTTTCCTTCTTTCCAAACCTTCTGCCGTAGTGATGTGAGGATGTCCTGTGTTGTTTCTGGGTTTTTTTCAGTGCTTCTGTTGGAATTCCATCTGGTCTTGCTGCTTTCCTGGCTTTCAGCAGTTTTATGGCGTTCAGGACTTCACTTGTGCTTTTGTCGGAGGGTTTGTGTTCACTGATATAGGTGTGTGGCTGAGTTGCTGGTGGTATTTGTGGACGATTTGTAGGTGGTGGTGGTGATGGTGGTCGATTCAAGAGATTTTCTAAGTGGTCAGCCCATTGTTTCCTTTTTTTCTGCTCTCTGGTGACTAGGTTTCCTTCACTACCTTGCATTGGTTTCATCTGTGTTGATCTCTTCCTTCCTATATGGTAAGCTGGTTATTTGATATAGTGTGGCCAGGTCTCTCCTAGCTGCAGCCTGTTGTGTATTACTTGCAAGTGTGTCGAAGAAGTGTGTTTTGTCTTTGCACGCACTCTTCTTCACTTGTTTTTCCAGTGTGGTGTTTTGTAGGTTGTGTTCAGTTCTTCTTTTTGTTGTTCATCCTTGCACTGGTTTATCTTCTTATTCGCTGTCTTCCTTTTCCTCCTCTATCGGATTCCATGTGTCCGTCGAATTCCATTTTGCCGTGTTGTTTTTTCTTCCTTCGGAATACGGTTATGCAGGTTTCTTATAACATCTCTTTGAGAGATTTCTGTTGTTTTTCCACGCGGGTTTCTTCACTGATGCTGCTCAAAGTCACCCATGTTTTCTTGATGACTGACTGACGTGAAGAAGTCGTTTATTATTTGGTGCTTCAATTTCTGTGGTGTTTTTTGAACTTGAACTGTGGTCTTTCGTTAACCCTTTTCAAGGCTTTCAACTTTATTTCGAAAGTTCATTGTACTGGATAGTGGTGCGAACCTACATCTGCTCTCCTTCTTGATCTCATCTTGTGTCTCCACTTTCTGAGATTGAGATGAAGTCGATCTGATTTTCAGTGTATCCATCTCGTGAATTCAAATCCATGTTGCTTTGTGAATATTTTTGTGTTTGTACACACTGCCTCCAATCACCAAATTCTCCATTCTCGTTCATTTCACCGAGTGCTTCTCGACCGATGATATGTTCTCTTCCTGTGTTGTCCGTTCCTAGTTCGGAATTCATGTTGCCTATTAGAATTTTGATGTCGTCAACTGGAGTGGGGTCTTGTCCATTACTGATTGCAGTTGTCTGTAGAATTCCTCCCTCTTCTCTTGATCTGCATTATTTGTAGGTGCATAGCTTAGCATTGTATGATTGTGACTTTCCTTCCTTTTGAGTTGAACCTTGCTTCATGATCCTGGAGGAGACTGGTTCCCATTGCATGAGAGCCTTTGATGCTTTCGAGGACATCCTGAAACCTACTCGAAAACTCAATGTGCTGGTGGTTGTCGTTTGGGTGACCGGAGTAGATAATTGACTCCTCAGTTGACAGTTCGAAGAGTCCACTTCCATTCCATCTACTTTTGCAGATTCCAAGCACTTCTATGCCATACCTCTTCATATCGTTTGCAGTCTGGGCTGCCTCACTGGCTTCAAACATTGTTCGGACATTCCATGTCCCCATTCTTACTTTTGCTTTCGTCGAGAGAGAGAGGACATCGACCAATTGGCTTCCCGAAGGCAGGCTTTCACCAACCGGCGTCATTTCGTCTCACCGATTCCGGCCAGGAATAAGTTTATTTTTATTTTTTATGTTTCGTCTGTGCTTTGAAGTTTCTTAAGCGATTGGATATGTTTTCCGGGGTAGGGTTGCTAGGTGTATGCCCAACCTTCCTCTTTATTCGGTCTCAGGACCTGCTAGTAACTACTGAACTAGTTAACCGGGCGTGGTTGGATTATATCAGGTATACTATGTATTTTGTTTCAATCAAATAAGTATACAATATTGTTGCTCATACTATCCCGTCGTTGGTTGGACCAATTTGATCGAACTTTATTGACACATGTTCTTCTGCCCTGATTCCTAGATATTATCTGTATTTGAATGTTTTGTCAAAGATGGATAGTGACCCGCAGTGGAATCCAGGTCTCACGTTTTGTTCTGTTTAGAGCTCGTCAGCTGGATGTATCTGTCTTCCAGTGAGCGATGTTTGTCCCCATGTAAGACGAAACGCTAGCCCGGGATTCCGCTGGTAGCCAGTATTCATCATTAATAGAAAACAATATATCGTCTGAAAAATTAACAAATGATAATTCAGCGAGGAAAAGTTTATTTTCAAAAGCCATCGAAAACAGTTAATAAAATCGCAGGGTGATAACAGCTGGAAGATCAAACCAAGGTTATCGAAAATTGCTTATTGGATTATATTAAGTAGACAGTCAGTGAACAAAAAATAAATAAGATCTCGTAGGGAGATTGTTACCATGGCGAACTGTCAGAACCCTAATCCATTCATGTAAAATTAAAAGAATCTGTACGGATGATGCAGTAAATGAGAAGCTGGAAGTACTTCAAGGAGTGTTCATCGAGAATCATAATCCTTCAAGATTCATTGAAAGGATTATGAGGCCGAAGAATCTCAGAAAAGAAACTCTTACGGTTCCAAAGAATATAGTATTTATGAATAGTGGATTGAAAGGAAATGCATTGGCAGAGATACTGAAGAAGATTTTTTCGGCCCAGCTTCGGACTGTTTTCTTCAGTCAGAAACTGATTCTAGGGTGTGTAAAGGATAAACTACCGCTTTGGGCCACCTCTATGGTCTTTACCAATTCACCTGGTTACACAGGCCGCACAAAGCGTATTCTGTCCAAACGCATCTCAGGACACTATCTTACATGGCTGTCTAAAGGAGAGTGTCAAGCCGTCAACAGCTCGATTTTTGAGCTTTTGGTTAACTCTGGTTACTTTTCTGCACTAGAGTCTTCTTTCAAAGCTGTCTATGAAGTGAACTCAAACATTCCGAAGGGAGTGATTATTTGTCACCTCAACAGAGCAATGCAGCGGTACAACCGTGGTCTTTCCGTTCAAAAGAGATACTTTCAGTCTCCGATTTTTCCTTGGTCGTAATCTCCCTAAAACATGTTATTCATTCTTTGTTTAATGAGTGTTTATTCATTGTAGTCTTATAAGCAATCTTTGATGATCTTGAGTTATTCTTCTAGCGGTTATCACCCTGTGACTTGATCGATCGTTTTAGATGACTTTATATTAACCTATTAGCTACTGGTGAATATATATTTCGTTGTTACTATGATTACGATGTACAGCTTTTTAAAATGACTTATCGGCAAGAAATTTTTCTTCTCTAGATTGTCTTCCGTTAGCTTCCCACTATCTAATAGGACTATTTCGATGGTTGAAAAATATCGTTTGACTCAAATGACTCAGGTTTTTTTAGATTAAAGCATTTTTCGTATTATTACAATTGTTAACTTTCAACGGCTATTTCTTGTGTTAAGAATATCGACGATATAAAACATGCTTACTAATGTTTGATTCTTTTCATAATTTTATTTAGTATATGCGAAATTAAATTCGATCTTCAAGCAGTATCCGTACATACGGCACGAATAAAGTTGAAAATCTCATCTTCGTCTACCAAATCAAGTCGATCAAATTTTTTTGTTCAACAAATCACTAACTTTTATTACTTAACAATTCTCTTTTTAATTTTTGATAGAAGAAGCAACTTATTTTTTATCAAAAACAGATTTCGTGTAATAATTAAACATGATAATAATTCAATTGTTTAATTTTATGTATTACTCTTCCATGATAGATCGAGAAGGCGTTGTGTATGAATTCATCGTTCCAGTTCCCATTCGTTTAGAGGTTGATGTTTGCATAGACTGTAAAGTTAAGAAAATTAAGGTATTGATAGATATTTAATGAAGCTAATGACCAGACTGATGGTGCACTTGGTTCTTTATTTTGGATGATTTACTGATATTTATGATAACAATAGATTGTTTTCAGTGAGCGGTAGAATTGAACACAAAGGATGCTGACAAAGCATCTTCATAGGATTTAGTTACGTTTTGTAACAGTACAGTCAGCATTAGGTCTCCTCTGCATACTTGAATCTACTGGTAATTGTGGTTGAAGTGTATTCTTTGAAGCGTAATTATGAAGCGCATGTAAAAGACCCTAATCAATATTGAAACGATTTGTTGGCAGTCAAATAAATCTCTGATTTGATGCGTTCCGCTTATTATCTGTGATTATAACATGATTATTTTTGATAGTGTGAAACGATGGAAACTAAGCTTATAAATCAATAATAAGAAAGTTGAGTGTCCGAGGATGAGTCAGTATTAACATAGAAACTGGAATTACTGCTTAACGGTCAGGATAACCGTTTTCCTGTTGGATGTTACGTAGAAATCTGGATTCATTGACTATAACATGAAAGAAAGGCTGCAGGATCAAAAGCTGCTAACCGTTTCAAAGAAAGAAATCTATATGAACCTTCAATTGAAAGGCGACAATCGCCTCCCAAGATCTTTGCGGAAGACATTTTTCTCAGCTAGCCTGAGAATCGCATTTTCCAGTAGACAATTCATCCATTAGTACAGAATAACACTTTTTCGCACCTTGATATACATCTATCAGTCTAAGTAAAGTTTAATACAAAAGTCTATTCGATGAATTTTTCACATAATGTCTGGCTTTTAATCATAGCTTTCAATTTGACTGAACTTGCGTAGTAGGAATCTGGTTAATGAATAAACCGATACCCGTGCCGAATAGATGGCGATTACATGAGAGTTAAAAAAACGAATTGTTTAAATGATCCCTACAAGGGAATTTTTATTAAAGCGTGAGTATCCTAAACGGATTAACAGAACATTTCTTCGTCCAAGTTGTGTAAATCTGTAAACGTCTGAAATCTTACAATTCTCTTGAACAGAAACCGTAAGTTATTCACAAGGAATTTTATTGTGTATCATTCATATTAACCCGTAATTATTTATCTATGAAGGTAGATTTATTTAACTCATAAAAATGCCGTATCTAATAAGCTAGACAGATTCCAGGTCCTGGTGTTTGGGGGTTATCGATAACATCTTTACTTTCTGGTGGTTATTGGAATACAAGTATACCTAATTCTTCCGACACTATATTTCTTTATCTGAAGGCTGATATTTGATCTTGTGAGTCGAGAGGTGCCTTTGGTATCTACTGGTTGTGAAGGAAGTATATTGCGCTAACCAAGGCTCTCTACTCAAGCACTTAGTTGTGCAAAAATTTGTAGTCTAAAATAAAGACAAACTATTAGAGTTCTATAGGGATATCCACTATCATCATTCTTATTTAACTTTGTTTCGTGCACACTGACTGAATGATGGTGTCTAACTTCACGTTCTGGTGGATTGATTTGTTGCCATTAGGGGATTAGTTGACTTGAAATTTACAGACGATTTAGTCGTGTCAGAGAAAGTTACCGACGAATTGCAGTGTTTAGAACGCATTAAGCGCAAATCTGAGTACATTTAGCCTGCGTTTCGCACCTGTCAGATGTAACGTTATGCTACTTGAATAGTCTTCACCGGCTTACAGTTTAGTCATAGGGAGTCTTCCACTTCAATTATTTGGGTAATAGCATCAACGTGAATGAATTGCTTGCTGACTATATCTTAGCTCAGATACAGAAGTCAGATTTGGCATTTGCCTGTGAAACATCCATCTTCAAAACAGAGAATGAGTGATATATAATTTCTCTAAAGTGTACTGGTCAAAATTACCAGAGCACAGGGGTAGAAAATCAACAGGAATGAGAATAATATTCATTTTAAGAACATGAAGAAGTTATCAACTGTCTAATATTCACAGGAAGATAACTAATGAATCTATCTGCTTTGTCATGATCCGTTTTAAGGCAAATGATTTAACGGTTCCAATTATTTATCTGTAAAATCTTTCAATTCGTCGACCAAGTAGTCTGCAGCAATTAGATCAGCAGCTGATGACCTCTTTAGATGATATTAAGTCTTTTTCTTGTTAAAACGAAGCATTTCGTGCATACTATGAGTCTGTTAATACAACTCTTAAATCACGTATATTTCCATTGGATCCATTGAATGTTACAATATAGGCCTATATTGATAGCTGAAAAACTATTTACTGTACTGGTAATAACTTACATCCGCAGTTTTTCTGCTAATTATGTTAGCCATGACTGAAATCATAAAGTCTAAATACGTGGCGTAACTCCTAACTAGTATTTAGTAGCATGTTTCAGTGATATAAGTTTAACTGTTATGGCCTAAACTTTACGCAGGTTTTAAACAATATTTTTCGGTCAAAGAAGAAACTCACTGTGCTCTGCAGCATATCGGTGTTAGGTAGATTCTTCCCGTTGCTCCATTATATTCCTTAAGTTTCACTGAAGAAATAGACGAAGGTTGAGGAGTGTCTACTTCCATTGGTGTGGAGTCAAGTATTATAGAATCTGTCAATGAATTAAGATCAGACTATATAAAAATTAATGAAGTAAATCGAAAATCTCCGAAAAGATCAATGAACCACTTCAAATAAGGCATTTCAGTCTACGTATTCATATAATTTATTGTAATGAGGAGAAGTCTTACTTGCATTTCTTCTGTCATAATGTTAGGGATGCCTATATCCCTGATATTCCATACTTACCAGTTGTAATTTTGAGCTGTATTTGTTGCGCCCTTCTTACCGCACGTGGGTCACATTTCATATAACTCACCAGTGTTCTGATTGACTCATGCCTCTTTTAATGTACTATTTGTCCCATATCTTCAAAGGTCATTATAGTTACTATATGTAGTGAGCCCTTTTACCAATAAATGTTTTCTGTCCGAGCTATCATAAACTCAGCTGATTACCAATAACGAAATGTAATATGATGATTAGGATGGAGATGATGTGTGATACATCTGCACCACTGAGGTTGATTCTCAGCCATACCTACAGTCTCCAACCACCAGTTTCAGTTGGTAAGTGGGATCAGACTGGGAATTCTACACTACCCTGCACAGTTCAAACCAGCGGTCAGTAGCTTCATGGAATGATGTGATGTTTTAAGCTAACCATCTTAGACCTTTTTCCAACCTAAACCTACTTCACTTAACATTGTGCGTCAGAGTAGGTCCAATTAGTAGCCTACACATGTATTGGGTGAAATGTAACTGTTGCTATAGTATATCACTTGAATAATTGGCCGAAGAAGTTACTGAATGTTATGTTACTTGAGTTCATATCCTAAATGCACACACTTCTTCGGAGTTTCAGATACACCTTATGAATGTCAATAAACTGGAAATAAAGATCATAAGGGCTCCACTTAACAGTATACCGTCGACAGTTTTCCATTGTTTTCCATATGTGAAAGAACTAAATAGATCTTTTCAGAATGATAGATGTCCAAGTATGCAAATTAAAGTACACAAACGTTATTTGTTTAGGCATATCAAAGATGAATGCTGGTTGTTGTATAAATGTCATTTAATACAAATTCACAATTTTTAGCCTGGTTGTATTATACTATCACATCACTGGAGCTTTTAAGGGGTTGCTCTACTACTTTTGAAGTGAGTAAGTGAATTACTATTACAATTCTGCTTCACTCTGTCTCTTTTGAATTCAGTTTCTCTTTCGCATAATCACTCAAAGGAGTAAACTTTATGTTTAGAATGACCTATAATATTTCCAGAAGCTCTTAAATAGTCTAATGTTTTGGCCATATGAGGCATCAAATAAATTCCGACTGCCGTTACATACGAACTTGTTGAATCGGGCAAGAATAATAAATGAAAGAGAATAGTATGAGCTCATTGTTTTGAAAATTTAGAGTATATTAAAATAGATGCATCATAACAAAGTGATACAACATGAAGAATGATAGAAGACGAAGACACAGAAAGGATATGATCACATCTTGTAAAAGGCCATTCAAACTCAACACGGTGCATGTCCAGATGCTAGCTATAAATAACACTTTTGCAAGAGCTTATGATAATATTCGGTTCCCCAGGTATCAGAAGCCAATATCGGAAAAAGAAAACGGGTCGAAGCTAGCAGACACTACAATTTAGAACTTGATACAGAAATGTAACGGTTCAATATGCTACATCTTACGGTAGAGTTAAGACAAAGGAGGACAGAAACCAATGACGTTAAAGTAGATAAATCTATGAGAGAAGAGAAATGAAAAGGTAAAGGTTATTGAAAATATTCAAATTTCTGAGAATGACTAAAGGTGTAAATTTCTGCGCTATTGTGACCAATTTCAAATCCTGTTTTTCAGGGTCCCCAATTAATGATTATTACCATCAGAAGATGGCAGCTAGGTAGCCTATGTCTCTCCACACGACTCACCAAACGAATATTCAAAGGTTTCATGAACCGGCATCATATTTTTGTCTGATCACCTTTAGCTTTCTTATACCCTACTTGTATTTCGAAAACAATGCTCTTCGAGATGGACTGTGATTCGACATGCGTAACATATGTCAAAACTAGCTCTTTTAATGGGTGTTTACAACTTCATCAACTGACTTGCTTCCATAATGTGGGATGCTAAACCTAACATTTCTATGCTGAAAACCTTTTTGTTTATTGGTAGACGAAAAATACTTCAGACAAAACGGTGATCGAACACCTGCAGCCTTCTAATGTCTTGAACCACGAATGATATTATTTTGAAGCCTTACAGCGGAACATAGGGAACTACCACACAGTACACTTTATCCTCAAATAGGCGATCGGATATCTTACCGGTGCAATAATTAGTGTGAGACAATCCAGCCGATATATACACGCAAAGATTTTATCACTGACCCATTAGAACTGATATGAATTCCCATGTCAATGAAGCGGCCAGTGCACTCAACCAACTTATTCCTTATGGCTTGGCGAAGTCTTAGCATAGACTATTCCTTAAGCAAAAGTTTGCATTTGGATGGTGAGAAACCTATCCCAAACATTCTCAAAGTGTTTAGGAGGCAGTTTATTAGCGCCTTCATCAAGCCAGACACTATAATCAGTAAAATTTCCTAGGAAGTCTTTTGGGACAAGATAAATGTTTCGTAAATCAGATGAGAGGAGGGAGACCTTAAGTATATCTGTGACGAGGCTGAATAAAAAGGGGGAGCGTAGACATTCTTAATGGATACCACTCAACGTAAATAACTTATCCAGTTGCTCACCAAAAGCATCTGCTTATCTTCGGACGTCTGAATATACAGCCTGAAGCAGTTTAATGCATTCATCTGCCACGCATGTTAATGAGAGCCACTAACACCAAACCTTCCAATCGATAGTCACATGCTGCCTTCAGGTTTAAAGCTACACCTAGTATGAGGAGCTGGCTTTTCAAATAGGCTAACAATACTACTGACTAACAATGGTTACTGTGGTGGTGTCGTGAACGAATACTTATCCTAACACAGAGATATGATAAGAGGAGATATCGTTAATCATATTAAAATTTAAATGTAATACAGCTAATGATACTGTAGGGACTAGTAAAATGCAAGTACTACGGACAATTGTACTTAGTAATAAAACATCTGAAAACTTACCATGCAGTAGACCTAATTCAGCAATCTTGATTAAACATGCTAATTCACACCAACCGTCATTTATTAAGCAGTCATCCACGGAAAAGTGTTTTTCTGATTCGCATAGTTTTAAAGACTCATGGTAGTGATCTTTTTGTCTATTCTCTTTATCTTGCTTCTTCCAGTGATTTTCTTGTTTATAACTTGGACTTTTTATCTCCGTAGTAATGACAATATCTTCTGACCAAGTTATTCGCTTTTGTACACGTGGAGTAGCCGATTCAACAAATCTTTTTGATTTATCAACTTGCGCTGACTTCAAAACTACAGAATATTTAGGAATATTAAATTTTGGTTCATTTGAATTGATTTTTTGGGTAGATATACTTTGAGTCGTTATAGTGTTATAAGTTTCTAAATTTATCCCTTTTGTATAATAAATACAATTATTCTCATTTTTAGAGGGAAAACATGCAATTTCCATTGTATATGGTTCAACTAGACTATTAAGTTGCGACAAGTTTGTCAACATTTCTCCATTATGTTCTTTATTTTGACTTGATTCATTTTCAGATAATTTCTTGGGATTAAATTGGCTTTGTTTCAGTGGTGTGAAAATATCTTCTTTAATTAAATTTCTTTCATTATTCTTCGAAAAGCTGGAATTTGTAGAATTGCTTGATTTCATTTGGATATTTTGTAGTTTTTCATTGTTGCAAAATTTAGATGGTGCATTTTGAGTGTATTTAAAGTATGAATCAAATGGTTTCACCGGTGAATATTCGAATCTTGATAATGTACCATTGACAGGTGGACATGACATCGATAAGGGATTAATTTTCGTAAATGATCTATGTGAGAATTCAGGTGTATTATCTTTCATCAGGATATTAGAAATATTCAGTGTTTCACTGATACCGTTGGTATCATCAAATATGGGTGTAAGAGTAAATGTTGAACCTGAGAAACTATGAGTTGAGTCTACGTTCATGTTGAGTGTATTATGTGGATCCCACTTAAATCTTTTACGATTTAGCCTCTGTATAGAAAGATCAGTGTTCAGTTTATCCAAGATAAATTTTTCTTTCATTTCTTCTGTGTTTTCATGCTTAATAAGATCTGATTTTGAATACTGGTAAAAAAAAAAAAGAATCATGTGAATGCAGACGTAAAGAAGTTTCGTCAATACAAAGATGTCAAAATGGAATATTTCCTGAATAACAGTGATGATGACGGATGATTGCAAGTAGTGGAATCTGAGATACGCGTTTAGTTCTACTCTGGATTCATCAGTTGGATGTACCTGCTTCCAATTTTTAGTGATTTTGTTCCCACTAGGACTCAAACCATGGGCTGATCGCTCTAAAGTCCAGAGCGTTATTCACCAGGCCACTGAGTCACGATAGCCACTCATTGTATGACCAGTATAGTATAATCTTTGATCGTATAGCTTGTACACATCCGTTGCTGACTGGAATGAATTCATCGGTCTCTGTTTGTCTATGGGTCGCTCTGTGGAAGCATCCAAATTGTCGGTGTTTTCAAATTTGATTTTAATGATGGATAGTGGCTAGCAGTGAAATCCAGTATGTGCATCTTGTCCTTTTTGGGTTCCACTGAATTTTCGCTGCTAGACACAATACATCATTAATTTCAAATTCGGAAATAACGGGAATATCGAGGCATCCGTACAGTGGTCCGCATGCCGGTAGAGATACATTAATTCAGTCCAGTCAATGACCAGATAATATAAACAACATCATGAGTAACAGTAATGACTAATATTTGCTCATAACATGATAGGTGTCAACATCGATATGAGTACACACAGAAGTTGGAAATTTTAACCTTTCAATAAATTCGGTTAGAGATAGTGTCTTGTCTGACTTTCATAGGTTGAGTTATCAACGGTCTAGATAGCAAGTCAAGGATAGTTGTGGCAGTATATGTCAGCAAAGTCACCAACTTATTTGAGACATCAAAGGTGTAGCATTAAGTAGATCAGTATTCCTACCGACTTCATTTCAATATTGACAAATTAGATAATCAGTTATCATAGCCTCGAACTGTTTTTATGATTGCTGTTTTAGCCATTTATGCCTTCATCGTGATGAATTTTACCAATTATTGACCCTTCAGTTTTGTCTTTTTAATCTTTATTGACTATTGCCTTCATCAGCTAACAACATTTCTTGTTTCGGTCAGTATACTCCTTAAAAGCAATAATTTCTTGTGAGATATACGTCCCAACTGATGACTGTTTCTCTATACGCTGGTTACGAGTGAAACCTTTTGCAAGATTTTGCTGTTTGCAATATTTAATATTGTCTTCTCAGTGAATCAAGATAAAACTTCGACTGTTACCCCATGTTAACTACAGAGTTCCCCGTCATACTATGTGTACAGTCCTTAAATTGCTCAAAACATGGTAATTTCCAGTTTTGAGATGAGAAAGTAACACTGGTATTATAACGGAACAAAACAAAATCAGCCAAACTGTTGGATTGATGCATTCAGTTTTTACAGCTGAACAATGAACCTTTTATAGTGAATCTTAAGAATCGATTTAGAATCTTGTAAACAACTTCTTTCATTTGTTATTGATGATTCTCCTCAGAAGAAAAATGAAGAACCGTCAAGACTAGTTGGGTTGCAATATTCGTTGAATAGCTGGCTCTTTTATGGTATTTAGCTATATTGTAATTCTTTCATTCAAGTTTTCTTCGTACTAATAAGTCAAATAAAACTGACTCATTTTATTTCTCTGAGACCTCATCCTTTCAGGTGTTGAATAAACGTGATATTTATTCATACACTCTTGAATATTTAGTAGATGGTAGAATAGAAACTCTCTGGTTGAAGCTCTTGGTTTTCGGCTAGTGGGTCATAGGTTTGAAATCCATTCCATCTAGCCATACATGAGCAGCTAGATAGTATCATTAACCCTATCGGAATAAGTTGGGCTCGTCACCAATTGCATTTAAAATATTCATTGTTTCACATTCATCAAATGTGAAATTCGAACAAAAAGCCTTAGAATTCAGTTTTATTCATGCAGTTACTTGTAAATAGAATTAATTTGATAACAACCTAGATTTTACAGTCTAAATTTGATCATCTGCAGCCAAAAGATGTCGTTCGCTTAAACTGATTGTATTGTTCCTACATTTCGGTTAATATTATTTATTAATTGGTTATACTGCAAGCTTGGACATACGCACACAAGAACTGTTATTTCATTTTTAAAATGTTTTGCGGCTATCCGCTCTGTCTTTCGATAAACATTGAAGAAGAAATCTATGAATGGCAGTTGTCTGCTAGTTGTCACACTTACATATATGTCAGTGCAGGTATATAGATATATGTTCTTAAGATCTATCCAATATTTTATTTTTACAACAGTGAGATAATGATGTAGTCTTATTTCTAGTTAACTATCAATAAACAAAATTCTGTGCTTCTGAATGAGGAGGGTTTAGAATTTCTGAGTTTTATGCTGCTTATTCATCAAACTATGTTCAGTCCCTACCGAAAGTATGGGTGAGAAGTGAGCAGTAAAAACATTTTATTGATGTTATAAAAATGATTCATGAAACATAGTCTTGGATATGGTATCACATAGGCTTCCAGGCGTTCAGAAATAACTTTATGGAGTTTTACGGGGATGACAATAATTGAAGTTAATTTTAGGTCTTGATTCAGATGGTGTCACAACCCATTTCATTTTTCAGATTGAATCGTCGGTTCCATGTGTCAAGACCAGTGGACCAACCACAGTTTTTTTGGGTGGTTTAATTTACATTCATTTTATTTGACCATGTTCAAAATAAGTCAGTGACGCTACTCCAGATAACACATAATCCTAGTCATCTGTACTGTATGCCACGGATTCATTTCACTTAGAACCTGAATAAGACTCTACAACATTCCTAGTTCCGAGTCAAAAGTGTTTGACTTGAAAACACTTATTTCCATATGCAAATTTAGAGAAAGCAACGTGTAAAACGTAGAATTTAACGAATTCTTAAATTTCAATCGAATTGGTCAGTTGAGTACTCAACGTGCTGGTGTACGTGTACCATGTAGCAATGCAGGTAAACAGATATACGAACATAGCATAAACTGAGACATCAAGTTACATGTGACAACATAGAAATGAACCCGTTTTACAGGTCAGTTAATAAAGTAAAAGGTTGACGTGGTTGTTTAAACTGAGTAAATTGAAGGTAAATTACGTCATTCTAAAAAGGACAGTTAGTAGTCAGTTTGAATGCATGAAAGTGATGTAGGGTTAAGCATCATAAGAAAACCAGGAGTATATTGAAACTAATGATAGCAATAATGGTAAAAAAAAATTAGGTTATTTGAAAGAAGTAAATCAGGGGTAAAAACAAGAATGACAAGATAGGGATAATAATTGAGGACAAACAGCAAGTAGGGTAGATATGATTAGACGATGTTGGGATTACTACTATCGTAGACTCAAGCTTCAATAATATAAGTGTAAAACTTGGGGACTGTCATAGAACGTAATTCCATATTACATTTGTTTATTTGATTCATAACACACCGTGATACAGTATTATTTGTTTGAAACAATTAGTCCCTTTTATGAATTTGGATAATGTAATTAGAAGACGTAGATTATCTGAAAAATGTGATGCGCTATACATTTCGAACAATCTGATCACACATTTACTTGTTAAGGCATTATATATGAAAACTGGAAGTGGGGGAAGGACACATATGACATAAAGGAATTCAATAATAAGAAAGATAATGAGAGGAATAAAAGATAAGACTTGAAGACAATCTTGGTAATACGATAAAATAAGCATTACCAAGGTAGGCTTAATGTAAGGACAAACTGTTTTTGCACACACAATGGGGGGTTAAATTTATTTATGGCTAGCGCCTCAACAAACTTAAGTATACGCCCCTGACAGTTTCTGTACAAAATTGTAAAGGCTGTTTCGATATCAATTCTGTGACTCTTATCAATGATATGTTTCGCAATGGATGATGATGGTTGTCTGCCATCTGCGCTTATCAATGTTTGTGAATCCAGCTGCTTTCGTAGCCACTTTGGAACATGTTCCCCTACCCTCAAGTGCATATCACGATTCGTCCTCCCTATGTATGTTTGTCCACATACACATGTAAATTTATAAACGCAGTGGGATGTGACACAATCGTTTATACAGCGTTGAGGTCTAGGTAGCAGCAGGTGTTTGGTCTTCTCAACTATGATAAGCTTAGCTGCATAGTACGTTTTGCTAACAGCAGACCTTAACCTTCGTTTTAATATTATGCTATTAGATTCTCCTCTGTATGGTAACGCGATGTAAACGCATTTCTTCGAAACAGAGTACAGATCAGGTTTGAATCCTCGCTGATTTTTGCAGCGGTTTATGAACTTCAATGGATATCCATTTTCCACTAATGTTTCCGTTAGTATTTTGATATCATCATCCATTGAGTCCTCCGTACAAATACGCTGGATCCTTTTAAATAGACAAGTTACCAAACCTCGCTTGTATTGGGTTGGACAAAAGCTATGGAAACTTAAATACTGACCTGTCCAAGTAGGTTTCCTGTAGATCGACCGTTTTATTGAACCATCATTTCTACGACTTAGGAGTATATCCAAGAATGGCAGACGGTTTTCTTTTTCTTCTTCACGTGTCAGGCTTATGTTTTTTTGTACGTTGTTAAGTCTTTCTAACAAACATGTCGCATCTTCATGCTTATCACATATCACGATTATATCATCAACATATCTTTTATAGAGAGTAACTTTATTGATGAGATCGCCGGTCAAGCCCTGAATGTGTGACATGTAAATATCAGCTAGCAATGGTCCTAAGGGACTTCCCATAGCCACACCATCTATTTGTCGAAAATGTTCACCTTCAAATGTGAAATGAACTTTATCAGTACACAATAATAACAGCTCTCTCAAACACGTTGAGGGGATAGGGAAAAGGATTACTGGAAGATATATGATCACAAAGAATGTCAATGGTTTTAATTAGGGGTACATTAGTAAATAAGGAGTTGACATCAAATGAATACAATCTCTTATCTTTGATATTAATATCACTGACATAATTAACAAGTTCAAAAGTATCTTTTAAAGAAAACTTACATAAATCATTTCGAATAGGAATTAGAGTTTTTGCTAACCATTTCGCCACTTTATGTGTAGGTGAACGGAACATGGAGAGTATAGGACGTAAAGGATTATCTGTTTTATGAATTTTAGGCAATCCATACAGATTAGGTAGCTCAGACCCCATTGGTTTGAGGGAAGCAAATTCTTCCTTGTTGATAACATTGATATTCAGGAGTTTTACCAGACTAGATGTTACTTTGCATTCTAATTTTCTAAGGTCGTCTGATGGAACATCAGCCATAAATTTACTTTCATCGCTAAGGATGGACATCATCTTGTTTTTGTAATCACATTTGTCCATCACAACCTTTATGTCATATGTATCCTTCCCCCACTTCCAGTTTTCATATATAATGCCTTAACAAGTAAATGTGTGATCAGATTGTTCGAAATGTATAGCGCATCACATTTTTCAGATAATCTACGTCTTCTAATTATACTGTTAGTTTGATGACGTTTGGAGCATAAGTTAATGATATTCTTTGACTGTGTTATAAATTAAATAAACAAATCTAATATGGAATTATATCCTAACTAACTACTATGTATCTTAAAAAGCACCAGTATTATGCCCATAGTTAACTATAAGTCTCGTTATCAATCTTCTCAGAGCCTTCAGTTCTGCATACCTTAACAATTTAGGTAAGTAATGAATTATTTAGATGGACAGATACTTCTTTATACAACCCATGTACTTGCTTTCGTAAATCTTCTCATAAAGACGTGTGCATTTAGACTGATTAGAGATGTTTCTGGATTTTTGTTGAAAACGTTCAGAGAAATTTAGTTACTCTACTTCCGATAACTAACAAACTTAGTGATAGTAAAAGTGATTGAGAATATTTGTAGTTGTTATAAGGTTGTGTTGTATTCGTTTAACTGGCTCGTTGGGTCATGCAGTTTTCATTGTTTTTCTAGACACAATCAACAACAACAACTTCAATATGAAATGAGCTGTCTGGGTTTCTCCATGAGTGATTCAGTAGATTGCCATTATGAAATGGTTTGTGATTGGTAGTTTCCTTCGATTGATATAGAAATTAATGTGGTTTATGAACCAATGAATTCCGTTTAAGCCTTATTATGCAAACAGCACAGTCAAAGATGGCAAAACAATAATCATTTACAAAATCAACTGTAACAACTGTGAGCAGCATTGCATTGGACAAAGTGGTCACCCTCCTCACCTATATTCACAAGAAAATCACTTGACTGTTAAGTGTCACAACATTTTCTCCGTCTTGTCAAAGCACATGGACAACTATGGAAATGAATTCATCTTTGGAAATGTACAGATCCCGCTTAGAGGAAACAAAGAATATTAGAGAATTCCTAGAAGCTTGACATTCAGGCTAATCAGCAATCAATAGATGTATAGATACAGACACAATTAATTAAGCATTCCAAAAAATGATAGACAACTACTAAGTTAGGTAGAGAAACAGTCAACAGGAAAATCTATGCAATCAGTGACATAGTAATAAAAGGAAGCCATTAACCACAAACCATTACACCAGGGCAAACTACTGAACCACTCACTCACAGCGAAATACTGATAGCTCTTTTCATATTGAAGTTGTTGTTGATGATTGTGTCTAAAAACAATGAAAGCTTCACGAATAAACCACCCAGCTCGGAAAACGCAACTCAACGTACATAATAAAGGTATGCAAGCTTCGCAGTTTCGACTAAAACTTGTATAAGTAAGCGAAACTAAAGTGCACAATGATTCTGCCATTTCTTTTGGAAAAGGGCATTTTCACAGATATCAAGTAGGTTAGACTTGGTGGTTTCGGAATTTTAGTTTTCAAAAACCAATCTTAGAGGAGACGTTGATTTAAGTTCTACCTAAATGCAAGAATCATTCTTTATAAACTCGCTTTGTTAGTAAGTTGTACTAGTTCACCAAAGCATCTGACCAAAATTGATTTATTCCAAGAAGTTTGCTTGACTTCTATTGTGCAAAACAAGTAATCAGTGTTACGACTATGTAGTATAACTAGTCAGCGTTTCGCAACGATCCAAATGATCTTCAATTACTGACACATAACTAGTCTTACTCATCGAATAATTTCAAAAAAAAGCTTACTCTATAGTTCGTTTCTAGATAATCAAGCATTGATTTTTGTATTAAAGGAGTAGTAGATGTCGATGATTGTTTATCAGCTTGATTAGTAGGTGTCCATGTAAATGTACAGGGTCTACTGTAATTTGACTTCATTTTACTTGGAAATGATTCAATATTTACTCTACACTTTTTTAATTTAAAACTTTGATGAAGTGATTTTTGTTTATTGACAAGTGGGATTAAGGGTAATGTCAAATCTGTTAGGGTATTACTGTTATCATTTTCAATCCTGTCACCATTTTGATTGTCAAGCAAGTATGTTTCATTTTTAGACGACATTATAGGTGTTGGCCATAAGTTGAATTTATTACTATTACTATCATTATTATTGTTGTAACCATTTAGGTTGTTAGAATTATTTCCTGTTGATAGATCACATTGCCTCATGATTTCTGTGAAACCAATTGATAATTCCTTTTCATTAATACCCATTTTAGATACACTTGATGATGAATCGGAATTTCCACACTTGTTTGATAAAGTAATAAAGTGATATTTTGTATGTAGATCAATACCACCTGATTGTAAGGTAAAGAAATGGAATAGGATGAATTTATAACTAAGGTGATTCGAATGTTAAATATGCAATTAGAAAATGATATCATTGTATTGATTCATTTTTGAAGGCTTGTGCACATGAAATGCGGTGTCAAGAATGCATTAAACAAAATGAAATGGTGAGGAAGCATAGACATAGAAGAAGGAAAATTAAACATATTTTCAGCAGGTATATGAAGAACAATTCAAATATGAGCTGGACTGAAGTAGAATTATTTCATCTTCAGTTATATGTGATGAGTTTCATTTCACTGATAGTTTTGAAAATATTAGGAAACTACGATAAAATTGAAGCTGATTTAAAAATCAAATCATTTCTGACTAAAAAAGAGTTCAGTCCTCGACTTATTTAAAATTTTATGATATTTTGATCATAAAGAGTAGTAAGGTAAGTTTAAACAGATTGGTTGGTTAGTGACCTTCGGCTAATTTTAGCCCTCTGGTGTTGATGTGTTTATTAACTGTTAATCACGTATATTGTGCATGTAAATAAGCTGTTTGTTTCACAGGAGACAGAAGTATCTATTCACCATTTGTAATATTTTCCGATACAAGTTCTATCTGAGAGTTGTAAAAGTCATTATTTGGTCCTGTAATCACAACATTTCAGTTAGTCAAGCAATGTTTCTTCTCACAGAACTCACTCTGAACAAAAATTTTAAACTGTACCATCTTAGATATCATCTACAGAATCGTAATGCATTCAGGAATGTTATTTCCAGACTTTTTCAAGAGTTGATCATCCCTCAGCTAATTCTAGCTACCTTTGACATTAAAAACTAGTGCTTCGGAAGGAAGTCATTGGAGTATAATGCACACGGTGTGCTTAATTCACTGAGGCTGACATTGTTAGATAATGCTGTCTGCTAAATAATGGTTTCCATCATTTGTAAATAAACATCTTTTAGTCTTAGATTAGTACAAAAGCGTTACTATCAATAAGTGACACTACAGATTTGCGGCCATATCAATTAGAGTTTCCAACATTCAATATTCGTTGTTATATGGACAGTTGCAATTGATATAACCAAGTATCATCAGCTTATAGCAGCCATATTCCGCAAGTGCAGATAGCAATCATTGCCTTCCAAGCATTTCACATCTTTCCTACAATGAACAGAGAAACTCCATAACACTATGAGAGCCTCATATGACAGCAATGATGGATGGCAGGGAATTTTGTTATTGGAGGAGGGGATACAAAGACCAACAACGTAACTTATACTTTTGTTGAAGTGTCGTCGTAACACATCCTTAGTTCCAGGCAAAACTGTACTTACTCAAACATTTAATCTCTTTTGTTCAAGTTTACTATAGGAAAAGTTAGTACTGTTTTTCACTTGGAAAAAGTTGTTTGTATATACGAATCACATGAAAATATTTGTTGCCAGAAAGTAGATAATTCATTGGAGTTTATTCATAATTTATTTACATTAACAAGGGAGTAAAAAGCGATTCTTAAACTAGATGAAATGAAACGCTAGTGCAATATTTGTTTCTGAATGCCTGAAGAGTCTATTCTGTCCAATTATGTAGTTTACTATGATAAAATATTAGTAACAAACGGTATACTTTAGTGATTTATCTCAGTTCTTATTTTGAATGAAAACTAACGAAATAAATACCATAAATACACACGAATAGGTTGTTTCCATTTATTGACGTTTTCATAATTGATAGACAAGATGGTTTCACTTCCATTTTAGATATGCTTATCTCATTTAGTACATAGTAGTGCAGTATCATTTACTAGATAGTGTTTCGAGCATAAATTATACTTGCTAGTGATAGCTTATACTCGAAATATTATCGTGTAAACAATACTGTATCATTATATGGTGCATCAAATTGAAAAATTCTAAAATGAATTTACATTGTACCACGGTGGTTTTACTGTCATTCATAGAAGAAAAGAAAATCAATGAATACTTGATCTTTACAACAAGTGAGTCAACTGATTTATAGCTACTCGATTGGGGTTTTCCCATATCACAGATTGAAAGGAGTTCAAAATATATGGATAATTGGATCTCAACGCAGTAACTAAATGACAGAGTTTTTCTGACAGATCTACAGATATTTGGTTGGATTCCTAACAGTCTTATTTCGATAATTTACAGAAATTAACAACTATAGCGAAAGGTTAACCACTACTAGTTGATTTTAATTCGTTCTACGGTTGATTTTGGTGTGTGGTCATTTATGTTTCTAGTATATAGTTTTAGATAAATACAACGTTGAACGATTTTAAATTCTTATTAAACATTTCTGTTTACACTTATCTTTGACATCCTCCTGATATTCGTCCTTTTTGAATCGTTTTTTAGATTTCTGATGCTGAATTGGCCGACAGAATGCCCAGCACTTATGCTTTCATTAATTTGCAAAGTGTATGTTTAACCATAGAAAAGCTGATATTCTTACGGCGATTTTAGCCAACATCATTCATCATTTCTGACCACAATTAACTCTCAGAAGGACTGGATTATGTATATAGATCCCTGGGATGTACACGATGCATTCATCATGGATCTAGTTTGTAATGTACTGTTTGGGCTAAGTGACGTGGATCTAGGGTACTTTGTGTTTGGTTTTAGATGTTAGAATCTAGTCAGCAAAAAGTTGTGAATCTAGCTTTTATGCATTTTTTCATAAGCGCACAATAGTTCATCGAAGTTGACAATTTAATATATTGTTCAACAACTTACCATAATATAAACTGATCAAGCTTATACTCAACGGATTCAATGTTTCATCATTTGAGAGCTTTAGATGTTTAGTGATCATACCAAGTTCTTCAAAATTAGCACATCTGTAAAGGATAGATACCTTTATTATTGCATTATTTTAGTGAGTTGTAACAAAAATTCAAGGAAAAAACAGAAAAATGTAAAGATGTAACTAAAATTCAGCTGGGATAATGTAATGTTATGTCTGCTGCAGTTGTATCCACTGTAGCTTATTTCATTGAACTGTGACTACTACGTAAACTCTAGTTTACGCACAAAATGCACCATCAATTTAGATAGCGTCTTGATTGACGAAGTATACATCTCAACCACCAGTGGTTCATGTTCCTTAATCTAAACGACAACCGAATTTCAACATTGTTTGTAGCGAATGTGAACTGAATTGGTATTTAGATTTCTTCAGCCATCATTATTAGTGTGATGAATGATGTGTGCATGAACACTGGAAAGAGTGATGAATACACTACGTGTCTTCAAAAACCACCAATAACTAACAATAGAAAATGAAAAGAAAAGTATTTAAGCATATATTTCTTTAAATCTCGATTTGTAGAGCAAGCATGGTGTTTGAAACATGAATGCACATGTACAAGAGTGATATTGAAGACTATAGATAAACAGTGCGTATAAAATATTAAGATGTTTGATAGAAAATCGTTATTCATTAACATAAATATCTTAGTGGGAACTGGAGAAAAAATAGGTTCTGATTTCGGAAAAATAATTCACATGAAATTCGGTATTTTCAGTATATAAATTCACTAAGTGTGATCAAATTATTCAGTTGATTGAGATCATCAACTTGTTTAATCAGTTCATTTCTTCTGAAGGAAGAAACATTTAGTATTATCACTTGAAATCGATGAAAGAGTCTTTTGAACCAAAAAAAATTTACCGGTCCCTAATGTAAATCACCATGTGGTATAACTTCGCTGTCAACAGTAAGCAAATTTAAAAATGGAACATGATGTCCAGTGGTTCTAGATTTTAATTTATGTTAAGAAGTGGACTTGTTTTAAACTCTGAGCGTATCTCATCTTCGTATCCCCAATTTATTTGTACTGTTGTTGATATATTCACTTTCTAAATGGTAATATTAACAAAAGGATCTCCAAATATACTACTACTGAACAGTTTAAGTAGTTAAGAAGCACTCAAGATAATCTGTAGATTTCACCAGCTAGATAAGAGTGATCTAAACACCCGGCAGCCGGCTCGCTAGTTTAGGATTCTCAGTATTTTGCTTGTTTGTGCTTCTTATTTAAAGTACTACCAAATCAGTCACCAGAGTTCTTTAAATGTATAGGAATGATCCCTATAAACGGTTACATATTTTTCTCGGATGAATCTAAAATATTTCTGGTTGTATGTTAGATAGATTCACTTTATGCGTGTGAAGTAGTTACAGTAATTGAAATTAGACACCTTACTCTGTTAAAGTACCCCAATGCGAGTTGATCATAATGAAATGTATTCTTATGATCATAATGAAGTAAAAACTCAAATTTCTTACATCTACTGATTTATTGGTTTCTTTCATAGTGGGTAAAACACGGATCTTCTGAATTACCGAATGATCCATATTAATAGAAAGAGACTGATGAAACAATATTATTCAAATCATTTTACTGATATTATCATGGTTATCAAACGTATTTTAGGCTGTTACTCTCATCCGAAAGTGCCATGGTAGTGCAAATTATTTGTCAGATGAATCGAATCTACTTTTCATTTCTTTCTATCATTCTTGTTGATCTTTATTTCTCTGGTTGATCAGTTTTCACATAAGATGGTCTGAAGTTGACAATTTTTTCTCCAATGACCTTACTTTATATTCTAACATCTTCCACTTAAACTAGATGTTTGAAGTGAAATTCGAATTAATTGGTTTGAGGCAATCGGCAGGAAGCCCTGGACATACGTTTCTTGCTTTTTGGCAGTCGTCAGCAAGGCGTATCTGCAACCTCGAAGGAACTGATGTCGTGCCTAAGATTCGAATCCACGCCACCCAGTGTTGTAGTCAGCGACTTTACCACTGAGCTATTAGGGCCGCGATTGACCTCCTGTAAAACTGGCTTACATGTATTGATTGGTCACGGGAGTGTAACCAATCTCATGTTGTCTAGTTCTGAGTGCAGACCGAATCCTATCGATTATATTTGCAATGTGGCAGCTAAGCTAAGAAGTTCAGCGTCGCAATGCACATTAGTAGATTTTAGTTGGTTAGAGGTAATAGGCAGGAAGCCCTGGACCTAGGTTTCGTGCTTTTTGGCCCTCGTCAGCAATGCGTATCTGCAACTTAGACGGAACTGATGTCCCACCTGACATTCGAACCCGCGTCATGTTGGATATATAGAATATGACTACCTAGTAAAAACGCTAGATCTACCTCGGAAGTTTGTCGATTGAGTTTCGGCGTAAATGTTATCTTTAAATGCTTTAAATGGTTTATGCAGTTGCATTTATAGAAGAATTACATATTTCCATTGCCTGAGTTATGATGATTTTGTTATCACGATTTAAAGTGAATATCAGGTTATGTCTACTAACCACTGAAGTCAATTTAAGTACCGCTTCTTAAGTCTGAAAACCTTGTAACAAACGACAGGAATATCATTGCTACGTGCATAAGCAATCGCATGAACTACCAGCATTATTGAAATAGATGAGAAGTGATCAATATAAGATACAATTATCTAACAACAAAAGCACTGTTAGGATAGTTTCGCTCTGTACACTGCTTATATGGACTTATTGAGTGAGGAAATATTCCTTAAGAACAAAGCTTTGTTCTGATTAGAAATTCACCTCTTAAGACTGAGATGGTATCATGTTTTGTTAATAAGAGGAAATTTGTCAGTTCCATTTATGCATGAAGACCATTTTTCGTTATTTTATACTTGGAGTCAGTGATTGATAAAATAAATAATACAGCATAATTTTTAAGTGTCATCCTGTTTAATGGAAAAAAACATTAACAGATTTTAACAAATGGGTGTTTAGAAACTTACTCTAGCAGCCATTTACCAATCAAGTATTTATTTGCACCACCAACCAATAAGATTGCACAGTCTCTAGAACACTTAACTCTTTGTTTTATAGTGAGTGCTAATTCAACAGTGAATGGATCAGAAATTGGTAGCTATAATATGAAATCGTTGAATAGTGAAACGACTATGTTCAAACTTAAACATGTCTCAAATGGTAACAGAGAAAAGAAGACAAATAAACGAATTCATATAAACTATAAAATAAGCTAATTAGTGAGTTACCAGAGAAATAAGTGACTAGTGAACAGAAACTAAAGATTATCACCGTCCGATATGTTAAAAGTAATTAAGTGTGAACATATCTGCACTATCGGTACTGCATTTCAGTCATATTATTGAGAATGTTCCATCGTTGATTCATAGCATCTCGTGAACTGTCAGCTATATAGCCTACATTTCTTTACACAAACTTGACCGACGGTTGCGAACCTCACCAACTGTTCACATAGTTTGATCTCATGATGAATTATTCCACTCCAGTCACCACTACATGCTGCGGTTAGCAGTTACCTAAGCATCTACACATAATTTCTAAGTAGTTAAACATCCATTTGTATAACTTATGATGACAATTACTGCAGACAGTTTGATGGATTTATAATCTGAATAAATCTGTAAAGGACTTCATAATGCTGATCAATTTAACTTAGAATTCGGGTATTTTGACTTGGTCTGGGATCTGCACTAGTTGTAGTCATCATTATGACACAGCAGTTTTGTTAAAACGGCTCATACCTTTTGGAAATATAACGTTAATTTATAAATACTCCTTTGTAACAAATCCAAAATGAGGATTATCTCGGGTTAACTAAGACTTCTTGTTCACGGCATTCAAACACCAAATACCAAAGATAATTCGTTACAGTGTCATGCTACCTAGCTTGGTAGTCACGTTGTATTCTTAAGTCGATAAACACTTACCACCGACCATATCTTGATTATTGTTATGACTACAAATAATTTTTTCCACTATTATCACTCATCTGATTTCTTCCAGTCAGACATAACTTTTTGACTTATTATGTGAGACTGTTTGACACACGCCTCAATCAAAAATGATTTCTAAACCCAGTTCAATTTCAATCCCTAAAAATCAGTCACTGAACAGAATAAGTATTAAGGATAAATAACCTTTTATTCAACTAACTAATTCCACTAATCCGACAGTTCATTACTTGTGCATCTGTATGTGTGATTAACAAGACTGCAATAAATTACCAAAACTGAAAGAAGCCATTTAGGTTAGGAAATGAGTCATATATTTTATGATTAAGCGACCGTTTCTTCTGAGCACTGAGATGAATAATAATAATTAGTAACTAAAAGGTTCATGAAACCGGTTAGAAAAAATAGAACTGCAAGAAAACTGTTCCGGAAACTATCAAACATATTTCATTCAAATCTAATGACCCAAGTTATATGTTTCCTAATCTGTCACCTACTTTCCTTGTAATGACCACCTATAGATGAATTTATATACCAATGGCTATATTAAGTAATTTTTACTTAAAACTGTGTCACCTACTTGCTCAATATCCAGTTCATATTTTGGAATACTATCCAAGTATTCAAGAAGTTTTAGTCCGAATGGAGGTTCTTCATTTAAAATCTGTATTAAGATAGAAAAACATCCCTATTGATAATGGTTTATTGCAAAATTCAACCAACTTTTTGGTGATAAACACTCGTTCGTCCAAATACCAATTCAACCTTTGATAAAGTAGTTAAAATATATTGTAATTTCATATTACTTTGGAAGTTTGTGAGAATTCATTGATTTCACGGTAGTATTTATCATGGACTGACGTCAGTCGGCGAACCATTGAAAACCTGGAAGCGTTTGATAGCTATTTAGTTCTAGTATGGGACTCCTTAGAAGTGCACACCCATGAATCCACTGGGGATCGAACCCAGGGTCTTCAGATTTCACGGCGATTTGCTTACTTAATATATTACTCATAACTACACTATAAATAACTGGATAACGTTTCAGAAACTTTACTGTGAGTAATCAGAAGAATGTCAGGGTAAACTTGATATCTAGTGCAGAAATATTACCTCCTGGAAGATTTATCGACCAAAAGTAAAATCGAAAGATAGTCATTCTTAAAGACCAATTTTTTTGTATTCCCCTCACTGTTAGCTCACAATGCGGTCACAGTACGGCAGAAATATTGAAAATCCTAGATCTACGACATTTTAAAATGTATACTTGGTACTACTATTACTGTCAGTCATTTTTATATTATATCTCAGTCAACATAATAAAATAATTCACATGTGTTGAATAAGCTGGTTCAAGTAGTCTTTTAGTAAAGGCTCCTAAATCTGATTATTATACTAGTGAACAGTAGGTCTTCAACTACGCTACCCTGAAAGACAAGTAAGTCTTCTTAGTTTTGTTGCGTTCACTTAGCTGAACGACTTAATGGTGAAGCTTTCATTGACTTTATGAACAAAATCGTCGGCACTAACTTCAGTATGAAATCAGTTCTCTTTGATCGTAGTTATTGATTTCTCTACATTGTGACCGGGAAGGACCAGATTTGCAATGCCTTTCAGAATACAGGTTAAAAGGTGATAAATAACTGTATGTATGAGTGATAGTAAGCTAAACTTCGAAGAATGCTAGATATGATGTAACAGTTCCTTCCCCACCAACATCTAGCCTTCGATAAGCTAATGTAAAATATTCCTTCTACACTAGTTAAAAACTCTTTACCTAAGTAAATAAGTAACAATTTTAAAATATAAAACGATATAAGTTTACAAATAGTCAGTATGCCTTACATTTTCCAACTTTTTGCATCCAGCTTGTTGAACGGCATTGTAGGTAAGTAAATTGGCTTCGATCAACTTTTCAATGTGTCTTATAGACAGTAAAGGTGAATTGTATAAATTTATTAGCGGATAGTTCAGCCAACGTCCAAAATGGATAGATTTATGCAATTCCAATGCGTTAAACATACACGGATATTTTATGACAATTGATGGAATTGTTGAATCGGTTATATTTCGAACATGGCTATCATCTGAATTCATGTTTATGCTTTTTTGGTCGGTAGGGACGTATAGTGGAATTTCATGTAGCCAAAATAAACCCGTTAGGCCTTAAAAGAAAAGAGAACTGTATAATTGGAATCATATATATTGGAAAAGACACAATAATTCATTTACTGCATAGTGTGTTTTCAATGAACAGTCTAAACACTACTCACTTTATCACCTTTTAATTGTCTTATTCCACTTCATTTAACAAATTCCATTTATGTTGAATACTGAAAAATCAGTATTGACCCTAAATACGAGAAACAGACCTCACGAACAAAGGAGTGGACTAAGTTAAAAGCAGAATAAAATTATCGGGATTGAAACCCTGAAATACGAAACTCTCCAGTAAGATTTATGCTGATCGCATAGCAGCATAGATAGGGATTTGAAGCTCAAACATTTCTACTTCACCGCTTTCTATTTTAGCCATTTCCTGTTATGATCAACGAGTGAACAGTCCTACTCTGAGGTCATCCACAAGATAAAAAGCTTTTTGATCCAGTCTCTGAATTCAGCAGTGAGTGAAACGGGTCCAAATCACTGGGGAGACATAATTCTCTCATGGTTTCAGATGCCCTATGTTGATGGTAATTGGAAACTAAAATAAGATCTAGGTTCAGAACATTGCAATGTTTCACGCACAATATTTAACTGAAAAATATAGTGCGTCGCAGTGTTGTATAAGTAAGCTTAAGTAATACTTCACAAAACATAACCGACATACTTAGGTCAGTACTTAACCGTGAGACGTTGGTCACCCTTTGATCACCTCTATCCTGATGAAACATAATTCGTATAATTAAAAATGTCTGAAGTCTAGGTGTGAAATTTGCATCACGATGATAAAAAAATAATTTAAAAACTTAGTGATTTGTAGTTTTCTTCGCAGTTCTGCGTTACACAGGCATTCACTTTGTGTACAGAAAACTCGAAAATTAGCAAAAAAATAATTTAGTTCAACTGCAGTATTATCTAGTTAGCATACTGTTAAGATATTCGAAGCAGTTCGAAGTGCAGTTTCGCTGATCTTTGAAGATTTTTAATGGCTTGCGGTTCTTTTACAAACTGTTTGGAGGTTTGTGAGGATTTATTTATTGATTTCAGGTCGGAGGTCATCACGGAGTGATATCAGTTGTAGAAATATCGGGAACCTGAGAGGATTGAACAGCTGTTTCTTCCTAGTAAATGATTCTCCAGCAGTGCACACCTATAACCTCATCAGGGATCGAACCTAGGACCTTCAGGTTGTGCGCACAGTACATTACTTTCGAGCCACTAGGTCGGCATCCAGTGTTCCATATTTTCTGCTTCTGTCAGTTCACGTTATAGCGCGATCTTCATCCAATGCTGTTGTTGAGTAACTGTCTTTGTGTTCGACTTGGTTAACCTCACCGGTCAAAAAATATGGAAACACACACCTTAACAACTGTTTTAAAAATTTCATGAACCCTTATCAAGTAGTCTCTACCTTCATACATGACCCAAAGTTAGAATTTTGTATGCTTTCTTCAACCGATCATCAGCTTATTGCATCATAAAAGTGTTAACTCAGTTGAGTAAATGAGCTAACTTTTCGTTTTGCATGCATTGCATTACTAGAAAAAAAGTGAAATCATGCCTTAAGTCTGACTTTTTACAAAATTTAATAAACAGCAAAATATAAAGGAAAAGGAAGAGTATACAACAGTAGATAGATATACCATTTAAAATGCGTGAAGCTGACTGAATTATTTTTTCACTTTCTTGTTTTAATGCATAATCATTCACTGTGACTTGACCTAGCTTAGCTTGTAGTAGGCAAACAACCTTCAAAGGAGTACTTTTGATCCTTGAATTAATAGGAAATCTACAACGAAAGTTTAGAAACAAGACTTCTTACTACTATTTCATCAAATTGTAACTGATTTATCTATGAAATTAGTCGTCAATAACAGATGTCACCGGGGGGGGGGGGGGAAATGCAGTTTTATACTCATTGATAAAAGGTGAATTGACTATCTTGTGACTTTCACCTGTCTCTTATCTGTCTGATTAATTATAGCTTAATGGAGAAATCCAAGTTATGTTGTCTAATTTGGAAACTTTTGGTATATGGCATTATAGTTTACACACATGAATTCAATCATTTGACGTGATATCCCATGTCCTCGTGTTCATTCACGTAGTATCGAAAGACAGTCATCATTTGGGTGCAGTGAAGCAACAAGTTCAGGGTTCTGAGCAGGTATTCACTTAACAAAACTTATTATATTGCATACTTGATTAACAGTCAAATCGGTATTGTCATAAATGTTATTTGAATAACAGTCTGTGAAGAAGAGTCAAGTAAATAAATAAACAAAATAATGTTCTTGAAAATCACTTATATCAAAATATTTAACGAAGTACCACTTGTTTTCCTTCCTATCACTATTTCTATATTCAATGTTAGAGTCCATAGACTAGGGACATTGTATATGATAATAAGAATAAATAATCAGTTTTATCCTTTTTGATTTCCCTCAATTAGATCAGAAGCAAAAAGACGACTGAAAAGTAAGTTTATGCATCTTAAATTGGTGCGACAACAGGACATTTATATTTTTAAACAAGATTATTTCCATTCTAGCCCGACTGTATTGTTCCAAGTTATTTCTTATTAAAGTCAAATGAAAATCTGCTTGTTTAAGTTGAGGTGGAGAGAAAAACAACTGGTAATGTGTGTTAAACCACAGCGATTCATGCATTATTTTTAAAATAACATAGAAAGATCCAAGGCTTGTAAAGATGTGAACAGACTTGGAAAAATTACCAGCATATGAAAGGAATCAAGTACTAGATGCCAAACATTATCATCATTCACTATTGGATTAGATTTCAGATACGATAACACAACCAGAAACAAGTGTTTCATATCAATCTGGGAATCATCTTGGGAATAGAATAATTCACGGCAGCGCTTTGGTTGAATTTTCATGCACACTAACTTCAATACTCCTGTAAGTATTTGAATTGCAAAATGGATATCAACTATTTAATACTTTTCAGCTAGCCAGTTACCTTAGTCTTCGGTTTTACCTTATGCCTACGAATTTTGTCTATTCACAGTCAACGTAGTGATAACTGTTTGTCTACTCAGTTCACAGAATAGTTGGGTTTCTTTACACCGGTTCATAATCCACTTGAAAATTGTTTTCCAATCCTTTTATCTTGTTTCAATGTGTTCATCTTATGCATTGCATGTTCGACAAGTTTATACACTGTCTAAGTCGGTAAACTTTTGTTCAAGCAGGAAGAATAAACATTGTTTACTTGATTGTGTTGTGTTCTCTGAACTGGGTTGTTTAATCATGAAGCTTTCATCGTCATACTGAAGTGAGTGCTGATGATGTCGTCCAGAAAGGCGTTGAAAGCTTCACGACTAAACAACTCAGTTCAGAGAACACAATTCAACCAAGGCCATTCACCTGAGCTACAAATATTCTACACTATTTCAAACACTGTTTATGACTGAAAGTAGAATAATCATTATTGTTAACTGTTGCTTGAGAAAAGAACTTGGAAGGAGTCATAACAGTATTCTACGAAGTCTTTGACTGTAAATGTGAGCCATGGAGGGAAATGTAAACCTTCCTTATTTGATCCACATGGCAACCGAAGTCGGTGATTATAAACTCTAAATTATATAACTCAGTATCAACCTCAGTGACACTATCTAGCCTGGCAGAGAAACGGAGGAAATGCATCTTCATCTGTGTAAGACAGCATTTAGCGAACTCAGGAGACTTGACCACTTTGATAAATCCTTCAGAATTTTATATAAAGTGAAACTTAGTCATCCGAAAAGGGTAAAGATAGGACATCTGAGGATAGCTGAAGCATCGGCAATTCAAAAGGTTAGACAGTCATTGTGCATTCTAAAGAAGTAAATACAAATCCTTTCTTTGCTATGAGCAACATCAAGCATTAGTCGCTTCAGATAATTTCCTTATGATTCTATTATTTTCCATTTTCTAATTATTTATTGTCCTATTCAAAATTCCTTTACGTCAAGTAACTCTGAATGTATCCTGACCAATAATAGACTGGATGGTTTGCAAAAACCTGGACACCAAATTAATATGACTCATCGCATAAGGTGTAGTTTACTTGTACAATTCCGAGGTAGTATATCAGAACAAATAATTAAATAAACAAATATTTTGTTTTATTCTTACACGTTTCAAACTTTCTGGGAAGATTCTTTTCAAGAGTGTTAATATGACATTCGTTTCTTGGTTATTATGCAAGTTCAGTACAAAGAGTGACCTTGATGATCACCCATTTAGATCACGATATGGAACAGAGATCAATGGAATTTAGGTGACTGAATTAGCAAATCCATCAAGCCTCTTTAATCAAACTTGAATATTAGCCTGGAAACTTAGTGTCATATTCACACTTACGAGAAGGATCTTCCCAGAAATGTCGAAACGTCGAGGAATAATACAAAATGTTTGTTTATTTTGTTATTTGTTCTAATATACTATCTCGGGATTACACAAGTAGAATACACCTAATACGATGAAGTAAGTAAATTTCTATTTATTAACCAATGTATTTTGACCTCTGACAAAAATTATTTCAGGATATCCTCTCTTATCCACTATGCGTTGACGAATATACAACCAAGAGAATGACTATGTCGAAAGAAAAAAAATTCCTTCGTTGCAATCCTCTACCTTTTCCAAGGATCGAATGGATTTATTTCAATACTTCATTCCAGTTGTCATATTAAATTTCGTTGTTTCTTCGCCCTTCCCATTCTTCTTTCATTCTTATGACTTTCTTCAACTTTTGATTACATTTTCCTCTTTTTCTTTATCTTACATTATGGTGCTTGATGTGATGAGATAAAATATAGGAACTTAAACCACTAAACAATCCTGCTAGGTCCTGTGTTGATACTGAATGACTGACTGACTGAATTACATAAGTAGTCAGTCATACTTCATGATTAAATTTTGTTTGTAGATGAGTAGATGCAAGAACTAAATCAGGGTGTTTCATAAAATAAAAATATTTGTACAACCCGATGAGGTTGAAAAACTAGTTTCTGATGCGTCCTGACCTCGTAGAAACCGCTTCCTCATTAAGATTTTACAAATATATTTTCTTGATAAACCATTTACCCAGTGCTCAAACCCTTTAATTCGACTGGATTATCACCATTATAACTTGGTACATCTAACAACAAAATGCGTATCAAAACGTGGTCTTACCGCAAACTTGATCGACCTTTGGCTCTACTAATGGTATTAAGTAATGATTTCTCACAGTGTCTTAATCGGATATCTTTCATTTCTGGACATTCTGCGATAAAATAAAGCTTAAAAGAAAATAGGGTATTCAGGTTTTAGGCAAAACTACACTTATTTTACACACTGTTAAACATGTGAGAATAATAAAAAAAGATACTTAGTTCAGTGTGATAATGATGATAGTTTGATACTCTCCTTCACTAGGCATTTCATTGTAGGTGTTCAGTGTCAGGCCAGGTTACTTCATAAAAGCTTACCTTCCATGAAGTGGTCACTTCTTGCTGCCTTACTTCCTTATGGAGTTCTAATGAAGCTATCAAGCTTGCTGATAAAGTGTTCACCACTAAATATAAAAACTCGGATAATATTAAACTGTTACGTAGTTATAACATTAGTCAGATTATTATTATGCAAGGCTATGACTGGCTTAGGCTGTCTATTTTCAACCAATGGATCTAGGTTTTAAAATCCACTACACCTACAGAGGTTTTGAAGTCAGTTGGTACCATCAACCTTTAGACAATAGGTGTGATTTATTACCTAAGTACATGTTGTTAGTTGCTTGGTAGCCTTCCACAAGAAGATGAATTGAACTAAATTTTCTACTTAGTGCTATGTATCACTAAAGCATATCCATAATCTTTCAGAATTTTGTGCTTCCATTGAGATTACAACGAATTATGACAGAAATGCAGTCAGAAGAGTTGTGAAAAATTCATGACTGAACAAATGGTGAATCATGATCAGTATCATAATAATATCATGTGGATTTCCGACAGCAATCTATGTATTAGAAGGGATAATGTAGAATGCACTATGACCAAAACAATATTAGAGCTTCTTACTGAAACTCTTGAAGATTGCGGAAACAGCTGTCTGATTAATACAAATAGATAAAGTTTTACGTTAACAATATTCTGTCATCTTTTAAAAAAGATATGCTACGATAGTGAAAAACTAATTTTGCTGGTATACTGAATACCAAATAGATGGATAGATAGAACAACAAAGAATCTGGGAAAAACTTGTTTCCATTTAGTTCTGTACAGTCTTGATCTTTTTCTGGCTTAGGTAGGTGGAATGGATCCTCTGCGCTACAAACTATTATCCCTTTTCACAGGAATCACATCTTATTTTACACTTTACTGAATATTTCAGGTTTCTGTAAACATGTAATTTAGTCAGAGTGACTACAAATATTTCTCTAACTGATTTGTAAGATTGAACACTGAAGTCACTATTGAGGTGTTATGCTCCAACCATATGACGAACTATAGCAGCCAGAGGATATTGATTAATTAACAGAATAGATTTCTGTGTCATATGAGATGATAGCTTCAAGTGTTTATAAAAACACTCATAATTAACCAACCGGACAAAACCAGCACCCTGAACTCTCATAACAGACATCACTGTGTAGTATAGGAAAGCCAATTTTCCTGCAATAAATCTAAGTAGATATTAGGTTTTCAAATACAAAAACTTTACCGGTTAGTAAGCTTTTTAATAAAAGAGATAAGGATCTTATGTTTTTTCATAATTAGACAAATAACGAAGGAAGGTGCAAAACATTTGAAAATGAAACAGTATTATTTTATAAAAATTACCAACTCTTCAACTGTTTCTTCTCCAGAAAGTTGATACATCCGCATGAGTGTGTCGAATTCCAAGTTATTTTTAAACACTAATTCGCCTAATTCTTGAAAATAATATGAAATACTTACTGACAAAATTAGAAATTACCAGTTGCATTAGTCTGATTATCTTCTGAAGTATATTTGATCAGTTTTAAACCATGTAAACTATTGATTTCTTTTAGGCACAGATCTGCATGGTATTAGTGGAAAAATTTCAAAACATTTGATAAGAAAAGCATACCTTGTACATACTGGTCGATGGATTTGACGGTACAGTTCACCGGTAGACCTAATAAAAATTTATGTAAAATGGTCAACGAGAAAATCAATAGTGCTAAATTATAACTGGTAGGTAAGATGGAATTTAACTTGTTCAAAGTACAACATGAAGTGATTGAATGGCTGGGAAATTATTTGCAAGCGAAATATCTCGTGTATACATATATTTTTCACGTTTCGACTAAGCCTAGTTTTTAAGTTCCATCTCCTTTTGTGTGGCTTTGTCTACTTTGATATCTGTCTTTCCTATCCACTTGTTCTTTATAAACTAAAGTGAAATTTGGTAACTTGAACCAATGCACTTGTGTGCGAGGCTTTACATTGATTTTTTCTGCCTTCATTAGAAACTGTCTATTCAAAGTTTAGTCTGTCGAATGTGGAGACATAAGAAAACAACTGCTATTACTACTTAACGATATGTAAAGAAGGACTTCATCATTAAACAGTATCTAATTAAGACGAAGAACCTCGCCTGGTTAACTAGTTCACTAGTTACTAGCCGGTCCTAAGCCCGGGTAAAGAGGGAAGGTTGGGCATAGGGCTAGCAACCCTGCACAGTAAAATCAATCTAACCGCTAAAGAAACTTCAAAGCACAAACAAAATATAAAAAATAAAAACAAAATTATCTCTCGCTGGAATCGGAGAGGTGAATGACGCCGGTTGGTGAAAGCTTGGTTTCGGCAAGCCAACTGACCGACGTGACTTCTCTCGATGAAAGCGAAAGTAGACGTGAGGACATGGAATATCCGCACCAAATGTGAACCTAGTAAGGCTGCCCAGATTGCAAAGGAGATGAGAAGGTATTGCATTGAAGTGCTAGGAATCTGAGAGGAATCTGCAGATGGAGTGGAAGTGGACTCTACAAACTGTCAACTGGAGAATCAATAATCTACTCCGGTCACCCAGACGACAACCATTAGCACACTGAGGGAGTGGCTATCATGATGTCCCGAATGCATCCAAGGCTCTCATGCAGTGAGAACCAATCTCCTTCTGCAGGATCAGTATCATGACAGCAAGGTTCAACTTAGAAGGAAGGAAGATCACAATCATACAATGCTAAGCTATGCACCTACAAATAATGCAGAGCTAGAGAAAGAGGAGGAATTCCACAGACAACTGCAATCAACACTGCACAAGACACCACTCAAGTCGGCGACATCAAAATTATAATGGGTGGAGCGATATGAATACCAAATTGGGAGCGGATAAACGCAGGGAGAGAACTAACCATGGGTCGAGAAGCACTCGGTGAGGTGAAGAACGAGAATGGAGAACTGTTTGCAGAATTCTGTGCATTCAACGATTTGGTGATTGGAGTCAGGCTCTATGTTCATGCACAAGGATATCCACAAAGCGAGCAACATGGATTCCAACAGACACCGGGACACACTAAAAATAAGATTGACTTCATCTCAATCTCAGGAAAGTGGAGATGCAGTCTACTTGACACAAGGTTAGGAAGAGGAGCAGATGTGGGCTCAGACCACTCACTACCTAGTGCAAGAAACCTTCAAAATCAAGTTGAAAGTCTTCAAGGAAGTTGATAATAGACCACAGTTCAAGTTGAACACCCAGAACAGAAACTGAACTGAAGGACGAAACTACAAAGGAAATCTTCACGTCAGCCAGCCATCAAGACAAAATGGGAGGTATCGAGCAACATCCCTGAAGAAACCTGTGTTGAAGAACACTGGAAGTCTTTGAAAGAGATGTGGAAAGAAACCTGCACAACCGTATTAGGAAGGAAGAGGAAAGAAGATAAGGAATGGATCTTAATGGATACATGGAAGCTGATAGAGCAGGGAGATGGGGATGGTGAAGCAGAAGATGAACCAGTGCAAGGATGCACAACGAGAAGAGGAACTGAGTACGATGTATAAAACACTGGACAAGGAAGTGAAGAAGAGTGCACGGTAAGACAAAAGACGCTTCTATGATGCACTGGTAGGTGAAGCAGAACAGGCTGCAGGTAGGAGAGACAGAGACCTGACGACACTGTATCAAATAACCAGGTTGCTATCTGTGAAGAGATCAACGCAGACGAAGCCAATAAAAGATGATGACGGAAATTTAATTACGAAAGAAGAGAAACAAAGGAAACGATGGGCCGGCCACTTCAAGAAGCTCTTGAATCGACCACCACCACCACCTGCACTTCGTCCAGAAATACCATCTACACCTGCTGAACTACAGGTGAACATAAATCCTCAAACAAAAGTGAAAGTCCTGAGCTCTATAAAGCTACTGAAATGCGGGAAAGCAGCAGGACCAGATGGGATCCCTCCAGAAGCACTGAGAGCAAATGCAGAGACAACAGCGGACATGCTCACACCACACCACTATTGCAGAAGGTGTGGAAGGAAGGGAAGGTACCTGGCAATTGGAAGAAGGGCTACCTTGTCAAACTGCCGAGGAAGGGAGACCTCAGTGTTTGCAAGAACTGGCGAGGAATCACTCTCCTGTCCACCCCAAGTAAAATATTAAGCCGCATCATCCTGGAGAGGCTTAAAGATGCACTGGATTCAAAACTGCGACCGGAACAGGCAGGCTTCAGGAAGTACAAATCATGTGCAGACCAAATTGCAACGCTTCGTATCATCATAGAACAGAGCATAGAATGGCAATCAGCTCTCTACCTCAACTTCATTGACTTTGGGAAGGCCTTTGACAGCGTCGACCGAGAGGTAATTTGGAAACTGCTTCAATACTACGGAGTACCACAAACCTTTATCAGCCTCATTCAACAACTATATGAAGATGCCACACGCTAAGTAATTCACAATGGGAAGATCAGGGATACTTTTGAAGTGAAGACAGGAGTGAAATAAGGTTGCCTACTATCCCCCATGATATTCCTTATTGTGGTCGACTGGATCATGCAGCAAACAGTGGGGAGCTGTGAGAAGAGGGGGATACGCCAGCTGGATGGCGGAAAAGAACCTAGAAGATCTGGATTTCGCCAGCAATGACTTGTGTCTGATGTCACACAAACTTGATGATCTACAGGCGGAAACTGAGAAGTTGTCAGAAGAGGCAACGAAGACAGGACTTCAAGTGAATGTAGAGAAGACAGAGGTGATGAAGATACCACACCAACAACTCCAACAACAACAACAAACTCCAATCACTATCAATGAGAGAAACTTAAAGGAAGTAGCCTCTTTCACCTATCTAGGAAGCACTGTTTCAAACTACAGTCGTTGGTGGCACAGACGAGGATGTCAAAGTCAGAATCGGAAAAGCAAGACAGGCGTTTATTTGCCTGAAACCAGTGTGGAGATCTTCTGCACTCCACTCAGCATGTGGAACAACATCCAGATTTTCAACACCAACATCAAGTCAGTGCTTCTGTATGGCTCACAGACTTGGCGCGTTACGAAAGTGATTTCCAGTAAACTGCAGACATTCATCAACAACTGCCTACACTGGCTTGTTACTGAAGATCAGATGGCCACAAAGAATAGGCAGTAAGGAACTCTGGCCCGGCGACGAACCAACCAAGAACCCATCGCTCAGCAAATATGCAGGAGGAAGTGGAGATGGATTGGCATACACTGAGAAGGCCGACTGGGGACATCACGCGCCAGGTCAGGTCGTCGAGTTGAAGCCAGATGGGAAGCGACGAGTTGGACGTCCGAGGTGAGGGTGACATGGAGATCGTGCGAAGAGGAAATGAGAGCTTCTGGGCTGTCGTGGAGCCAGGTTCAAAAGATTTCAGAGAACAGAGCGCATTGGAGACGTGCGACTGAAGCCCTATGTTCCATTAGGAACCGAAGGGATAAATAATAAAATAATAATTACGACGAAGACATTAAATGTATGCTAGAAAGACAAGAACAAGAGAGTATTTCAGGTTGAATAGACGATACTGTTAGGTTATCTAACACTTACACCCACTAGCATGTTCAAGAAGAAGCCAATGTATTAAACAGGTTTTACTCCGGGATCTGAGGTGTAACACAATAAGAAATCACATATCTTCGTGAGAAATTGGTGAAAGAAGATAAGTGATCACACATTTAGTGATATGGATTTCAACTTTTGAGATAGAATGGGTTTGTTCAGCGTTCAAGTCAAATCTTGTCATTTAGTAATAAAAATTCTAAATCTACATATAGTACATCCTACTAACTACTAATTGAAGACTACACACAATTCATGTAAATGAAACATCACGAGTATAAAAGCCTCATAAGATGAGAAGCAGAACTACTGTTATACATTTGACAGTTAGGTTTTTCCATCAGTCTAATTAATATGTATAGTGTTTAATTAAATTGATGAAATAACAACAGAAATTAAGATAAGACTCATAAGTGTTAATTGATTTTAGTATACCACTGAGCAAGTGGATCTACGAAGCAAGGAAAAGACTAGATGTTTTGATTTCCGTTTAATTAATTTCAAATATCTAATAACCAATAGATTCATATTAACTAGTTGGGCAATAATGTTGCGTTTCTAAATCACTAGAATTAAGAATTAATTTGATCATATAACTTATCTCCCATAATCAGACTTTAGAGAAGCTTATTTGTAACTTGAATATCTTAACATGGATTTTTCAACTAAATGAAATGACTCAAAACCAATACCACTTCAGCAGTATATGGAAGCACTTTTCATCATCTAAATCTTAACCATCTCTTTAAACGTATGAACATTCATTGATCAGTTTGTCTTACCTTACCTTGTTCTATTTTTTTTCTCGCCTTCAATTAAATTTTCACTACTGGTATAGTGAAAATTAAAACAACTGAAATGAATTCATTTTTGTTCAAGATTGTATTTTGTTACGTCCGTTTGACTCCAGAGGACTTGAGAAAATATGTCAAAGAAGTGTAGACTTATGAAAGTTGTAAATAAGCCACTGATGATTACTTGTAGTAGATATAAAAACTAGGTGCAAAGTTCACCTCATACTAACTCTTAAGGTTTAACACCTTTAAAATCAGATTTTGGTATCTATTTACTAATTTAGAAAATAATTTATACAGAATGGATGTGATCCTACTCCTCAAGAATCTACCTTAGTCAAGTAGTTTGTTATTTAAGACAAATGAAATGTGTAATCAATATGAAACTTACCATAGAATTGAGGGCATTTTTTTATTCGAACATAAAAAAATGTATTTTTAATCCAATTGAAAATACTGTCGTGATCGTATACTGTTCTTAAGATAATTTCACATAATAAATGATGGCGTAGACGTGGTTTTAAACTGGGAAAAGATAATATTAAGGTTAATTTATTAAAAGATTTATTTATTTTAAACATAATTGTCATCACAAATTGACGTCTATACTTCAAAACTGTCAAATTAAACTAATCTTCTGATAGAATTAGATGAACTAAACACTGGGTGAATGGGTTATAAAGGAAATATATTTGAATTAATAAAATAATGACTGATAACGATAACATTTATTCCTATATTATAATGATGTGTGAACAATGTGATCTGATTTCTCTCCATTTATTGTTTGAACTTGTGATAATTTGTACAGGTTATTTCTCAGAAAAAGCGGCTTCTGATAGGTGACAAAACATCAGAAATTTATTTTTTGTATTTTACCAGGATTCTAAAAATATACTTCCTTTATAACAAACTTCTGCTTCTAATGATTCATCTTGAGAAGGAATCTATGGAGTCCCAATAAACAGTTACATTTAGGGCTTCTACTCTTCAATTAGAATGGTTTTCATTCTGACTAAACCATTGAATTCGCTTGAATTACAAAAAAGGGTAAAATGTTAGTATTTTTTCTTGATTTCATAACAGTGTTCACTGCAGCTCTTGACGAATTTAATTTCGACTTTTTTAGTTGTTCCAAGTGGTAACCACGAGAAGTGTGTCTATCCAAGTGTTAAATATTTTGTTTAGAGAAACAGAGCCCGATTAGACTTTAAGGCGAATAATTATTCTTTTAAATTCATATCTTTTCAAGTTTACCACGGGAATATCCTGTATGGTGAAGTCTTCTCGTTTTACAAAACTTATCCAGTCGACGTAATTTCTTGGTAAGAAGAAACTGTTTCCAAAATTGAATTCAGCAAAAAGAGAAAATAACGCACATTCCACCTACCAGCTATTAATCTCATCAAGTGTATTCAACAGCTTTGTATAATGCATCTAGAAGAATGTGATGATAATTAGATTATTTTTTTGGTTTTAACACAAACTTTGAGATTACTTTCGGTCATTATTATAGCAATACCCTCATCGTCAAACTGTAATCAGAAAAGAAAATAAGTGAAACACGCAGATTAGATTAATTTAAGTAAAAATCTATCAAGTCATTAACGCCAATTGATTAATCTATCTGAAGTTTCATAACTTGGCGGGTTGGTCTTAAAGTTGGAAAGATAATCTTTAAAATTAAAAGCTTGAGTTTCACTAGCATTCGAAACAGTGGCCTTCAAAGGACTGGTTCAGAAATTTACTGCCTTGATGTTAATTTCAATCAAATCCCACTATATCGTGTTTAATGAAACTTCCTCGCAGCTCCTATGTGCAAAGTCTACTAACTGAAGCTAACTCATACAAAATAACCAGTAAGCAATCATTCACTTCTACTTTCATAGTCATTTCAATGTTGACTGAGATGAGATAAGACCAGGTAGTTAGCATGATATAGCGTAAAGGTCAACAAACCTTTCAATTATTTTAAAAGGTTTGCTTTGCATTTCAGTTGAGAATAAACACAGTCACAGTTACATAACTGTAGCCTCCACTGTCTAAATAGCGCCTATGTCTAAGCCTGATTCTTCCACATCTATGAGTCACTGGATGAACTGAACGTATGATGAAACACTGATCACTGCTCTACCCTTAGTAGATAAATAGCTCCCAGATTTATACAAATGAACAACGAGTTCAGGTTATATAACAAATTACAAGTGTTAAGTAAAGTCACTTAGGCTACATATTGTACGGCCAATCACCTGTTACCATTGAACAACAAAGCATGTAATTATTATTATTATTAACGGAAGCTGATGAAAACAGTTACAGAACAACGTTGTGAATTAGCTTCTACTTCAAGTGTGATAATCAATCAAAATTCACTTGACTGAACTTTACAACGCATTATCAGAAAAGGATAGATAAGAGTCACTCACATGACAGACTAATAAAAATCGTAGTTACTGAAGGAAATTTAAGAGACTCTAAAGGTCACTATAGCAGCTACTAATTTAACCAATTAGGTTTTTTATTTTACGGAAAAGCTTACGTTTCTGGTCAAAATAATAAAACATAATTGATTATTTTAATAGTCACTATGACGGCATTCAAAGTCGCTCGTTCTTCAACTTTATCTATCATCTGAATACTAAATTAACTGTTTCCTTCGGGATAAAGAATTCGTCAGAAGTTTGAAAAATCATGTGAATAATCTTCTCTCGAAATATCCTAATTCTCATCTGTTTTAATCTGTTTAAAATTTCATTTGTATTCTACTTCTTTTCTGATAGTGAAGTTGATAAAAATGAGTAGAAAAAATTGTCAAGTACTTGCGTCAGTATGTTTGGCTATATTCAATGTTCATGAAAATTTCGATCGATGCTAACACATTTCTTTGTGTGAACATCTTGATGACAATAAATTAGATATTCAGAGAGTGTAGTTGAGGATGAGTATTCCATACCACTACCACTACCACTATTTGAAAAGTACAGATTTGGACAGAGCAAGAAGGATGAGATTCGTAGAATAAAATGATATCATTTTATTTCACGAATACTCCTCATCTGCATACAGTCTAAAAATACAATAGTCATTGGGAAATATGGTAAGTTAAAGTTAGGAAATCAATAATCTTAAATTGTACAGGAAAATCACTGATATTCCATATAACATGCAAGAGAATTAATTTTACAAAAGAGTAAGAAATGTAAGAAAGGAAAATTAATTAGAAAAGGATATGCAATTAAAATGAAACAGACACCTCGTAGATACAGAACATCAGGCTGAAACCTTGACAGGTTATAAAAGAATAAACATGAAAAAAATAGCTTGGTTACTCTGCTTCACAGAGGCGATTGCAATAAAACATTTTCAGTTTGACCTGTGTATACAGAAGGAAAGTGTGGTTAGTCTTCAACTCTCTTGGTGATTATAACTTGACTCTGTTTGGTTTTAATTACATAACTATTTATTTACTATTCTTTTCCTTCCTTACATTTCATAACCTCTGTACAAATAATTCTCTTACATGTTATATGAATTATTAATGATTTTGTTAAACAACTTGTGACTGTTGATTTCCTTATTTTAAAATATCTAAGGTGCTAATAACCACTGTACTTTTATGCAGCTGAGGAGTATTCGTGAAATAAAAAAAATATCATTGTACTCTACAAATCTCATTCTTCTTGCTCTGTTCAAATTTACTAATGGATCTAAATGCATGAGTTGTATGAGTTGAATATACTGGTATCTTATTGTTAATTCTTTCAATGAGACTCAAGTAACTGGAAAATGTATAACCACGTTACTGTATTAATCATTTCTTATACAATACGCATAGATGTTATAAACACTTCTTATACACCATTTTCGTTTACTTTATACACCAAATAGCTCAACCTGTTTTAATATTGTCGGATATTGTAGCGCTAAATTTAAATGTCGTAAACAAAACGATAACATGATTTGGAAAGATGTAGAATTGAGCAAAATACTTAGCTTTCGCAAAGCGTCATCAAACTAAGACTTTCAACATATTAAACTTGAAATGTGGAAATATACACATGAAGTTGTTACATAAATTCTGAACAGATTTGATAATGTCTAGAGTTAACTTCATGAAAATTAAAATTTCACGGTAGTTTTCTTCACTCAGTGATACCAGTTGAAGGGCTGTTAAAAACTCAGGAGCGCTGGGCAGTTATTTCATCCCAGTTTGCGACTTCTTAGCAATGAGCACTCAATTTTAAAAAATCTTAGATAATCAGTGAGTAAAAAGACTGAAAGACAATATCATCAGAGTAAGATTAATCTCGAAAGGTTAAAACCTTTATTGGTGACCCTTAAGTATGAAGGCAAAAATACCCTTTTCTAGAAGAACGAGATAACAAGAAAACATAGACTTCCAAACAATCATCTACCACTCCACAGATTTAAGTTAAAACTGATTTACATAACGGAATGACAATTATCCAGATTATAGTGGTTGCCAAGGTCCTGAAAACAATTAAGTGCCAAGTCTTTTTGAAGTAATATTAACTTAAAATACTTAGAAACCAATTTACATACTGTTTGACCATATCTTAATGATTTTAATAAAAGCTCTAATATTTTGCTGAAGAAGTAGATAAGTGCAATGCAATGTTTAGAAATGTCTTGCCTTAATCTTTTTACCGCACTCAGATTACATAGAAATGAATCCCTGTAGTGAATTGCACAATATCTAGGCAAATTGATAGCCATTTTAAAAAACAAAGCATTGTATTAGCCTTTTCTGCGTTACCAGTTGCAGGTTAATTACTGCGAATACAGTAACATCTGTTATTGGAAGATGTGACATCCTTGTTGCTTGTAGTAGGTAGTTACATGTCTTTTGAAGAGGAGTATTTGATGCCTACTCTGTCATCACTATCGGTGGTCATGGTACATGAAAGGATAGCTTTTCAACTTCACATAAAGTGGCTATAAATAGTATTTCACATTGTCCATTCAACATTCACAGTTTAATAAGGAATTCCTTGCTAAAAATTTATGCAAATATTTTCGTTAATTTTATTTCTACTAAGTCAGTGGAAGATTGTGGAAAACTATTATTCTTCAAATGTATAGTTAAAACCATTTAATATTGACTGATTGACTGAAAAACATCTTCACGTAAAGGCTGAATCTTGTATGAGCTTTGCAGAAATAAGTAATAACTTAATTTCTAATTTTTTTTCAAGCCGTTGGGTGTCTGCAATCATTATTTAGCCAGTTAAGTTAATTATTGAGTGATTCAATAGTTAAGGTCATATACAGATATAATCATTACACTTGACAATCAGTATCATACCTGTGGACGACCTGCTCTTCCCACCATTTGTGATATTTGTGTTGAATTATATCCAGTTATATCACCATCAATAAGTTGTTCTGTATTTTTAATAATAACTAAATGTGCCGGCAAATTAACTCCCATTGCTAGAGTACTGGTACTTGCTTTAATAGATGAAAAGAAAACAAGTAGATACAGTAAAATAGTAAAGACCGAAAAAAAATTAGGAACAGTTTACCTAGCACTGATAAACAGCCTGATGTAAAAGCATCTTCCACAATTTTCCTGTCGTCAGCATCCATTCCTGCATGGTGATATGCAACACCTTTTAACATGGAATCTGAAATGAATATTAAAAACACTATGTTTAAGATTCGTCAATCATCATCGAGATCAGTATTGAACCAGGTGCATTACTGCGTAACCGTCCAAGGTGCCACACCTCATATCAACACATCAAGAAACTAGGCAATAAAATAAAGGTGGACAAGAAAAGAAACATCCATGAAAGGAAGTAGGATTAGAAAGTAGTAAAAAAGAGGAAGGAGGAATGAGAAGGTGATGAAATTAAGTATAGCGGTTAAGATGAAGATGGTGCTTGTATGCATCTGCGCCACTGACATCGGTTCTCAGCCATATCACCTACAGTCTCCAACCATTGATTTCTCTTATTCCGTGGACCCCAATCACCTAGTCTGCATCGTCCAAGATATTCTTTCTGGTCGCCCCGAGCCCTTCTCCAGCCTGAACCTACTTCGACCAACACTTTGTGACTAGACCATAAGTGACACACATCCCAACCATCTCAGTTGGTGAAGATTCACAACTGCATTAATTGTCTTGCCTCTCCTTCCTAAAACTCTACCTCTGAACTCCGTGTTTCTCACGTGATGACACCATGAAGTATGGGCTACGTTACGAAGGCAGAGTTAGTCAAATACCTGAAGCCTTCTCATTTCTTCTGCCTTTACTGCCTACGTTTCACAGTCATACAGTAGAATAGAGCGGAGTACAGAGCATTACACTCAACCCTGAATAGACGGTTGAATATCGCAGCAGCGCCAGTGATTTCATGAGTTGGCAAAAGTCAACTGAGCCTTTTGTATCCGTGCACAGACTTCGTCGCCCACTGTCCAATACACCAGGGCTGACCCGACTTCTCAGGCAAGTTAGCTGTTCAACGTACTCAACCACTCCATTCTCTATTGTTATTCATGGTACCGTTGAAGACTCGTCCTGAAACAATAATTTGCATTTGGGTGACGAGATACGCACCCCAAACATTCTCAAATTGTCACTAAAGGTGTCTAGAGAACTCTGAATCTTCTCAGTGTCTTCAAAGTCAATGTGGGCTGGAATAGTACCGGTTTATGAGAAGGTCAAAAGTAACAAGCTTAAAAGGTAATGTCGGTGCATGAAGTCTCTGACTCTTGGTATGAGTCATATAAGGAGAAGAAGACTGTCTGGCTGGGGTTTTCGAAATAACAGGAATCAATGGTTGGCTAACCTTGGTGATGAGTGAAAATCAGTTACAATGCCGTAGATGTATTCATCCTTTGATGGCCTCTAAAGCTTGTATATATCGACTGACCATGACTTTCAAGTTCCCTCTCCTCCCATTCATCTTTTCTACTTTGATATCAATCTTTTCCCACCCCCTTATTTTTGAATGCTACTGCAAAGTATAGTAATTTGAAATGATGCATTTCTGTTTGAGTTTCCACGCTTATTTTGTCTATCTGTATGACTTCTATCAGTGTGATGGAACAGCATAACCATTTTCGAAACATCAATTGTGGCTCAAAACCTTAGTATATGAGTTTTTACTTGATTACTGAAGTGCATCATGCACTGTAAACTAGTTTCGGTTTTAGGTAATCTTTTCAGATAGAAAGTATACCAGCGGAGAGATGAAACACAGACAGTTGTTATTATATCTCCTCATACAGACAATATTACCGCATCACAGTAAAATCTTCATACTTATCAAATTGTCCGACAACTTTTTGACTAATATACGAAAGTATTGCAACTTTGTTTTTTAAATCATTTACATAGTTTCACGATGATTCAGAATGACTTTTGAAGGCGAATTATTTGGTCTAAATATGCAGGTGAAATGTAGTTCAAATATCTATCGAATAGTAAGATTGATAAATCCAATAAATGTATACTTAGTTATTGCTACAACTTGTTGAAAATCTCAATTTTTGATTTGCTTGCAAGGGTTGTTTGGATGAATACTGCTACAGAAAGCAAAGTGGAACAGTATTCCAGCGTTTAACAGTTCTAGACTCAAGGTTTTTTAAGAAAACCTAATACATCATGAACGTGTATCAAACAGAGAGCTAGATACAATAATTAGAAACCGGCCGTAATTTTATTTTTTCAGTATAGTGCAGTTCAAAAAGAGAAGAAAACTATTAAATGAAGCAAATAAAACTTTGCACAGTATGAGACAAACTACTTAACAGATTCCCGGTAAAGTTCAGAGTTTACTCATTGTATTTTGTTAATCTGGTTCATGCTATATGATTATTATAACATGAGATTTCTTTTTATATAACGCATAAAATACAACACACAAAGGTTTCCCAACAATTTGGCAAAAGTGAATCTCACGCAAACTACTTCATTTAGAGCCACAGACACTTTTTCTTGGGACAATGACATCAATATCAGACATACATGCTTCATCGCAAAGCTTAGTATAATTAGTGAAATGCGTACTGCTTGAAGTATTCTGTATAACTTTGGGCCCAAGTTCTGATTCATTTTTGCATAAACATGGGTAATTTTTCCGAAAACAATTTTAAACAAGCGTTCACATTTATTATTTACAAAACACAGCAGTTCTATAATGATGAACCAAAGATTACTTATATTTGCGTAAAACATGATCTTATGATAGCTGGTCACAAAGTACAACTAATGAAGGAAGCATGTCTTGTTGTATAATTTTAGAAGTGAACTGATGACGATTAGATTTTTTTAGTCTCCTTAAATATATAGGATGCAAACGGAAAGAAATCTATGAACAACAGAGATTCCAATCCAACACACATTCTACTACACAATATTCCTGAGTTATCGATTTACTGTATTCAATAAGTCAGATCCTAAAATTAATATGTATATATCTTACCCGCCTAGTTTTCTTAAGATCTGCATTGAACCAGGTTTTTAACCTCATATGTTTCTTCGGCAAAACGAATGCATGAAACAATTACCTAGCATAATTCTCCCTGTTTTAAAGTATAAATCAGACGCACTAAAATAAAACCAAATTAAAAAATACTAACTAAATGGTTTGCTGTGTCGTAGATCGGTACCCTAGTTATGTCGGGGATGATTTTATTCAGTAGGCGTCTAAGCAAGGCTGATCACTATTTTCCTATTCGTCTTTAGGGTTAACACAACCTTGGGTTAAGCATGCGTAATTTCGCTTCAGATGTCTAGAGACAGGTTTCAAAGCTTTTCACAAATACACCCCTAGTTATGAATACGAATTTTTTTCTTCTCCTGAACCATCTTGGCCCGTAAAATGTTTCTCATTGTAAGAATCTACTTACTAGATGTGGTACTGGTCAGGATCATAAAAGCGTATACTGCTTCTGGTAAGACTACCTGTGAGAGTGGCATCACTTAGTTTGGACGATTTTTTGCAAAAATTTGCTTAAATATATATTTAACGGCTTTTTACTGTGTATTTTGACATGGATTGTGAATAAAGGCTGATGCAAGCTAAGGTGAAAACTCTCTAGTCACACTATCAAAAAATATTGTAGAGTAGAAACCTTTTCTCATGTTATTTGTGTCCTACAGGACAGCATGATTTGAAAATTGAAGGCTCAATATTTAAAAGAATAAAACAGAGATGAACTCCTGGGGATGAAAGACCTTTACGTCACTATAATTGTTATCCCCATTAAGGTTGTAGGATTCAGCCTCCTGGACCACAGTGTTGGGGTCAGGCGAAGGGTACTAGATAAGACAGGGGAGCTGACTGATGAGCATGTGAACCTTCACCGGCTAAGATGACTCGGACATGTACTGCGCATGCCGAGGTATCACCTGCCTCAACGTGTCATGCTGGGGGAAGATATATTAGGCTGGAAGAGGGTTTGATATCAACAAATAAAGATGTCGCACCAGTCAATAAATTCCCTAACTGTTGGTCTGAATGGCATAGGAGGGTATAGAATGCCTGGTTGGGGTCCCTAAGATGGAAGCATTCAAGGGTTGAGGATTCATGATTATATTATATGGCATCGGTCGGAGTGGCGCAGATGTATCCACTCCTTAACATTTTCTTCTGTTCGCACTAACCCTTATCTCCAAAGTGCTTGCATTCATACAACCTTTTCTGATTTGATATCATTCTTTTTCTGCCCATTTGTTCTTTTTGCAGTATGGTGACGTATGGCAACTTGAGCCGATGCACCTGTGTGTGACGTCCTTCGGCGATTTGTCAGTCAGTCAGTTATATATTCTAAGAAATATCAAAGAAGCATCACAACATTCAGAACTAAGAGTAATTGCCTAAGGTAAGACATTTTCGTAAACCGGGATGAACTGATAACAAGATACGTTTACCTACCTTTCAAATGAGTATTCTTAATGCCATACGCATATTGTTTTCGTTGTATTGTGACTGCACTGTTAACCAAGAAGTCTATTTGTCTTACAATTTCGTTTGCAGTACGAACAGCACCGTTTCTTGTTGTACAAAACTAATGACAGTAAATGTGAGCTTGAAAACTTACAATTAATACAGGCTTGTTTTCGGAATATGTGCTTATAATATGAGGAAGCTTATAGTTCAGATTTGCATCAAACTGGAAAATAGATTGGTTCTTCTGACGCATATATCCCAATACTAGCTTCTTAACTGGAGACATCCTAAATTCCTCTCCAAATCTGTTATGTTGCAAACAGCATGATAAACTTACGAGAAAAACGAAACAGTCCTTTCAGTAGCAGCAAGCCACTGTGCTACCTGCGGTTGGTAGGGTTGTGATGAAAAAAATGTCTCACCGTACATCCTGCACGTTGGATAACGTGGCAGAAACGCATATGAAACGAGGACGAGATAACATTTTGATTCTTGTTATAAGAACTTCAAGCACTGAACCTCTTTCCCACTCTCCTAACAAATGTACCTGGGGAGTGTTCGGGTAATTTAAATCACCTACCTCGTCAATAAAGCACAGTTTAAGCTTCTCCCAAATCACGGAAAATTCTCTACAAGACTTGATTGTGGAATTAATTTTTTCCTAAGGTGTTTATAAAGTATGTGAAACAATATTTGTACCGGTGTTGTTATAAGTAGGACTTGACTAGAAAGGCTTTGAATATCCAGAGTATCAGTGTCCCCAGTTGATGTCACACAGCATAATGAGAACTTTAAAAACTTTGCTCCCCATTCTTTTGAAACTTGTGAACATAACGATTTCATTGGTGCGACTATTTTAGGCTTTTATTGGTCAAACTCACTGTAAAGTATTACAAATGGGCTTTTCTCAATTGAATTTTCATGTTCATGTAGCTGCTTAACAATCGCCAATTCGAAAACTACCGTCTTTCCTGAGCCAGTTGGTGCAGAAACAACAATTGAATTGTCCGTCATGAAAACCTTACAAAGAGTGGGGAAACTATGATGATGAACGAACCTCTTGACATATGGGAGCCTGTATGCTGTTCAGGTTATAGAAATCAAAAGCGCTTCTATAAGCATCTGGAATCAACCAATTCATTTTGGAGTTGGTGTTTGTAGATATAGTTCGAATTAGATGTACTATGTAAATAGCTACCGGTAGAAACCTAACTCCCGACAGATGAAGTGTGGTCCAATATGGTTTTGAGAGTTTAAAGAAGAAATTATACAACGCTGGGAGTAGAAAAGTTTAGCATTGTTGAAGTAAGTAGTAGACTACGAAAATGCATAACAAGCGCGACAACCCCTTCAGGAGACTATTACTTTTCCGCCTTCTTCCGATATCCAATATCTGTTTAACGAGCTTGTGTAAACCAGTTGATTTTTTCTTGCTCGTTTCTTAGTCTTGCAGAACGGCTCCAGGTCTTCGGTAGATTCCGGTGCAGCAGATTCAGCCACTCTCCTGCTATAGCTCTGGTATACAGAACAGGAGGTTAAGTGTTGGTTAGCTCGCCTTGTACTGTGGTACAGTTGGCTTCTTCATATGTCGAGTTGCCAACCAGTTGCTTGGACTGTTTGTTAGACGGAGTTAAGTATGGTGAAGAAAGCCTAGAAAGGAAAACTTGTGTGGTTAAAATGGAAAAAAAGATGAATTAATGGGGTAATCTACTTACACCCAAGTAAGACGAAAAGGGGTCCAAAGACATGAAGAACTTAGGTAGGTAAGGCTTACTCATGGCAAGTGGAAGGGATGAAAAGGGCCTAAATGGCCACGGTAGAAAGAAAACTGGTTATAGGGGTAAATGTCATCACCAGGTGAATGTTGTCGCACACTGTGGACTTCCCAGAACGCAGCTTTGATAGCTTGTCAAGAACGACAGCACAAGTTATCTGTAGTTCATGTAGCTCTGCTGAGCAGGAAAATGTAGGGGGCTGCTCAGGCTCCAGGTGTATGTGACTCGACTGAAACGACCTCCTGTATCACCGTATCTTGATGTTGCATCGATTTCGCAGGGCTGTGTATACGTTGCGATCATCCTCTTCTCTGAAAAGCCTCCAATTATGCCGCGCTTCCCTCTCAACTTTCTGGAGGTGCTCAGTACCTCGTTCTTGCCATGAAGCGAGCTTCTTTTAAGCCGCTGTGACTGCTGGAACCTTTCAGAAGTAGCCTTTCCAGCAGTGTCCTTCGCTAGTTCCCAGTGTTAGTCGGTAGATAAGAAACTCCACTCTTGTGGCTGTTGTGCTGTTGACAGACACTGTTTTAACGCAATGTAGTCTGCCTTAGTGTAGACAAAAAAGACGAGTTCCCTGATGCGATGATTTTCCATTACACACTGCATTGAACATCACCCTACGATGACCGCCGCTGCTGATAGTAAGTTGGACCTGAACGTTTTCTGCTAGTAGGTGATTGCCAGTAAGAAGAAAGTTCGGTCTAGATGCTTTCTAGCCCGACTTTTCGCGAGTGGCGTCGCCAGTATTTTCACGCAGCCTAGCTTTTTGGCGGTGGTAAGTGGGTTTCTGCTGGACTCCAGGTTTGAAATTGCTCTCTTTCCTAAATTTGAGGGGTGGGGCGTCGAAATCCTCCGCCATGGTAACCTGGTCATACCCCACGGTCACCACTGCGCATATTAAGTGGTGCAGTTGTAGATTCCGTTCCAAACTGCCAGCTGGGGTTCAAAAGGTCCCCGCTACCAGGTACTTGGCGTGCCTGAATATGAAGCGGCATCCGACGGAGTCTGGAAGACCCGGCAGTACAGCTTCAGTGGCTGGCTCACTTTTGGGATGGCCACTGAAAAATAATGACGTTCCACCTTCTTATATTTGTTCCCCCCGTCTTCTAAACCGACGGATACAGTTTGTAATATCTTCGTTGTGGCTAATATTCAGCGATGACCAAGCTTCTGTCTAGATTATAATTTTATGAGCAACTTAGGAACAGGGAGATCGTAGTTTCGGCATTTTACTTCTAAATCTCATATTGCTGTAAATGCAGTAGGGTGTGCACTAACAACGTAGGGTGTCCTAGTGGTGGCGAGCTCCAGTAGGTCGTGTGTGGTCCATTGTATAAGGTGTGTTTTACCTGCGTTAACCCGGTGGAATATATTAGAACAGATAAAAACCAAATATATTGTATGGTTTATTCTTCACCGTTTCCATCTTAGTTGGGACAACCTTCTTAAGAGTATGAATCCCGCATGAAGCTTTCAGGTTGATATTTAGGCTTTCTTGTGTGCGATAGTAAAAAGTGCTACTCATCGGCCAGTTCCGATAAAACTACTGCAGTTGGATGGTCTCCCATGGTGGTTTCTTGAGATATTACCGAGTCAGGCTCAGTTGGGATACCGTCATGTCTATTCATGGTAATGATGAGTAGAGTCAACTTAGTTTCACCTTGAGGCTGTCTAGTTCTAGAGCGCAACATACCATTCCTCATTTTGACCCATCTTTCGCCAAGCATAGCAGGGATAACCGCAAGAGCAACTTCAGGAGTTGAAGTCGGTCAGGTTGTCCTTACGGATGGTCGTCGTTCGGCTGTTTTTGGGCCACTCATAAATGTGGCCATCCGCGGCGTGACAGACGCCTCCCCGTTTTTCGGACTGTCGCTTGCGGTAGAAGCCTTTGTGGGTCCCAACATTTATCAGCCGTTAGGGTGTCATTTACAACAACCCTAAGCGAACTTGTAGATAGGAGTGGCCTTACGTAGCACTGTGGGGAGACATATCGGAGCGATGTGCATGAGCGACACCACATCAAGGTACAATATTGATCTGATATGTCAGTGTACCCGCTTGCTACAAACGCTGCACTCGAAAGCTGGATCCGCTTTGGCTCCGCTGAGACTATGTGTGTGGCAATCGTCACAATACTCAGAAGACTTGGTCAGGGACTTTCTTCTCGTTTTCTGACTTTTCCCAACGGCAGCTCCCATGGCAGGATGGGGTTAGTGCTAGGTGTGCCAGTAAGACACGCCCTTCACCTCACGAGAACGCATAGGTTCTGAGAGTTATATGGGACAGGGATTCGGCTTTCTTAGAAATAGCTTTCTGTGACCGTTCCGCCGAGGTCGAACAGCAGCCCTTCAAGGGGGTTTTACACCCCTCTTTTGTGACCCTATTTGCTGCAGAGAAAGAAGTGATCAACAAATAAGGTGGGGTTTCGCTAGAGGTGTTTTGAGGGCAGGAATCAGCCAGGTAAACCGCCGCAACCCATTTCGATAAGTAGATAGGCGAAAAATAAATCAAAGAATGCTTGGGTCAAGCATTGTTATTATTTTTCCCCTGGGTTGCTGGTGGAACACAGGGCCTCAGTAGCACTTCTCCAGTGCACTCTGTTCCCTCCAACTCTTTCAACCTGGCTCCACAACAGCCCAGAAGCTCTCATTTCTTCTTCACACAATTTCCTCCACATCACTCCCGGACGCCGTTTCCCATCTGGGTTCCGCTCGAGTGCCTGGTGCCCACAGTTGGCCTTCTCAGAGTATGCCCAATCCATCTCCACTTCCCTCTGCATATTTGTTGAGCAATGGGTCCTTGGTCGCTTCGTTCCCAGAGTTCCTCGTTGCCTATTCTTATTGTTCTGGCCATCTGAGCTTCAGTAACGAGGGCAGCTGTTGATGAACATCTATGGTTCCTTCCTCGCTGCCTTGCCTTTTCTGTCAACTTGTTAGTTTTTGCTTGTAGATCTTCGAGTTTGTGCGACATTAGATAAAGTCATCGGCGAAATCCGAATCTTCCAGAATCCTTCTCCGGTCCGGTGTATCCCCCTTTTCTCGCTCTTCACTGTTTTTTGAATGATCCAGTCCGGTTCAGTCAACCACAATCAGGAATGTCATGGGTGATAGTAGACAGCCTTGTCTCACTCCTGTCTTCACTTCAAAGGCATCACTGAGCTTCCCATTATGGATCACTTGGCATGTGGAGCCTTCATATAGTTATTGAACGAGGCTGATAAAGGTTTGTGGTATTCCATACTGTTGAAGCAGCAGCTGCCAAACTACCTCTTGGTCGACGCTATCAAAGGCCTTTTCAAAGTCTCTGAAGCTGAGGTAGAGGGTTGGCCGCCATTCCATGCTCTGTTCTATCACGATGCGTAGCGTCGCAACTTGGTCCGCATTCATACCATCCTAGAAAAACTATGACTTTCACTTGAATGTTTATAACTTCATCAAACTTCTGTATGTAGGCATATAACAAGTGGATGCCCGGTCCTAAATCCTCTAATCTCTCTGTTTCGTAGTGATATCTTTGGCTTCAGACCAATTTTCATCGCTGCCGTGCACACTTTCCTCCTCCACCTCAGCTTACCTCTAAACAGTTGGGTTTGGATACTTCTTCAAGTAAGTTTTGTAGACAGTACAAGGAACTCACCCAGATGTATCATGGTTGACCTACTCCTGCGTATTTTTGTGCTCCTGTTTCGAAGTTCACCTGCTGCTCGCTTTTGTTATCCACTTTTCAGGTTTACCTAACTAGTCCTGCATTCAAATGGAATCCTAGAAATCGCATTTGTCGGTGTGCACCATGCCATCAAAACCCTACGACGAAAGCACACACATCAAGGTCATGACTGTAATGCCTGCCCCACCTTCAAGAAAGTTGGAAGATTCAAACAATAGTCGAATGATTCCTAATTTTGAACTGAGCCTGCTTCAACACACCTCTTATATGCCATGAATAACGGTATCTAATACATGGCTTAACACTGTACGTAGTGGTCCTTTTTCATTACCAAAGTGATCAAACCTGTAAACTGGCTTGTATTCATGTAACCTATGCTGTATGAAATGTATGTATACGTAAAAGCATGGTTTGCACTTCCTGAATCCAGCCTGTCCGGGTCATAGTTTTGAATCCAGCACATCCTTTAGTCTCTTCAGGATGATGCGGCATAATAGTTTGCTTGGGGAGGAAGGGGCACGATTCCACGCCAGCCATTGTGAACGCTTAGATATCCCTTCTTTCGTAGTTTGAAAAGGTAGCCCTCCTTCCATTCGCCAGGTACGGACTTAACGGACTTAAGTTTAACCTAATTGCGGCATACCAGGGCCCTGAATGCGAGGCGGAAGACTTTCTGCCCACCATCATTTGTCTGGGAAAGACCAAAGGCACCACGCAATTCATTTATTTGTAAGTTAATGTAGATATCGATTCTTTGACCTTTGAACGGCAGCAACTCGACATGATCACCAGCAGACTCCTTCAGCTCTAGACTAAACAACCTGTGGTAAAATTTGGAATTTTCAGCAGGATATATTTAGACAGCAACAAAATATGAGTATACACATGCTTCTTTTACAATATTTCGAATTGTTTTGTCATAAAAATTCAAGTAATGTGAAGAATATTAA